AAAGAAGATGAAGAGAAACAAAAAGAAATTTTATTGTTTTTTCCATATTTAGTTGTCAGATTTTATTAAGGATAATTTTGGCATTTTAAAACATATCTCTCTTATCTCTCTTGCTTTTTAATCTCATTAACAGAAAAACATTCAATTTTAGATGAAAAGACTATTTAATAAGATGGAAACGAATGTTAGGGACGAAATAATTATTTTTTAATATTTTTTACATTTTTTAAGATATAAAGTAAATTTACTATTGGATGTTAATTGTGTGTTTATTTTTTGAACATAAACTTATATCTATACTATATATAAATGTGGAAATATGAGGGAATAATTGAATTTTTGATAGTGACCTTAATGAAACTTAGAATATATTAAAATAATTTTAGTCATGACCAATTAAAAAATTACATTTTAGTAGTTGATTTGATATATTTATAACAGTTCCTTTTAAATAAATACATATAGATAATTAAGTAATTCAAAATTTTAAGTTTTATCTATTTTAAAATTTAATTTTAAAAATATATATGATAAGGAGACATTTCAAAATATTTATATTTTATTTTTAAATAGCTAATTCTATTTTAATTATAATTTAAAATATTTTACTTCGAAGAGAAATAAAGTATATTCTTTATATTAATATGTTTTTCTTTATATTTGTATGATTTTATTGGATATATTTTTTCAAAAAATAAAATTCAGAGAATATATATAATATTGTATTTAGGAAAGAGATAAAAAAGAAAAAACCTATATTATTGTATGTAATACCCTGAATTTTTATTTTCAAAAATTTTCCAATTAAATTTAATGAACCGACAGCTTGGAAATTATATTAATATTTTAGTTCGAATACTGTATGTAATAACCCTGATTTTATTTTCAAAATTCCAATTAAATTTTTAATGAACCGACAGCTTTGGAAATTAATATTAATATTTTAGTTCGAATACTGTGATAAAGCGAACCGAAAATCGATTGGAAATATCCAAAAAAACCAAACGAAATGAGACCAAATTCACTGAATTGGACCGAATCGGTTTGAAATCGAAACGGATCGGCCCATTTCTTTTTCTTTCTTTCTTTTTCTTTTCCTCTTTCTCTTTCGTTTATTCCTTTCTCTTCTCCAGTTGTGTACCTCCTCCTCCTCCTCCCTCTCCTTTCGATCTCGTCCTCCGGCCACCACCGAATTCGATAAATGAACACCCTAAAACATCTACTCAAACTCAACGCAAGGAAGAAGATTATAGCTTATATTTGAACTGAAATTGCGTCTATTTTGAAGGGGAAGAGCTTGAAGTTTCGGCCACCGTGGTTACACTTTTTTTCCGGCGATTCACGGCGTTTCAGGCAAGCCTAGCGCGCAAGGTGAGTACCAAATGACTCCTCTCTTCTTCCTCTTTCATTTGATGGCCTCCTCGTCGACTGTAACAGCCGGAATCGGAAAACCCAAAATGGGTTTCACCAAACCTTTCCGGTCAACTTCCGGCCAAATAGTTCATAACCACCTTGATTTGAATACATATTAGTGATCCACCTTGATTTGAATACATATTAAGTGATCCCTCTCATCGGAAACGAATAAAATGATATATTGTTTTGTTAAATTTTGGTGAAGATTTTGACTTTTTTCGGCCACCGTGGCACGGGCGGCGGTCCGGCGAAGGACTTCAAAGGCAGAATGTAGGACTTCAAAGGCAGAATGTTCTCCTCTTTGCGCGGATCACGGAAATCAAATCCGATTTTCGATCGGTACACTCTAAAGCTTAATTTGCAATTTTTGAATAAATCCCAAGATAATTAATTAATGAATTTAATTAAGTAGTTAAATAAATTAAATTTGATATTGTTAAATATATTCCATGAATATTAATTATAACTATAAAATCGGTGTTGAAATATAAATTTCTATCTAATAATAATGTAAGTAAAATTTGGAAATTTTATTAGTAAGTAAATAGTTATAGCATAATTAATTATAATGAGAATTTAATTTGATTAAGAATATGGCCCGATGAATAGAACTGTGGAATGAATGAGAATGAAATGATGGTTATGGCGGACCGAGATGAGTTAAATGTGAATTGCCCGATGGATGGGCTGGTGTGGTTGACTATGGTTAATGTAAAATTTGGATAGTCCAGTTTATAGAGGAAATGCTGCCCGAAATTTTTTTTAGAACACCTTTAATGAGATTAAAATTAGTTTTATATTCTTAATAAAGTAGTGACGACTAAATTTTAGGTTATTAAGAAATATTAATAACAATATTATAATTATCATTATATACAATAATTCCTCAAACTGAATAATTAAGAGTTTTATCTAGGTATAATTAGATAATTATTTATATAAATGAGAGAAACCTAGAATATATATGCATATATACAAGTGAATAAAATGACTAAAATGACCAGTAGCCAAAATAAATAAACGAATGTGAAATATAAGTTTTTGAATTAAAATTCTTATTTAGAATTTTCTTGTTTATTTTAAAGGTTTATAAAGTACAAAATGCGAGGACAAAAGCTAGAAGCATGTGGCTAAAAAGGCAGTCCTTTTAAAGGACAATAACGAACTGTGAGTAGTATTAGATAACTAGTATCATCCACCGGCATTCATGCATTCACGGCTAATGTTAATATTATTTATTTATTTATTTATTTGCATTTAAGTATGGATGTCTAATTGTGCATTGCATTATGATGTTTGACTGATCAATATGTCTGCATTTAATTGCAATGATTGATTAGTTGTGATGTGACAATGTTTTGCCATGTTTGTGTAGAGTTGGGATGAAGTGGGTCACCATGGGTTTGTGATGACGGTCTATGAAATATGAAAATTATGGAATTTGACCGTCGGCCGGGTAAATGGGAGATCGGCGGCCCCGTGTGCACTTGATGATACAGATTATATAGAAACCACAGGGTGGCTTCTTATTGGGTGCACCTGATAATCTGGATTTGATGGTAGCCCGCAGGATGGCCACCTGTTGTGTGCGCCTGATGATCTAGATTTGACGGAGACGACCGGGTTGTCTCATGTTGGTACGGAAAAGAAAAGAGAGAATGGAAAAACAATGAGAGGGTTGGTCAAGTCAGGATTAGACTGGTCGGCCATGTATGGAGGATCGGCTCCCTGGTGCACACGTTATGAGAAGATGGGCCATGTGTGAGGACGGCTCATTAGGGGTTTAGGTGACGCCACAGACCAATTTTCCACGTGATGTGATTATGTGAAGATGTTAATAATTGTGATTGTTGGTGATATGCCATTTGTGTAACTAGCTGTGTGAGCATATAACTAGTCAGATGACTAGATTGATATATTTACACATTTGTGTGAATGTGTGTGTTTTGCAATAAGTATTACTTCTTAGAAGGCTCACATATCTTGTTTAATTTTTCAGGAAGTAAGTTTCTCTTTAATTAAGCTATGTTCCTTCGCCGCAGGGCTAGAAAAAAAATTTTTCTAGTTCAATAATTATTTTGCATGATCATATAATTAAAACGGCTAATCGAATAAAAATATTTAGCATCTGTGTGATTTGTGTGGGGTGAGGAGGGTTATCTAACCCTAACTCATTGAGTTTTGGCGCTCACCCCCCTTGCCCTACTATTTTTTCAGGTAATTAGAAAGAAAGGGAAAGCCTATAAAGTTGAGGACACTATTGTAGAAGACGCAGGTTAATGATAGATAATAACGATTTGTAAATTTAAAGGTAGAAGTTCCGCAATTGTATTCATTGGGTTTGTAAATAAATATAAAAGTTCCATATTAAACATAATGAACTGTATTTTTAGATGCATTTATGTATTTAGTAAGTAAATGGGGCTGGAATCCATATTATTGAATTAGAATTGTGAGAATTTAAATACAGTATTAGGCTTACTACGGGCTGTCGAGTGGATAGGCCTTAAGCCCACCCAGGTCCTTAGTGCCGGTTAAATAAGTTAGGCTTACTACGGGCTTCGGAGGCCTTAAGCCCACCCAGGTCCTAGTGCCGGTCCGGCCCACGGAAATGGGTCGTGACATTTTATTAATATTTTTCTTTATGTTTATATGATTTGATTGAGTATAGTTTTTTAAAAACTAAAATTTTAAATATAATACATAATTAAACCTGTCAAAATTTTTACTTTATAATTTATTTTAAATAAAATAAACATATGCGTGATAATATTTATTGATAATATTTATATATCTATATATATTTGAAGCTTTTTTTGTTAGGCGAGTTCTTGAAATAATTTTATTCTTAATAATAATTTTTTATTTTCTTTTTCGTTATTGAATAATTTGTAACTATTATCATTTTAATTTAGTAAGATACTTATATATCCCTTACAATAAATAGATGACCTCTTCATGATTAAGAAATTTTAATTTTCTTGATATTTTTTTCTCTTATATCTTAAATCGGTTTAACTTGAAAGAAAATAATGGTTAGAAAATTGAAAAAAAAACTAAAATTATACATTTATATTTTGGATCATTTTTTAGATTGCAAAAAATTTGTGTACGTGCAAATATTATTTTCTCTAATACTGCTATTGTAGCCAAAATGATTACCGTTATCAGTTCAGTTTGAGATCACTTCATTATATAAAAATAAAATTAAGTATATAAGAAGTAATATTAACCGCTTGTATTTATTTTAATTTTAAACAAAAATTTATGTTTTAATATTAAATAGATAAAAACAAAGAATACAAAAATAAACATATAACGAGCACAGTCAACGTGCAAGGCAAGCCATACAAAACTGGTATATATAAAAGTTTGCCTATTAAATTCTGAAATTTGATTTTAATAATATCGTTTTATCGAAACAAATAGAATTTTATAAGAATAATAAAATACGGAAAATCAAACCATACCGCTAACCAGGCTGATCGAACCGAGCATAAACAATTGAAGTTTCCATTTGAATTAAACCGAACCAGTGAATTGAGCGCAACCAGATATAGACCAATTAAAACAGGAGAGAAAAACAACCAAGAAGGGTAAAGAGGCCAAAACTCCTCTACCGATCGTAGCACCGCGGTCTCCTGTTTTTCTTTCTCTTTGACCCAAAATCAGATAATCCATACAATTTCGGGTCCCAAGCCTCCATCTGATCTTCTTGGTTTCGTCGCTTCAGTTGATTGTTTCTTCTTGTTCGAAACTTTATTGCATTATACAATATAATTTCTACTCGCTGTCCTTGTCGCCCTCTTCAAAGTTGAAGAATTGGGTATGCTTTTTTTCTTTTAATTTTTATGTGGATGTGTATTTGTGTTTTTGTTGATTTTTTGATTTTCGTCTGGGTTTGTAGGAGTTTTGACTCTTCCATTGCGATTTCGATTGTTACTGTAAAGCTCGTGAGGCAGTTCTTTTGAAGCAATTCAGGTTTTTTTTTTTTTTTTTTTTTTTTTTTTTTTTTTTTATTGATTTTGCTTGATCTTTGCGCTTCCCACTTCTTTTTTCTTTTGGTGTTTTTCGACTTATTTTGATTTTAATTCTTGTTGTGGCGTTATTTCGACTGTGTTCTGCCCTGGAATATTTTAATTGAACAAATCTTTTAGATTACTGGTTGTCAATTTTTTTTCTTGGTGGATGTTTGTTTTTTTTTTTTTTTTTTTTTTTTTTTTTTTTTTTCTATATTGATTTTGCTTTGATTTTGGCTTCCAACTTCTTTTTCTTTTGGGTTTTCGACTTATTTTGATTTTTAATTCTTGTTGTGGGTTTATTTCGACTGTGTTCTGCTGAATATTTAATGAAACAAATCTTTAGATTACGTTGTCAATTTTTCTGGTGGATGTTTGTTATCTTTGTGATTGTGGAGCTTGTTGCTTTTAGGGAGATAAGTTTTGGGTCGATCGTGGATTAGGCTTGGCCATATCTGATAATGAATATTTGTATTGATGATGGGTTATAATATTTGGAATTATAATTTGAGTTCCATTAGGATATAGATAACTAGAAAATTGGTAATTTGGCAGCTTCCTTGCATTAAATTTTCCACATTTTTAGCTCCATTATCTTTTCGCATTCAAGCTTTCTGTGAATCAAATTCTGATAAGAAGGCAGCTGCACATTTATTTCAATTGATGGTTGACTCGATTACCATATGTGCTCGCCATCTTTATTTTTAATGCAGATTGCAAGTTATGTAATTTCTGAAGAAATTTAGGGAATGCAGTGGGCAGCCACATGCATTTCCATTTTCTTCTTTCTTGCAAAAGAAGTGGAAAAAACCATGCATGTACATTCATGCAATTGGGACTGTTAAAAGTTAGTCTTGGAAGTTACTATGTTGTTCATCTAACGGATGCAGTCATGATGACATTTCCAGGGTGTTACCTGAATATGTTACTTTGTGTGTCAGTGGGTGGAGAATCATTTTGTTCTTAATTTATTTCAATATGTTGAATACGTGCAATCTGTTTACTACCATGCTAATTGCTAATATATTTTCTGTTTCTAATTCCATCTCTCTCCCTCTCAATATTTGTGATTTTGAAGTGCAATGCTTTCTCAACAGTTACTAGATGATTGGCTGCTGTTAGTTGACAGACGTGGTTTAGAGATGCTATTCTCATAATTGCATCGGTCTGACAAAATGTTGATGTGTGTGGTTTTGCATTGCCCCATGCATGCATCTATGTGGCAGCTAGAACATTTCTTTATCTGTTTTCTCTGCTCCTGCCGGGCACCTCTTAATACAATCATTATTCTTTTGTTTGAGTTACATAAGCTTCTTGACCCTCATGGTAGGATTACAGAAGCTTGTTAATTATTCTATTATAATTGTTCAGTGTTAGAAACTTAATTTAACATTAACTATTATAAATGTTAATATTTTAAAATTCCTGTTTCTACTCATACATCCCTCCACACACATGTTTTGAGATTTTTGTGAATTGGGAAGTCCCTGGAAGCTCCTAGATAGATAGATTGATTGGATTAGACTGATTTGGTTTTACATGCATGTGGCTGCATGTCTATAAAATATTCAGAGTAGGGGATGGCTTAAATGTGGGTCTCTATTTTTTTATTACATCTGTTGGATAAGTTAAAATGTGTAGATTCTTTTCAAATCACAGCTATGCAGAGCCAGCTTCATTGTATTGGGTGTAGGAGCATTCTTCTTTATCCAAGAGGTGCAGCAAATGTCTGTTGCGCTTTATGTAATACAGTTACCTCTGTCCCTCCTATTGGTACGCTTTTTTCCCACTTCAGTTTCATATGGAGCTATTTATGGTTATGTTATACTTCATTAAATTTGATAATTCCATTTATATTTTTCTTATTCTAATTAAGTTACTTCTTATTCTAATTCAAATATAATTTTGATAAAGGGGCTTTCCTTCCATTTTATCCAATAAAACCTCAAACCCTAAATTTTCTCTCTCTTTCTATTTTGCTTAACTGGTTAGTTAATAATGATTTATACAGTAATTGATAACTTCTATCTGACAGACGAGCAATTACAGAACTCACCGTCAAGGAAAGATGGGATCGATGAAGCCACTGAAACTACCCTTAGAATCTACGGCTGTGATTTGATTCAAGAAAGTGGTATTTTACTTAGATTGTAATTCCCTTCTTTAACTCTTGTTTAGTTTAATTTCGTAGTGTGTATTGTTATCTTCTATATGAATTATATATAATTTCTTTTTATTTTATTTTATAGACCACAAGCTGCTATGGCCACTGGTCAAGTACTATTCCATCGTTTCTATTGCAAGAAATCATTTGCTCGATTCAATGTCAAGGTTAGTCCTTTTTTGCCCTTTTTATTCAGATAATTATTATTGGGATTAGTTAGTTCTTTTTGGGTTGTGGGTTTAGTCCATTTTATGAAATTTATAAGAATCTCTTATTCTTTGTAGTGGTAAGTAATGGAAGTAGTTTGAAAGTGGTTTAAATGCCTTTCATCTAATACTATTGGGGCTGAATGCTATATTTTTTCAGAAAGTTGCAGCTAGTTGTGTTTGGCTTGCGTCTAAACTAGAGGAAAGCCCTAGAAAATCAAGGCAAGTCATTATTGTTTTTCACAGAATGGAATGCAGGAGAGAGAATTTAACCATGGAGTTTTTGGACCTAACTTCAAAGGTTAGAATTGTGATTTTTGTATTCTTTCTTTTAATTCTAGCAAGCAGTTTTGGTGCTTCTAGAGCTTTGTGTTATGCACTTACTATCTTTGTTATGAAAAAATAAAAAAGAAATTTGCAGAGTTGAAGATGGAACTGAGCAGAACAGAAAGGCACATATTGAAAGAGATGGGTTTTGTTTGTCATGTTGAGCATCCTCACAAATTTATTTCAAACTACCTTGCGACCCTTGAAGCGCCTAAAGAATTGAGGCAGGAAGCTTGGAATCTTGCAAATGATAGGTACTTCACAACAAAAAATTAATTGCATCTAATTTTATCTTCTATATTTCTTCTGCCAGTTCTTTCTGTTTGGTTTTTCCATTTCATATGCTCTGCTGTGTCAATGTTCATCAGTTTGAGAATTAAGAATCGCATTATGTAGATAGTGGGAACCTAAATAGTGTTAAAAGCAATAAAATGAATATGGCATCAGTTATTTAGTTAATCCTTAGAGTCAAATTGAAAAATGTGTAGTGTCCTATATGTAATCATGCATTCACCCATCTGCTTCTTGATCGGGAGTCTGATTTTTCCTCACCCTCTCCCACCATCTTAAAAAAAAAAAAAAGAAAAACAGAAAATTATGTTAGTTATGTTAATTAGAAATTTTACTTGTTTGTCCTCTTAAGATTAATTTAACTGGAATAGGTTCTCACCTTATGGGGCTATTTTTACCCCATTTTTAGTGTATTACATTTAATTAATAGTTAGCAAGAAGAACAAACCCAAGAGAGTATTGTTACTTAATTGGGTGGAGGGTGGTTATTTGACTGAAGGTATTGGTGAAAATTATAGTACATAAAAATTGGTCAATATAATGTACAGAATTCCTCTTGCCTGTAGCCAATTGCTTCTTTTTTTAGTGGTTCACAGGTGACAGTTTCTTAGTTTTAGCATCAGTCATTACATCCCTTCTTTTCCTAGGACTTAAATATTTTCTTTATTCTCGGTCTTAGTCTATATCAACTCTCTATTTGGAGCAGTTTGCGCACAACCTTGTGTGTTCGTTTCAAGAGTGAGGTTGTGGCCTGTGGGGTTGTATATGCTGCAGCACGTAGGTTCCAAGTACCTCTTCCTGAGAATCCACCATGGTGGAAGGCATTTGATGCAGATAAATCTGGGATTGATGAAGTTTGTAGAGTTCTAGCTCACCTTTACAGCCTTCCTAAGGCAAAGTACATATCAGTCTGCAAGGATGGAGATTTTTCTTTTTCTAGGAAGTCTTCAGATTCTCAATTGCAGCCACTTCCAAAGGTGATTTTATGATGCTTTTTGTACTTAAAATCTCTTTATTTCTGGCTCTACCCTGTAAATCTCTTTTATTTCTGGCTCTACCCTCTATCATTTCTTTTTGTTATCCTGCCATAAAAGATTGCTAGTTGCACAATGATATATAGCAAATGAAGCATTTGATTGCTTGTGATCAGAAAAGAGGAAAACTAAAAAGTTGCAGAGATTTGATAACCAAGTTACTTTTTTTTTTTTATTATTATTTAGTACTAGTTGATAAATTCTTTTAGGAGTTTTTAGTTTTTGGTCACTGTTCTTTCTGCAGGAAGCTCCACAGGTTAGCTCACCGAACAATGATGATATTGCTCCCAAGTCAGCCCCAACTGTGAGTGGTGCAGAATCAGGAGCTTCCAAGGGTACATTAATAAAAGCAGCTCTAGATAAGCTGAAGGACTCTAAGAAGAGTGATGATGAGTCCAAGCCTACTGATGGAGAGGCAAGAGATGAGGCCATTCCAAGATCCAAGTCTGAGCACAGATCAGAGGCAAGTGGGGACAGGATCAAGGACAGAGAAAGGGATAGAGATAGGGGAAGGGAGAGGGAGAGGGAGAGGGAGAGGGAGAGGGATAGAATAAAGGAGAGGGGTAGAGATTCTGACAGGGAAAGGGAGAGGGAAGAGACTGAGAGGGACCGAGATAAAGCTAAGGATCGAAGTCATCGATCGAAGGATAGAGGAAAAGATTCAGGTCAGTTGCTGAGTTTCTTGAATTGGTCAACATAGTGGTGAGATACATACTTCATAACATTAATTTCATATGCTTTAATCATGTTTTTCTTTCCATATAAATTCAGGACATTCAGAGAAATCAAGATATCATTCATCACGTGGTATGCATACCAATTTTCTTCAAGCAAATATGATTATCTGATATTTTTTCTTCTTTTTTTTTTTTTTTTTTTTTTTTTTTTTTTCATATGCTTTTAATCATTTTTTTTAACCTTTCCATATAAATTCAGGACATTCAGAGAAATTTCAAAAGATATCAAATTCATCACGTGGTATGACATACCAATTTTTCTTTCAAGCAAATATGATTTAAAATTCTGATTATTTTTTTCTTCTTTATTTTTTTTTTTTTTTTTTTTTTTTTTTCACCTACCTTTCAAGTTTTCATTTTTTTTTTTTTTTTTTTTTTTTTTTTTTTCACTACTTCAAGTTTTATTACTTCTCTGCATTTTCAGACCGTGACTACCACAGTTCCTCGTATTCTTCAAGGGAGAAGGATCGTCATAGACATCACTCGTATGCTTAAATCGGTCATTGAGGTGTGCGCTTTCACTTCAATATATAGCTGCTATCTGAAATACTGTAGTTATATATTATGTGGTTCAGTACATCTTTGGAATGCAGGAAAGGGATTTAAATTTGGATGCAGAATTTCCATTTGATATCAATTCGTGAATTTCATTTCAAAAGAGATACTTGCTTATTCTGCAATTGTGTGCGAAATACATTTCTACTAGCGCCTTTCCACTAAACATTCATTTGTACAGTTCTGATGATGATGATATTATTCTCTATTTATGCTATTCGCAAGAGTTGTCTATTTTTTGAACATGTTAGTAGAGTCCTTAGGACATAGTCATGTCAAAATCCCATGTGGCGACTGCACCATCTATGCAAATGCATCATTGCTAGTTTATTGATTGATTGTTAAAACCACGCAAAGAATGGTAGTGACAAGGAAGAAGAAATTAAGCAGGTAATGAAGCACGCGCAATGGAGGGTAATTTTTCAAACAACTTGATTTGTAGATGAGCCCACAGGTGGAGCCTGCTATTATCCTTATACAAGAGGTGTTGCCTGCAAAATTGCCTTTAAAATTATTGGACAATCATAAAACTTTCTACTAAAAACAAGTTGTAAGTTTTGTTTTTTTTTTTTTTTTTTTTTTTTTTTTTTTTTTTTCTCTATGATTCTGTTGTCAAAAAATTTTTGATTTTATCTATGTTAAGCAATATGAACATCAATGGGCGTTTTTTGAGATTTAGAATTATATTATTTATATTGATTATATACAATATCAAGTCAATTAGTTCTTAGCTGTACACCACATGGATAATTGTTGACTGCACTAAAATTTTTTTTTTTTTTTTTTTTTTTTTTTTCTCTATGATTCTGTTGTCAAAATTTTGATTTATCTATGTATAAGCAATATGACATCAATGGCGTTTTGAGTTAGAATTATTATTATTATTATGATTTATACTATCAAGTCAATTAGTCTTAGGCTGTACACCAATGGATAATTGTTGACTGCACTAAAATTTTTTGGTTAAATGGTTTATAAACTTAAAGACATTTATAATTTCTGAACCCATTACTGATTACTTAAACATTAATTTTACTTCAAGTTTAGTGTTGACCCCATGAGACTCGTAGCTCAGTTTTAATTCTCAATGAGCATAGGTACAACTATATACCTAAAGTTTTGAATTCATGACTTGTCATTGGGATGCTATCATAATTAAGAATTAACATGTTCTGAAAAACATAGGACACATGTTTTTTCAATATTTTCTTTTTAGAGTTCGGTTTAAAAGTTGAACATTAAATTTACTTTAATGAAACTTGTCTTGTCTCATATGAATTGTGGAGTCATTTTAACTTGCAAATGTAGATTATATGTTCTCAAAATTTATTGCAAATACATCAAGTGCTTGTTTTAGCTAAATGCATGCAGTGATTAATTGTCTAGAATTGTAACAAAGCAACAGAATTCGACTGATGCTTCTTTATCTACCAGGCAATGCATTAAGACTGTCTTCATTCCCTCCTTTTCAATTTTTAGTTAGCCTTTAATTTGCAAATAATTTAAAGAAAAAAAAAAAGAAAGAAAATTAAGACAGTTCTCCCTCTTTTGTTTTGTTCTTCTATTCTTTATATTATTATTATGAAGACATAGTTCATTACAATACGGTTGCAACACAACTTACAAAGAAGTTTTAGATCAGTTGGCAGGCAGGCATTGTCACTTGTTAATAGTTCCCTATACTCAGTTCTTGGACTCGGACACAAGTAGTGATACATTTGACCAAAAGCAAAATGGCAGCAAAAACTGATAATTGCATTGGATTTTAACTAGACTTAAGAAACGAACAGTAACTAATTGTTGCGAGAATGCATTGGCCAGCAGCACAAAACAGTAAAATCAAGTTTGTGGAGGTTCCGACTTGCATCATCTCTCCCATGTCGGTTTCTCCGACGTCATAAGTTCAAGGATGCAAATAAACAAGCCACCATAAGACATTCCCATGCCTATTGGCAGGAAAACAGAGGCTTTATTCGAGGAAAGCTGGTCAAAAACTATATCTGAAGCATCGATAATGAAGTTGGCAATAGCAAACATTTGCTTCGTCACCTAATAAATAAAAAAAAAAGAAGAAATTTGTTCAAGAAATTAAATTAACTCCTACAAATATTGAACATAGTTAACTACAAAGTTTTACTCTGATTTTAGTTTGAACCTTTTGTTTCATATCGGTATTATAGCTGAAGTAATCAGTCTCAGCTGAAAAAATTGCTGTAGAATCACCATTTGTCTGAATTTCATCATCACCCTGTAAATCCCATGTTAGAATAACATTAGTGGATCAATGATTAGCCCATTAACATGTTATAAACTCAAACTATTGTCTGCATATCACATTTAAAACTTGTGCAGAGAAAATGCTGTTGTCTTACCGCTATCACAACTTTCTTCCCTATTGCAATATAGTGTTGTTTACCATTCTTTCTATCTTCTTCCCTACTCAAAGTGATCATGTCAGCCACCATTAGACCTCTTTCTTTTACAAATCGAATCCACTCCCCATGAAGAAAAGGTTTTCGATTATTTCTATCATCTGGATTGATACCTGAAAATTCCATATCCTTTGACGGTTGTCTGTTGTTTGAAATATGATGGAAAATTCTCCTTCACAAACAATCAGTAGTAGGAATTGCCAATTGAAATGAAATATCGGTATCAGTTAATTGCTTGCTCATGAGGACTTCCATTTTCTAGTTCCCCCTTTTGCCTAATTAAAAGTAGTTGGAATCTCCAAGATATTGGATTATAAAAATAGTTGAAATTTTTGTTTTCTTTATATTGATCAGGTGAAGTCTCCATTAACAGATAAGATTGAGATATCTGCTCAAAACTCTTGGTTAGTGCTAAAGGAGAGGCTTTTACAGGAGAAATCGGGTTGGTTTCTCTTCCTTTTTAAGTCATAGCAGTCATGCAGCCTGGCCTGGATTGCCCTTAGAACACCCATCGGCGAACTGCCACCCATCCCGCCAGGGGAGCTTGCCATGCTATGAAATTCAATTTTTTCCGAGAAAAATCATGCAGATTAGAACTCTTATCCCATGCAGACTGAATCTCAACAGCCTTTTCAAATACACTAATTACTAATATATATAGCAAGCAAATTTTCCCCAGGAAGTGACATGTAGCTCTTCTTCCACTTCTTTGCAGATTTTCTCTGCTCTTTCACCCATACTTAGTCCTTTCAATGCTCTGAACTTCATTTTTAATCCTACCCACATTTGTTAACAAATTTTGAACTTCACCGTGACTTTTGAATTTCAAGTTCCACTTCTACATCAGCTTCATTGCTTTCCAAATCTTGCAATTTTCTTTTGAAATTACCATTACTCAATAATCTGGGGGAAGTATAATGTCTTATCCCAGAAGATTCTATTGTCAGCTCAAGAAACTTTTTGTATTTATTGCATTAGGCTATGCACTTAAACCAAGTCAAAATCATGGCTAAACCAATTAATCGAACCTGAATTTTTAAAATGGAATATTATAAGCATTTCAAAGGATATTAAACTTGAGGGATATATTCTTGATTATTATATTAATCAAGACCTCATGTATTGAAGGCACTCTAGTGATAGCCTAGGTTCAGCCATAAAATGGCATTTCTTGCTTATATTCCGAGTATTTGGCTGCAGGAGGCCAATAATTTTCCGCAAAATCCATTATTTCTTCTCTCAATTCCTTAACTCGCATTTCCTTATTCTTTTTGCAACTTAATACAATGGGGAAAAGTGTTCTATGGATAAGAGAGCTCAGAAAGGGGCAAAAAAAAAAAAAAAAGAATAAAGGGTATCCTAGCAAATAATTATTTTTAGTCTTTTACATCATTGTAGCAATGAACCTGTAGTTTGTTTGTTGGTTTTGTTTAAACCGTATAGCTGATTACTTTAAACTGATTCAAGTAAAATCTCTCTCATACCTACTTATATTGTTCTCCTAATCTCTGCTTAGAGCAATCTAAGCCACAATAAACACTTTACGTACAAATTAAAATAGGGGAAAACATTATATGAACAAGAGAAAGAACTCCAAGATGAAAATGACATATAATAATATTTTCTAAATATCAGACACTAACTCTATAGATGCTGCCTCTTCCCTATCAACTCTGTGCTTGGACTCTCGACAAAAGTTATGGTACATTTGACCAAAAGCAAAAATGACAGCAAAAGCTGATAATTGTTTTGGATTATGACCAAAGTTAAGAAACAAACAATAACTAGTTGTTGTGAGAATGCATTGACCAGCAGCCAACAGTAAAATCAAGTTTGTGGAGGAACTGACTGAATCACCTCTCCGATATCGGCTTCTTGGGTTATAAAGCCAAGGGGTCATAAGTTCAAGGATGCACATAAACAAGCCAGCATAAGACATTCCCATACATATTGGCAGGAAAACAGAGGCTTTATTCGAAGAAAGCTGGTCAAAAACTATTGTTGAATTGCCTCAACAATGAAGTTGGCAATAGCAAACATTTGCTCCTTCACCTATGAAACATAAAAAGAAAATTTCTTTAACAAATTAAATGAACTAAAAATTTGTACTCTGATTTTAGTTTGGACCTTTCGGTTAACGTCACTGTTATGGCTTAAGTAATTAGTCTCAGCCGAAAGAAGTGCAGCAGAATCACCAGTTGTCCGAATTTCATCATCACCCTGTAAATCCCATGTTAGCATAACATTAGTGGACCATTAACATGTTCTCAACTCAAACTATTGTCTGCATATGAATTTGGGACCAGGAAACAACATGGGATTGGATTTCATTAATTTGACCTGATAATTTAGTACTACAATGGCAGCACATATCAAAGTATGAATAATTATAATAACTGAAAACGAAATTTATGTCCGTTTGTTTCCGTAAAATAATTTATAAGAAAATGACTTGCTGAAAAATATTTTTATGGAAAATATTTTTCTTGAAAAATATTTTCCAAATGACTTATTTTTCGTTATTTAGTTGTAATATTGAAAATTACATTCACCCTGTAATCCCATGTTGCACTTAAAACATTAGTGGTTGAGGGAACCTTATTAACTATTTAAAACGCGAGTTGTTTTCTCAACTCAAACTATTTGTTGTTGCAGATTGAGGGACCAAAGGAACACAAGTATCATGGGATCTCGCGGGATGTTCCATTATATATTTGACCTCGCTATTAATGATTAATCCTCACTACATGGGCAGCCATGCATATCAAAGTATGACAGATACTCATATAAAACATGAAAAACGAAATTTTAATGATCCGAGTTTGTTTTCCGTAAAATAAATTTATAAAGTGAAGAAAATGAACTTGACTAAAAATATTTACTATAATGTGCGAAATATATATGTTTGTTCTGAAAAATTTTAGTGTTCCTCAATAATAGACTTATTTTCGCTCTTATTGCTGAGTCTGTAATATTGAACATTAGTTATAAATATACAATTACACAGTTTCTCTATCTATACAGACCCATAGCCAAAATTCAGATAATATCACGCACATATTAGATCTTATAATTATATAAATTAATGTTAGAATGTTGAGAAAGAGAGAGATTATAAGTGATATATAAGAGTATGAAACTCGCTTGAGTTGTAACCCGAGTGTGTTAGTTAAAAATATTAAAGTGTTTATCTCATAAGACCATAGCAAATATTAATAATAATAGAAATTTTATAATTTAAAATTAATGTTAAATATGAAAAGAATGTAAATATATATAAATTATGAAAGTCGCTGGTGACCAGTGGTGGTAACTGATGGTAAATGATAGTAACTATGATAATTAACAAATTAAAAAATATGAATTTATAAGATTTGACAATATCCGGAAAATATTTTACTCTCTCAAAAATGGGAAGTTGATTTTTTTAAAAAATGATTTAATTTTCCTTTAATCAGAAAAATATTTTCCATTGACTCATTTTTCTGGACGCCCAAATAATAGAAAATTATAAAAAATATTTTTCTACAATTTAAGGAAACAAACGGGTCTTAAATGCATTTCCAATTAAGTATAAAAATGAAATATGATGACAACAATTATCTATATCTTACCTCGATTGGAGGTAAAGCTTCGAGGAGAGGCTGCTCTCCAGGTTCGAGATACTCAATAATGAATGAAATTTGTCTATACATGGTGTATGAGATGGTCCAAATAGACCAAGCCAATCTATGGAGAGTATTTTAAATGTCATTACTATTTTGTAAATTTTATTATTTTTTCACCGTAAATGGTCAGAAATATTTTCCTTACAACCAAAAACTTGTTCTTAATCGATTTAGTTTATAAATGGTCCATACACTACGAGTAGATAATTCTTTCTTCTCAATAATGCTAGAAATAACAAGGGTTATCAACCAATACCCACTTAAAAAGTATTAGTGTCTTATTTAGATTCCAGCAAAATATTTATAAGCAGCAAAAACCTATTGTGAGAAACACTAGCCCTATGATCAATCCATCACCAACAGCAAATTATCTATTACACCCTGAGGAACTAAGAAGCAGGAGCTCGACCTTTGCTCCTCAGCACTTGCGTGTAATAACAGTAAGCAAATTAATTAGAAGCATAGCACTAATGAGCTTTAGCTTAATGTTACCGGGTTCATATATATGCTGTGAGGCTGCAAAAAAAAAAAAAAAAAAAAAAAAAAAAAAAAGCTGCAAAAAAAAAAAAATAATACAAAGAGAGAAAAAGAAGGAAAAAAAATTGTGGCATAGCATGCTTAGGTGGTTGAAAAAAAAAAAAAAAAAAAAAAAAAAAAAAAAATTGTGCATAGAGGATGTGGTTGTCGTACCTCTACCAAAATTTTATTCCCTATTGTAATATAGTGCTGTTTGCCATTTTTTGTATCTTCTTCCCTACTCAAAGTGATTATGTCACCCACCATTAGACCTCTTTCTTTTACAAATCGAAGCCACTCTCCATGAAGAAAAGGATTTTGATTATTCATGATGAAATCTGGAGTGGTTACTTGAAAATTCCATATCCGTTGATGGCTGTCAGTTGCTTGAAAGATCATGGAAAATCCCCTTTCAGGAAACTGGGAAGTCCACAAACAATCAGTAGGAATTGCCAAATGAAGTTCAATATCGGTATCAGTTAGTTGCTTGCTCATGAGGACTTCCATTTTCCTAATTAAAAATAGTTTTTCTAACAGAACATATGAATCTCAGTATGGTAGCTAGCTATAAATGAGAAACCAAGATCAATCAACAAATAAAAGAACAGATTGAAGAAAGAAAGCACCTGTTATTGCAGAGAGAAGCTCTTGTGTGGAGAGTACAGCACTGTGCACATCTTTTCTTAAGAAGGAAGAAGAAGAAGCAGATGAGCATTTCTTCGCAACTACAACTCCAAAACCGTGTGGAAATTTTTATTTTCTTTAGAATTGAGGTCAAAGGTCCTATGGCTCTGGTTTATTTGACTTAGGATTTCGGGGGTCTCCGTTTACTTGGAGAAAAAGGTAATTTGCTTCGAAGACTTGATAACAGGCCTGGAGAATTAGTTATTACTTCCTTTATTCCGTTAAATTTGATGGTCTTTTTTTAACTCTTTTTCTATTCCATTTAGATGTTACTTTAATTTATTTCGATTTTTCTTAATTTTAAAATTAAAATAATTCAATCATTTTTTTAATTACGGTGACAAGTCAAAAACCCGTAAAATTTAACAGTATTCCTTGCAAACAGATATATTATTGGAAAAGAAAAATTACTCATGGTTTTGCTTTCCAACAGGATATCAAATATAGATGGCAATAGGGGAAAACATTTTAATACAGATACAAACAGCTTAACTTTTCTTGGTAAGAGTATGAACGCGTCTAGACAAAATAGGAGCGACATCGTTTTACCAACCTTCGTTTGGCACGAGTTGACTGTAATAGAGCAACGACACCGTTTTCCATTCTCCCGTCTCTGGCCTGGGCTCTCTGCTCTACTGTGAAGACAGTCTTATAACAGAAGCAGCGACCGTCTCTGAACTTGTCTGTTCACAGTGCATAGCAGCTAAAGAGAGAAAGGAGCGATGAATGCCCCGGACCGTTATGAGCGATTCGTTGTTCCTGAAGGCACCAAAAAGTAATTTCTCATTGCATCTCTCTCTTTTATTTCTCGTCGAAACGCTCTCCACCTCTGAAACTCACCATTTCCGGCTTCTTTTTTTTCTTTTAAAACCTTACTTTTCTTCGTTAGGGTTTCGTACGAGAGGGACACGAAGATCATTAATGCGGCGACGTTCACTATTGAGAGAGAGGACCACACCATCGGGAACATTCTTCGCATGTATTTATAGCTTCTTCTACATCATCATCATCTTTTAATTTTCTTTCGTTTTAGTTAGTTAATATCAGACTCTGATTTTTTTTAATAGTTTTTTTTTTTTTCTGTTGGTTTAATAAGGCAATTGCACAGAGACGAAAATGTTCTGTTTGCAGGCTACAAGCTTCCTCATCCTCTCCAATATAAAATCCTTGTTAGGGTTAGTACTATTCTGGTTTATATATCTGCGACTGGTTATTTTTTTTCCCGGTTTTTATTATAGATGAGTTGGTAGTAGGTCACTTTGTCCTTCAATGGTTCATAATTAATTAAGGTAAGTGAATAGCTTAGACTTTGTATGGCAGATGCAAATCTTTATGTCTTTGATTTTAGTTCAAAACTTGGTGAATTGGGAATGTAGGTGGACAATTTTTTGGGGGTTTAACCTATTTGATGTGCGTATGTAGATCCATACGACTAGCCAATCTTCACCAATGCAAGCATATAACCAGGCTATCAATGATCTAGACAAGGAACTTGACCATTTAAAGAATCAATTTGAGGTATGGAATTTCATTATCGTTGCCAACTTAGCAATCCAGTTACTATTGTGCTTTTGAATGTTAATTACTCTATTTTATAATTTAGTATCGGTCTTTGGTTTAATCAGCCTGCTAGCATGACATATATGTTCAAATATGATGCCATATTGAACATCATCTATGTTTGTTTGGCATGGACATTCTCTTCATTTTCGAGCATGCATTTGTATTGTCATTGTGAACCTAACAAAGGTTTAGGTGCATGCCAGATTTTCGAGGTGTCCTTTTGGGTGCAAAGTTTGAGATTGTTCTTGCTATCTTAACTCCTTCACACTCTTTTCTTTTTATGGTTGCATACCTAAATAAAGTAATATTTGCGCGAGAAACCAAGGTAGGATTTTGCAGAATTTCTAAGTGGGTGCATGTTGCTCCAAACAAATTTAGTATGAAGAGCATATGCACTTTCGTTTAGTATGTATCATCTAGGTACACCTTTTGAAAAGCTATTGAGCTATGCTTCCAAGTTTCCTACTGTATGCCAGAATGATTGACCAAATAGTTCTGCTACAATGCAATTTCTATTCGTTTATAGGTTGAAATATTAAAGGAAGTTCTGCCTGAGATTTATTCTATATATTTCTCTTGGAATGACTAGCTAGTAGCCATCGGCTATTTGATAACTAGAATGTTATTTAACTGTCCTCTGTGAAATTGGAGTCTAGCTTTATTAAAAATGAACTAACTTATTGAAATTGTTATTTTCGCATCTAGTTTTAGACTTTTAGCATCCACTTTGAATATCAACTTTGTCTTTTAATGAAGATGAGTTATTTGGAGTAAGGTGTGGTGCCATTAGATGAATTGAGATGAATTGTTTCATCATGATGAGTATTACTGTCTCCTTTTCACAAGCATATTGGCATTAAGAGTAGCCACTAGTTAGGGATTCATATAAAACCCGATTCATGATATAGGTTATAGCTTTTGGTTTGCAAATAAGTGTTCTCATGTTTTGGTCTGCATTCTTGCATTTACTTTAGGTGACTAATTGGTATGAATATTTAGAGGATAATTGTTGTGTAATTTAATATTGGTTTGCATTCATTTTGAGAAAATGAAAGAACTAAATATGTACTTTCTAGTTTCTAGTATTCATTTCTTTGTTTGAAACTTGATTATGATGTCCTTAAATTTCTGCTTGTAGGCTGAGTTGGCGAAGTTTTCTCCGGACTACTAGCTGGTGGCTTTTAGTTTGGACGTCTAGTTGATTGTGTTTAATGGCAATTTGGATAAAGACAGTGGTTTTGGTGGGCTTTGTTAATGCTGGTTGTAATTAACTAATGGATTCGTGGACATAATCAAATCAATGTGAATCAAGTTATGCCATATCTGTTTGTCTTAATCAGCCCTTGTTAAACCTTTCCTTGGATTTGAACCACTATGGTTCTGGTTCTGTTTTGATGGCATCCTTAAATTTGATTTTAATTTGTACGGGCATGTCTTGTTGCAAGGATACACATTAAGCGTGCATATTTATTTTCAATCATCGGAAGGAACTCTTGATTTTATGAGTTTCGACTTTTCACTAAGTGGTAGAAATAAGCAAAGCACTCAGCATCTAGCTTCACCTGCGCTTCTTGATCTGCAACATTTACTCTATGCTCACCTCTTCTGATGCAACTTGTTGAAGAAATGACTCCTTTTCAAGTATATGGTGTGACTACAAACCAATGCAACTCACTTTCAAACCGATCCAAATCAATTCAATATCGGGATTTTGAAAGGTTGATACGGTGAATTTGTAAAATTTAAAAATTGAATAATTCAAGGTTAAATTAACTACCGAATTGAACTGAAAATATAAACATCAAAACTCTGTTGTCATTTGTATTATAAAATTTCTGCGTAAATGATGTTCTTTCAACAGTTTGTCTTGCTCGGAAATTCATAATGGAATGGCAACAAGCACAAGTCAGTCCGCTTGCATCTCAGCCCACTCCCCAGTTACAGGGGACTTTAATGCGATGGAATCCACCGGTGTTGAGCTTCATGAAGTGTAATGTTGACGCTGCCATTTTTCCTAATTGCAATTCTGCGGTTATGGGGCTGTGTTCAGGGATTCTTATGGTCAGCTTGTTTATGGTCTTCCTGGTACTTTTCATGGCATTCTGGATCCAAAGATGGCAGAAGCTCTTGGCCTTAGGGAAGTGCTCTCATGGATTAAGGCCCACCATCTTGCAAATGTTGCTGTGGAGATTGATGCTCAAGCTATTTGTATTGAAATGAAAGGGCAGCCATCTTCGTTAACCGAATGGCATGTGATTATAGCAGACTGTGTTGAGCTTTGTAATGCCAGTAACAATATTACTGTTAATAGGATACGGAGATCAGCGAACAAAGCCGCTCACGCTTTGGCTAGAATATCTTGTTCATGTACTGGTTTTCATGTTTGGTTTCAGCTTCCTTCGAACATTGAAGCTATTGTTGTTTCTAATTTGATTTAATAATATCTTCCATTCCTCAAAATTTCAGTAAATCCATCACCATAGTTCTCAAATTGTAAAAATTGGAACAGAAATTTTACTTATGCAATAAGGAAATAATATTTACATGAATAGTGTTTTTGTTTTCTTTGGCTCTCAACCAGAAGAATATTCAAAAAGTTTTAGTAATACGAAAGAAAAATTTATTAGTTTTGGATTATTATTTTCCTTTATTCATTTGGAATGCATTATATGTAGTTGTAGTTGACCGGTAATTTTACTCCGAGAGACATTTTGGATCTTTTAAAGGGCGTTTTGGTTCAGTGCCGCTGTTTCTGATCCTATTACTATGTTACAGGTGTTTTAAGATGTTTTCTAATCAGTACATAATAGATGATAGAATTCTGAATAGAAGTTTCAATCAACCACCTGATTTGGTCTGTAATATTTTGGAGCTTTTTCATATCCATTGGTAGCTGATTCCCTATGTAATTACTAATAAAATCATTTTTTTTCAAATTAGTATTTTTTTTATGATCATTTATTGATAATTAAAATTTTTTCTTAAATATTATTTTAAAAATATAATTAATATTTTTAGGGCTGGTTTGTCAAGATGTTTCTAATCTAGTACATGTAGATAAGTGAATAGAAATACTCTGGATAGAAAGTTTACTCTCAAGACCAACGCATGATTTGGTCTGTAATGTTTTGGCAGCGTTTTATCATATCCATTGGTAGCTTGTGATTCCTATGTAATTAACTAATAAATCATTTTTTTCAAATAGTATTTTTATTGATATTTATTAGATAATTAAAAATTTGTTTTTAAATATTATTTTTAAATATAAGTATAATGATTTTTTTATTTAATAATACAGTTAAAATAGAAAATAATATTATTCATTTAAGATGAAAAAATGGACCAAGATAATTATGTCACATATGAACTGAGGGTACAACAAGGGGTAAACGAACAATGATAAATGCGTAAAATACCAAAAGTAACTATTATGGCATTAAAACTTGGAAAAAATATATGAATATATATTATTATTAGATACTATAAATCGGCAGAATAGTGACTGAGATAATATAAAAATTTATCCTTAAATTTTATAACTTTAACCTTAGAAGCAATTTATTGGAATTTTAACAAATTGATATATACATCATAAATCGGCTGAATATATAAATTTATCCTTAAATTTTATAACTTTAACCTTATGACATTTTGAATTTTACAATGACCTATCATGCACTTGAATTTGTAAATTTTGTTAATATTACTCACGTTTCGACACTAATATCAATAATTTTTACAATTTTTGACTTTTATCTATAAAATATTAGCTTGATATGTAGTTAATATGACTTTTAGAACAATAATTTTCATAAATTTTAACATTTTAATGAGTACTTAATTTATCTAATTTTACAAGTCAAAATGTTCTATAAAATAATTTTAAAAATAAAATATTTAATACGCGTAATTTTATAAATTGAAGTGTTTGATAAATAAAAGTAAAAGTTGAGGGTGTCATAAAATTTCATTAACGAAGTTCAAAGACGAATTTATAAATTTGATCATTAGACATCATAATCTATAAAAACCTTTAATGGTCATTTTATATTTTAACATCAATCATTGTCAAAATTTTACCGGACACAGACAATAAGAAACTAACTTCTATTAATCATCAGCCACCAGCTATCAGCAATCGCTATCACTATCAATTATGAACCGCTGCTGTCAAACCGCCATCAAAACAGAAACTAAATTATACAACATTTATAGATTTGGTCGACTTGAACATCTTCCGTAATTTACTTTAATTTGAATTTTTTATAAATAAGGGTGAGTATTCCACCCATTCGGTCAAATTGAATATTTTAATTAAAACAATTTAATTGAAAAAGTAATTAAAAAGCTATTGAACAACATTAAAGCAGTGGTGTTTTTCCTTTTCATGAAAATGATGCATTGAATTAGGAAGATTTTACATGCAGCCTAGCAAATACAAATCGTGAGCTGTACACCCCATAAGACCTTATTGTGGGTGGTTTATCCAATAAGAGGAATTTCACCTCCACTGTAACAATATTATGGTCATTTGGATACGACACATAGTATGTGTATTAATTGTATTACTTCATCATTTTTAATGCAATTATTAACGAATACATAATTTTTTTTTCAAAAAATAAAATTTAAATATCAACTGCCATTAATTATAGGATTAAATATATAATATCAATACAATATATATTGTGGGTTCTTTTCATCCCTGCCTATTAAAGATGTGTAATGTGTTATGTGTTCGTCTAATATATTTTTCCAATATATATATATATATATATTAATATTTTTATATATAGTCTGGCAATTTTCGTGAAAATCGCAAGTTTCCTGCAAAAGAGAGTCTTAGAGGAGGTTATGAGCTGAAAGAGTTACAAAAGATGAGGAACAACACTTACTACGTAAAACTGGGATCCCAATTGTATACAAGTTACATAATGCTTATACAGGTATATAGTGGCATTTCGTGCAAAATGCAAGTTTCCTGAAAAGAGAGTTTAGAGGAGGTTATGAGGAAAGAGTTACAAAGAGAGGAACAACACTTACTCTAAAACTGGTCCCATAAATTGTATACAAGTTACATAATGCCTTTATACAGGCATTTGAGAAGAATTCTCAAATTCGATTCCCAGTAAATATATCTGTAAGGAGAAGTGAAAAACTTTAACTGTGACTAAGTCTCGAACTAAATTAGATAGTTCATAATAATAGGATTCAACATACCTGTAAAGAGGGACGAAAAGCCTTAACTATAACTATGTCTCGAACCGGATTAAATAATTTCTAATAATAGGATTCGGAAATCGGTGGTTTATAATAAAAAAATTGCCTTTATACACCATAAAATTGACCTTATAGAAAATATGTCTATTTTGCAAAGTGTAACATCTGTTTTATTATCTCTATTTGGCTTTGCTTTTCTCTTTTTTTATTTTTTTTTAAAAAAAAACACTAAACTGATATGACATATCAATTTCAAGTGAAAATCAAATCATTTTGGAGCATTGAAACTATTATGAGATTTATAAATGAAAAATAATCTTTATTTATGGTCTAACTCAAAAAAATCAAATTCAATTAATAAAATGATAAATAAGGCACTGTATAATCAAAATTAATTTTTGAAATCAAAATTAGAATTTTTTTTTAAAGAACGAAAAACATAATTTAAACCATCACTTATTTACATTATAAAATAAATATTTGATAACATATGATTAAGATATTAATGGAACTCATTTTAAAAAATTAAGTAAAAGTGGATAATTTTATATAAATTAGATTCACCGATCATGTCAACCAGAAATCAGAATAATCACCATTAAATCATGATCAATGGCTTAATGAAGCAATTAGGTTATATTTATTATATAAAATCTTTTTGAATATTAATTATGGTATTTTATGAAGTATGATTTTTTTTTTTTTAGTCAAATGAATAGCAAGGCAAAAATCAACCAAGATAATTATAAGTCAATGATTGGTATAAATCCAATTCTAGTCTCATTTTCTTCTCCTAAGCACATTAATATATAGAAAAGGAACTTTCAAATTGCATAATTTTGTCAATTTCAAAAGTTATCAAATTATGAATTCAAACTCCAATTAAAATCTAATTAACCAAAAAAATAATTTACAACTTGAAAGGGATAATATGTATCAAATCATTCACAAAGCAATTATAAATATATAGAGAGAAAGATAATAATGCAGAGGGAGAGAGAGAGAGAGAGAAAGAGAGAGAGAGAGAGTATGCTTGGCTCCTCGCACGCCACCGGCAACAGCCAATCAACAGAAAAAGATTGAGCTATAGCTTGTGGCATACAGGGAGCCAGGCATAACATAACCCATTTCACCTTTTGCTTGAAGATAATGTATAAGCTGCGCAGTGAGCCTTTTCTTTTCTTTCTTGCTTTCAGCACACGTCTAAACTAAGCTACTGACAAAGGAAACTCAATGTGAGAGAGAGAGAGAGAGAGAGAGAGAGAGAGAGAGAGATGAGAGACTACGGAAACCAAAGAATGGTTCCAACATATATATAGGGAGAGAGAGAGAGAGAGAGCTTGGAAAACATAGTGAAGAGGGAATTCTGAATTCTGAATTTTCGATTTTCTTACCATGTAGAGATAAATTAATAATTAATAACATAAAAAGAAGACATTTTTAATAAAAATTTGAAGAAAGAAATCTCAAAAAGTGAAACCATTATAGCAACTACCGCCAAACCAACCACAACTAGTATTTAGTAGTCCCCCTATAACATCTTTTTGCTTAACAAACAAAATTCCACCTAAGGGTTTTAGGTAAAGCATATGTCCTTTCAATTCTTTTTATATATATAATAGCCCAAGTTCTAGTATCCTCTCCACTTCCACACTAAGCATGAGCTTCAAGATAGGAATAGGAATCCTAGGGCCCTCCATTTCTTTCTTTTCTCCCTCTCTTTTTCTTTCCCTTTTTTGGGTACATGTTGAAAGTTTTTACGAGAAAAAAGAAACAAATACACAATCGTTAAGTATACGTACATACGCCTGGAATTAAATTATTTACCTTCTAAGAGCCTTTTATATTACGAAATAAACACTCGATCATAAACAAACATACGGTAGGAGCTTTTCTCTCATTACAAGTAAAACTGTGTCTTCTCTTCATTTGTAAGGTAAAGAAAGAGATGCATGAATGCAAGTGAGTTGCAGTGAATTTCACTTTCACGACTCTCCCTTAATAATAATAAAGATGATGATGATTGCTTTCGTCTTTAGGAGCCAGATTTTGTCGGGTATGGTTGGAATGGAGGAATTTGGGATTCTTTTTGCCCTCTAAAGCCATCAAAATGGCATTAAACCTCTATATACTCTAACCCACCTGCACTATTTTGACCTGTACATTGTTTCTTCTTTGTCCCTTAAAAATGCATGCACTGTCCCTTGCTTGCGTAGCTAGCTACTATTTCTTTCTTCATCTTGCTTCGTTATCAACTCCAACAAAAAAATTTATTCAAAATTTTCAACTAAAAAGTAATTATAAAATTAGCTATTATTATTTTCACTATTAGTTACAAAAATGTTTTTATTTCATCAACCATATGTGTAATAATGTCTCCTGATGGTAATTTGTGTTGCATTTTTTGAGCATTCTACATCATACTATGTTAAGACATGAGACTAAAATGTATGGGGATAAATTAATAAATAATTATTTTAAATTAAATATATATTACACGCCATTGATATGATTATTGACCATATGAGTAGGGTAGGGGCATAACAGTGGCGGAGCTAGGACCCTAGGGTCAGAGATGACACTTAAGTATAATATATATTTTTTAGCACAAGAAATTCAAAAATAAATTGAATTTTGTAACGAAAATCTACCACTTTCATTCACAATAAAAAAACAATTGTGTTAATTTGTTTTTAGAAAAAAAATCACATTTGTCCTCTACGTAATTTTATATTTTGAAACTGCTGAATAATTAGCTCATTGTCAATGCTATTAAATACATCTTTCTACATAAATGATAAACAATGATTCATCCAAATATCTTATATTCGATTACACAACCAATTTTTTACAATCTCCGTTACAAAAAATGATTTCTCTACAATCAATATGTAACAAGTAAAACTAGTGCTAACTTAATAAATGAATATACTAATGGATAAACAATATGTCTTTCAATTTTAACTAACTCTTGTCTCTTAAAAAAATCAACTCAATGTTTTATATATTTAAAAAAAGTCACTCAAGGGGTTCACAAATTATAGATAACAATTTAAGGAGTTCACTTTACAAAATATATAAATAGTTGCTTAGAAAAAATTTTAAAGTCACGGGATGCATGTGCACCCTTGCAATTATATTTAGCTCCACCACTAAATTATAATAGGTTCTCAGTAACTTTGAAAGGATACCATAAAACAAATTGCATAAATTTCAAAGGTAAATCTGTACATGCAGTCAATGATACGATACGAAGAGCGGGTAATAGACGTATGACACGGTAAAGGCATGATAGTGATTAGTCATTTTGTTAGATTTGTGAAACATCATACATAGACTAAAAAAAGAAGTGTCAATCTAATCTAAGTGCAAGACAATCACGTGGGAGACATATGCCTCCTAAGAGGACTTTTGGTTTGGTAGGTCAAAGATGATGATTGTGTTTCCACAGTCGCCTAAACTTTTATCATCTTTTCTTTCCCTTTGGCGCTCTGCTCTTCACATATCAACTTTTGAGGCAGAAAATCGTATGAGGTAGGTCCCATTTCTATGCTCGCTCTTCACCTTCATTTACGCCGAGCTTTTGCCTTCTTTCATATGCCTCTATTTCTTTCATCTTTTTAATATATTTTTCTTTTTTTTTTTGACCTTAATATATATTCCTTATATATATGTTTTCAAATTTTTCTATAATTGAGGAGTAATCATGGTTCGATCGCGACGTTATTTTTGAATTGAATTGTTGACGTGGATGATTAAATTTTATTTTGTTAATTATTTGAATCGATTTTTATTAGCTAGTTCGATTTATCATATTTTGTTTATATATATTGTTAATATAAAATTAAATTTTATCTAAAAATCTCAGGCATATGATTTTTTTATTTAATATTCATAGTTAATTTATCAAATATGATTGTGATTGAAATTTGAAAAATGTTGAAAGTTTTTTTTATTTATTAAGGAATTCTTTAGAAAATTAGATTCTAATTACTATAAATATAATTATATAATCTCAAACAATAAAATCTTATTGAAGTGAAAGATTAGTAAAAAAATTAAAAGCATTATTATTTTCAATTACAAAAAAATACCTTATTGATTTGATCAGATTTTTTAAAATCTTTTTTTTATTATTTTTTGTAGCTTAAAAGTTATTAATAATTTTCTATTAACATTTATATTTCATTTTGGTTATTAGAAAAAATGTTGAATTAGTATTTATAGATTTATGTGGTAATTATCTAGAATATTAAGAGTAAATAAAAATATATATATAATTTACAAGAAGTTTATCAGAATTTTTCAACATATAGACTAATATAACAATACTTATTGCCTGCAAAAACAATTACATTCTGCTTGACAAAAATGCCATTTATGTCCATCGTTTTTAAGATTTCATGTTTTAAAAATAAAATTAGTGAGGTTTTCAATTGAAATTAATTTATTGTTTCATTTATGGAACGTAGGGTTACATTTGTAATGATTTAAAGTATTATGATTTGATTTGTAGTAATAATCCAAAAAGCCTATACTTGCGAGGGGTAATTATTAAAAAAAGAAAAAGGACTAAAGAAAACATTAATTTCTTTTTGTCATCGACAAGCTTTTATGTCAATCGATGATGTTTTGTGGAGAAGCTCCAGTTACTATTTTTGGGTGGGCACCTAGCTTTTATTATTTCGATTTGGTCAAAATACTATATCCACAATATTTATTTATTTATATTATATTTAAAAATATTATTTCATTCTATCGTTTGACAAAACAACGGTAAAACAATTAATAACTATTAAAACAGTTAATTTTACCGAATAAAACAACACATTTTGCCTAACAAAACACTATGTCAATGTATTTTTTCAAAATTGGGTTTAAAAATATATCCACAATATTTATTTATATTATATTTAAAAATATTACTTCATTTTATCATTTGACGAAACAACGGTAAAATAGCTAATAATTATTAAAACAATTAACACATTTTGCCTAACAAAACACTATGTCATGTATTTTTTCAAAATTGGGTTTATTAACTAAAGAAAATTTATTGCCTTCAATGGTTTTTACTTTTTTTACTATGATGCACACAGATCGTCTTCATTTGCCATTTCGCTTCCTCACTAGTCGACGGGCCGTTTCTCGTAATTCACCTAATATTTATTTTCTTCCTATATAAAAACAAATTTCCCGATTACGAATATTTATAAACGTGTTCCACAATGAATGAGCATTTGAATTTCAATTTGAATCCAAATGATTTAAATTCAAATTAAATTTTGATAAAACCGAATCGGACTAAATACTGAGAACTAAAAATAATTTTTGCAAAAAGACCAAATCAAAATTCTAGAAATAACCCAAAAATCAAGCTGACGTGACCGACCATCAAAATTTTTTAAAAACAGTATATAAAAAATAAATATTCATTTATTCTATTTACAGAAATGTCCTCCTGCTATAACCTGTCACCAAAAGCATAGCATAGCAATGTTATCCCATCATATCAACTTGCTCATCACTTTCCCTTAAAAATTAATACGGAAATAGTAAAAAAAAAAAAAAAAATTCAAGTAAAAAGAATAGTATAAATAATACAAAGTAATTGCTTTTAATTTGGCTTTATGCATTCTTCTGTATGGCATGGGGAGCATTTTTTTTTTTTCCTTCTAACCCCGAAATCTCTCATAGGACTTCAATACCTGCTATGTCCATTCATTTCCTTGCTGCATCAGATGATGTGTTATCCAAGGAGGTGAACATGAAATTCCCAGAAAATAAGGCTTCTTTGTCTGCACAATCAAATTGTAACTTTTGAATAAAACTTTAACCTGGTAACTTATAGTTATGCTTAAATAGGGTGACGTGTGTGCGCATATGTGCATGAGCATATTTATATCGACCAAAATGCTTGAAAATAAACAGGAAACTATGCTAACAATGCTCATCTAGGTTCATCGCCGAATCTAGTAACCAGGTTGAGGAATTCTAGATAACAGAGTGCGATGGATGTAATCTAGTAGTTTTGGCTTAATTATGATGCACAATCTTCCTATTCTTCTCTCTATTTCTATCATCTAGTAACCAACTTGAGAAATTAGAGAACAAAGCAAACTATAGCTGCAATCTAGTTTTGGTATCCTTAGCTCATTACTCTTATCCTCTCAGTCAGTGGTTGAGTAAGGGAAGAAACAGGGTAGAAATCAATTTGTTGACTGAAACCTACCTGTTAAAGAAAGACAATTGACTTCGCGGCGTACATATCTTGCCATTGCCTGCACATAAAAGCAAACATTCAGCGGATTTATGCATTGATTCAGGAAAGAAACAAGTGAGATAAGGTTTTGGAAATTTTGCAAACATTACAAAGAAAAACAGAACCTAATCAAGTTAGATGGTATGATTTGCTCAAGACGAGATAGATCCTCATGTGAAGGATTCATTATATCTATTAGCATCGCAATCAACGAAACAACTCCCTAACTTTGGTGTCCATTAGAAAAGGTTCACTTTCTTGAGATGTCTAATGCACCAAATAAGAAATCACACCTTTAAAAAACTAGAACATGAGAATCATAAAAAGGTGGTTTAATAGTTACCAGTCTCAGTCTCAGAATAATACATTTAACAACCAAGGCCAGGAAAACAATACAATTCCTCTGCCAGTTAGCACTATGAATCAAAGTGGCAAAAGCAAAGATAAAAACGTGCCTGGACCGCCGGTAATGCAGTAGCATCTGGCTCTGATTTACCATCATCAGAGAATACATTTCTGCACCACAATAGAACTTCAATCAGAACAAGAATAGACACATGTTACTTCAATAATTTTAAATTCGTCTTGTAGACCACCGGATTGAAGAAATCTCATTTTTCTCACATTTAGCATTGATATCGAGCATTGGACCCTAATGCAAAACATTATACATAAAGCCAAAAACTTGTTGAATGTGAAAAGGATGAGACGTGACAGTAAGTCAGAGTCCTATTGCTGTGAACATTACCAGATCTTCATCTTTTTTGGACAAAAAAATTAAGCCTTGATGACTGATAATATTGGTCCATGTCACCCCATGACTAATTAGATGAGGATTGCAAACAAAAATATACATCCAAAGAATACCATCATCTTTAGGTAAAATTTTTCTTGGTTTGATAGTGCAAGAAACATAATAAGTACGCCAAATTATCTTCAAAACCCAACATATGCAACTTATGAGGATACAACAACAAGAATTAAGCCTTGGTCCCAAACTAGTTGGGCTCGGCTATATGATTGGAAGTTACAACTAACAAATATGAAGATGATACAAATAAGGTGAAATTAACAAACCATGAGAAGGAATTGTCGAATGATATGCAAAATGTATTCCAAGAAGAAGAGGAGCAATGCTCATTCTTTAAAAGATTGTTTAATCTGTTGAGTAATCCGAAAAAAATCAACTAAATCAACTATGTAAAAGAAATTGAAACATTTTTATCCAATTACTATGTTTAACTCAAAAGCTATAATATATGAAAAGCTTTGCAATTGCAAACCAATTCCAGTACAGTCCTCTATTTCAACCTCAAAAACACATGTGAGATGAGTGGCCGGGGAATGTTAAGGACAACTAGTCCTGAGCACAAGTCTCAGAACCCCAATAGATTATCAATGTTGGTATAAAGCTTACCCAACATTAAAAGGAACAAAAGGACAGGTTCCTTGCACACGTCATATCTAGATACTCTCAAAATCCAAAATTAGGATAAGAATACATATGAGATTCATATCAGAGAAATTTCTGGACTCGGTTCTATGATGGTCTCACCTCCATACCACCTTCACGAGCTCATTGGATTTAACCTCTGGAAGTAGAACAGAATCATAAGCAACAATATTTCCATAGAATATCTTCTCCAGCTCTTTCATCCATTTAGTCAACAATAAGTTAACCTGCCAATAAAAAAGCACATATAGCACAAGAGTTTACAAAATTCTAGCAATTATGAGTATTTCTATTGCTATCCATGAGCATAGAAAATCAGTTCCTTGCAAAGCATCCCATGGTACAGGTTCAACAATATTGTCAGAAAGCCCAGCCCAATAATAAAATATTTATTGATAACTAGAGGGGTATTCCAACAATGGCACACGAATAACCACAAAATGACTTGATTATCTTGTTTATACTTTACTTTCCAATGTACCAAAAAGAACTGGATACCATGAAATGCAAATTATATCCTCAAGCAAACTCAGTAAGCAAAAAAATCGTAAAAACATTACCCCTGCTTTAGAGACTCTCAGCTCCACATCATGATTGTAAATCTCATACAAGTACTGCCCAAATTCAACACCTTGCTTTCCCTCTTGTTTCAAACGGCGTAAACAAAGCCACACATGGAGTACAAGCAATGAGAATGTCATTTTAAATGTCTTCTCCAAATTGAAAACTGCATGAAGAAGACAAACAAAATTTCATTTAAACCAAAAAGTTTAAAGAAGGTTCTTTATTCAATAAAAACATGTGTAGTGATGCATAACCAAATTCCCAATAGGAAAATTATTCCATACAGAGTAAGAAATGCTATGGCTCCACTCCTTCAACCCGTGCTAATCAATTGTATGAAATTCTTATGAACAAGCAACAGTTCCTAGAAACAAGAGAACAAAAAAGAAGCATGAGAATGGACTGACCTTCATAAATGGCAGGTTTATCAACTTGTGAAATGATGCGTTGGTATACCACATTTGCACCCCTGATAGAAGTGCTTTGTTTACTATAAAACAGCAGGAGCTTAAGCACAAAACGCCGGAAGCCTTGATAGTTTGGCTCTTCAACCCTGAAAGGGGAATCCAGGGCCAAGGCCAAAGAACAAGGCTTAGACCAAAACATCTTATCCAAATTTACCTGTTATAAAATCAAATAGTTTAAAACCAAACAACTATCACTAGCATCACTTGACAAACACACACACGCAGTCACAGAATTCATGACATTACTCAGTATTGTCCGTCACGATAAATGAAAAGTAGATATCAATAAAATTAGTCAATTATTGGTTGATTGATTTTAGGAACAATGATTCACAACCAAATCAATCAAAATCATAACTAAAGGGGTAAACTTGTGCAAATTACATGATAATTTATAAAATTAAAAAAAAAAAAAGGAATCAGAACAGTAAATATTCAGTACCGGTGATTTGCTGGGAAAGTTCTTATGCCTAGAATCATCAGAAGCATGTGCTACAGCCGCTGCAGAAGCCTTGGCATAGCTCAAGCGTGGGATACAAAGTTCTTTGTTGTTGTTAAGCTTCGACACTCGAGAAGCAGCTCTTCTCCAACTCGACAACATTTTTTTCTTAACACAAGCAAATTAATATTGTAGCAGTCGATCCTCTTTTTAGTGTTTCTTTTTCAGTCTCCTATTTTCTACTCACAAAACCCTTGAACACTTCCTCAGAAAAAAAAAAAAAAAAAAAAAAAAAGTTTATCAACTTGTGAAATGATGCGCCAATCCATTTTACGTATATTTTGGCATCCACCCAACATTGTCTCCTAAATCTCGACCCCTTTCTCTTGGCACTAATTAGAGGACATATTTAGACATCTAAAACTTGTTTTTTACTTTAGGACAAATCAAAATAGCCCATAATCAAGCATAAGGTCAGCATTTAAGCACAGAAGACTCTTGCTGCGTAAGGCCTCAAATTCAGAGAGATAGAAAATGTTATCAAGGGAGGCTTCATTTTACAACCACCTACTTGACATTAGCATAAGGCACATTACCACACAGTGGTCAAAAGCACCATTATAACACAAAAGAAAGACCCGGTCCCCACTTTTAGATCCGAACTCACGATATGAAAATTTCAGATCTTCTTCTCTACATTCAACCAAATTTAACGGAGAACGTACGTAGTGACTACAGTATCATGCAAATGAGTGATTTTATACAAAACCAAAAGCACAATGGGCAATATCATCCTGAAGAATCCAAAACTTGTTAAAATCTAAGTATACCATTTCCACAACCACCGCTCTCATGGTACAGAGAGCATAAGGTCATGCACATATAGCATATCACCTCAACAGTTGGATTAGTTTCATTGTCCATGCCCAACTGAACATAGTGCAATAAATGAGGGAATCTAGACTATACTTCTCTCAGTGAGTAAATTCCAGCGTATGCACACTAGTGTCACATTAGATATCTACGCGCACTTTATTTTGAGGAACAATGATATCCACACAATTTCACTACATAACTATTAGGTCAAATTAACTTAAAAAACTGGAACTAGAATGGAGGCATTTTAAGGATCTCTTTTTCTTTGGCAAGTATTTACATAGATCAACTAAAATAATTAGTATATACACAAATGTTAATAAAACACGAGAAAACCTACGGAACTAAGATTACAATGCAGGGTAATAACATATTCAGTTATTTCTACCCTTCAGTCCACAATGCCATTCATATTCCATGACATTTTGGGGGGTAGGAGGTTTCTTGCTATGGGAAAACTCCGGGATATCTTCTTTATTGACTAATAACTCATCAGAAGCTAAATTTGCTTAAGCAGTCCTGACACTCGTCAAACGCACATTGTTTTTGTAAGCATGAATTACGAGCTCCAAGCACGCGTGGATCCAGAAGGTGGCATCACACGGACGTACTAGTGTTCATGTGTGTCTCACATTGATAAATAGAACCCACTTTCGAATTACAATGACTCTCGAGAAGTGCAAGAGCGTTTCACTAACACAACTGAAGGATACACATGGACAATTTTTATTCTCTAACACAAAAGGCAAATGTTATATTTATGTGTGATTTATCGCAGATCCTCTCGCGCGATCCGCTTTCGTGTTGGAGTTAAGAGTCCCTTAAACTGTCTTTGGCCTACGTACTTCCTGTTTCGAAGTCTATCGGAAAGATCACAAGTCAACGTAAAGTTCGATCAGGATCTTTCTACTTTTCATCTAAAAAGCCGGCTTTTGTGAAACACTGTGGTTATTTCCTCCATAATAAATGAACAAGAGTATGAAAAGATAGAATAATAGACATAAACCATGTATGGGAGCTTTTGTTAGGCAATTCTCGAGCCTCTTGAAAAATGTAGATTTACTACTATAGCAGGATTTATTTTCTCATTTCTCTGCAAAATTGTTGCCACAAAAAAAGTGATTGGTTATTGATCGTGAATTATCTGAGTTTGAGTAATATTTCTTAATAAGCTGTTGTTTGTCACCAAAGTAAGAAAAATGAATTAGGGGGAATTGGAGAACTAATTATTATTGTATATTTGCACAATTATATTCATGGATAAAAGGCCATTATTTTTTATGTTACCCTAATAAGATAGTATTATTGTTATGGAATTTATTAAGTAGCAATTTGTATTAGCCTATTAAAAAAATATTATGAATATGATGATTTATAGGCTAGATATTGTATCTAGCCGAAAAATTATTACTATTATTTATAAGGCTTTTAGAGCTACAAAAATGTGTTATAGATTTTGAAAGGCTTTTCACATATTTAGCCAAGGATAGAAGGTGTTGATCCAATATAAATAAGCTAAATCTGATGTTAGTACATCATAGCCTGGAAAATTAAGTCTGGTGATAGGGTCTAAAGCAAAAATTTTAACTATGTGATTGGCGTGTGAGGGAAATAGTATTTAGAGAGCAATTTAGCGGTAATTTGAACAAAATAGACCTTAATTTGTTTTATAGTTGTAAGGAGGGTACAGTTCTTTTAGAGCTTCCCATAAAATATGCCTGACTTGGATGTATTATATCTGGACGGAGGATTTGTCGCTAAAGACCAAGAAAGCCTACAAAGATATTATAGTTTCAGGATCTTACTTAGCTTCTAGCGGTCTCAATCATTTGGTTGTTGTGCGCGCGATCAAAACAAAAGTGGGTTAGCTGTAGAAAGGTTCTTAGCATGTAGGCAATAGGGGTTTTTTATGGGTGCCTTAGAGGGACTGCAGCAAACAGTAAGGGTCTACTCGTCTATATTATATAAATTTACTTAGTGAAAGTTCTATGTTCCTTTCTCTATATAAATGGTAACTTCCATATTTAGGGCTTTCGAAACTATTTAATATGACGGACAGATGACTTATTAAGTGGGCGCGAGATCGAACTAAGGATGATACGGGAGAGAGTGAACAGGTCAGGTGGTGCAATTAGATTGATGAGGAGACGAGACAAATTAAGCAGAGCGAATATGTATGAATAATAAGACCAACGAGGAGTGAGTTAGTAGTCGGTATAGGGCCATAGAGGCTTTAGTCTGCAGCTGGGTCTTACGCGATTTTAGGGGCTCTCTGTTAAATTTTTTTTTACCTTTTATGTGGTATTTTATTATTATTGAGAGAGAAGTAATAGAGCGCGGGATGTGAGAGAAATATTTGGCCAATTTCGTTAGCTTAAATTTATTTTTATATATTATCAAGTTGCGTAATGCACATATGCAATTCACATTTGATATTATTATAGCCCTAATGATGACATGGAAATGATCAAATAATATTTTTTAATGCAAAATAGTATTGGTATATAAAAAAGAGTTTATTAAGTAGAAAAAGAATAGTAGTATTTGAACATGGCATGTTGAATATGAGTCCGTACTTAATATAATTTTTTAAATAATTTTAAAATAAGTGATACAGAGTATGTTTATATAAGTAAATTCATTTGAAAATTTGAGTATTGGTTACACCTTAGTTAATTTATAATAATATTATATCTTCGAGTACAGATACACAGGCTATGCTTTATTTATAATACTCATTTTATTACTCAACAAGCTAGGTTTAAAAAGTCTCCTCGGTTAATATTAATGAGTATAGTGATATAATCATATATTAATTTTTTTTAATTTTTTAAATAAAGAGTGTCTCATTCCATGAAATCTCTTTTTTTTATTACATGTGATTAGACTAAAGAATAAGCACATCTAAAGGGTTCTTATAAAACTTTATAAAAGTGCGATAGATATAAAAGCAGCTCTCTCACTGAAGGTGAAATACGAGACATAAGAGAGAATAGACTCTTGAAATAAGAGGAGGTAGGATAGAACATAGTATATCCATCAACAGATCAATGAGAAGAATGAGTTAAAGACATATAATTAAGGTTTTAACATCTATATGAAATTGTAATACACACACACACCAGAGAGAGGGTTGGTCTTTCGGTGGGTAAATTGCTTATTTTATAAAAAAGTTGCCTGAACATTAAAAGAGAGAACTAAGAAAAATACTTTCGGCGTGTCCCTAGAGCAAAGACCCTGCACCTGGGTGATATGAGTTGCTAACTGACCTGGGGACTCTTGCCCAGAGGATTCAGTTCTCATGGAGTGCGCGGGTCTTCGAGTTGGAACAAAGGCTTTGTGTACGCGCTGCGGAAGCTGGCCCCAGACGTGGCGCCATCCCAGCTTGAGGGCCACATGGAGCACTCAAATTCACATTAATCTTCTAACGCGAACAAGGTGCGTTGGGCTTTGGGAGCGGGATAAAAAAACAGACGGTAGACATGAGTTGCCTTGGCTAATGGCGGATTCTACCACTTCTTTCAAATAAATGTCGTCTTCTCTCTTCTTGTTCTTCTCTTCCTCTGGAATATGCCGGTTCGGGTCTCAATTATATCAAATCCGTCAATAATACCCTCGCTTTTGTCTACTTACAGTCCTCATACGTCCTCATCCAGATCAACCATGGGTCTCCAAAAGCAACCCCTTTGCAGGTTTCTCTCCTCTTTCCTTAACTGTTATTTTTGATAATTATTGATTCTCTTCTGTTCCTTTAAATCATATTTGCTTGATTCATGTAATTCCCTTACATTGCTGTTATTAACTGTGTTTTTTGGACCATAATAGATGATTTACGTTTTCGTTACATGCCCCCATTTAGGTTTGTTATTTGCTTCAAAGTGGTCATATTCTGTTGAGAGTTTCAAAAATAAACTTGAAAGTTCAAAATCAAAGCTTTGGCAATATGGGGCCTTTATTATCTTGGTTGAAACTTTAGGATTCTAGCAAGTTATTATGACAAAACATAGGATAATCTGACTAAGGAATTTCAGGTCTTCTTCATAACGATATATGTTTCCATTTTTCTTTTTTTCATTTATCTTTCGCCTTCCTAACTTGAGAGATCAGATTATAAAATACCAAAAATGCTTTTAACATTCTGCTAAATTCTCCCTGACTTCCTTTTTGGAGTTCTGTTTTTCAAAATTTTTTTTGTCCTGTTGGTATTCCAAGGAGCCTTATATTCGTGCTGAGAGAAATCCATACTTTCAATGGTCTAATAAGAGGTTTTTTTTTTTTTTTTTTTTTTTGAGAAGAAGGGTGATGTGAAATAAATATTTGGATCGTTTTTAAATAAGCTTTCGAGCATCACATTTAAATTATAATCAAATATTTTAAAAATAATTATAAAAAATTATAAAAATTTTTAAATGTGTCATTGTCTATATATTTATATTTTAAAAATATAGATTTAAAAAAATTTGAAAATTTTGAGTTGTTAACTATTTATATATATTATATTATAATTAAATATTTTATTATAAATATTTTTAACTAGTAATTTTAATATATTTCAAATTTTATTAAAATGTTATCAGAAATCTCTTTTTTTCTTATGTGTTTATATACACGTGTTATATTTAGCGATTTAACTGGTTAAATTAAAAATTATTTAAAAAATGGTAAATAATATAGATCATAAATTTTAAAACTTTTAATTAATTTTGAAATTGTAATAAAAAAAATATTGTTTGGGTAATTTTTTTAAAAATTTGCTTAAAAAAAAAAAATACTTCCAACAAAATATTTGAAATTCTACTGCATTTCAAATTTATATGGCTGTTTCATTAAAAACTTTTCCCGCGTCCAGACTCCATCCATGGCAACTCAACAATTCTACATTAATTCCTAGACGAACAGCGTTGGCTTTGAGCGATAAAAAACAGACGGTAGACGATGAGTTGCTGCTATGGCGGATTCTACCACTTCTTCAATAATGTCGTCTTCTCTTCTTCTTGTTCTTCTCTCTGGAATATGCCGTTTCGTCTCATTATATCAAAATCATCAATTTCCCCTCGCTTTGTCTTCTTCAGTCCTCATCGTCCTCATCCAGAATCAACATGGGGTCTCCAAAAAGAAACCCCTTGCAGGTTTCTCTCCTCTTTCCTTACTGTATTTTTGATAATTATTGATTCTCTTCCTGTTCCTTAAATCATATTTGCTTGATCATGTAATCCCTTACTATTGCTGTTATTAACTGTGTTTTTGGACCATAATAGATGATTTACGTTTTCGTTAATGCCCCCATTAGGTTTTTTTTATTTGCTTCAAGTGGTCATATTTCTGTTGAGAGTTTCAAATAAACTTGAAAGTTCAAATCAAGCTTTGGCAATATGGGCCTTTATTATCTTGGTTGAAACTTTAGGATTCTAGCAAGTTATTATGACAAAACATAGGATAAACTCTGACTAAGGAATTTCAGGTCTTCTTCATAAGATATATGTTTCATTTTTTTCTTTTTTCATTTATTCTTTCGCCTTCTAACTTGAGAGATCAGATTATAAAATACCAAAATTGCTTTTACATTCTGCTAATTCTCTGACTTCCTTTGGAGTTCTGTTTTCAAAATTTTTTTTGTCCTGTTGGTATTCAGGAGCCTTATATTCGTGCTCGAGAGAATCCATACTTCAATGGTCTAATAAGAGGCGGTCTAATAAAAGGTGATAATGCCTCAAGAGATCAGACTTCTTCTACCTTGAACTTTCAAGGAATTGATGAAAGCCAGAATTTTTCTGGGACTACATCGGATATTAGTGATGAAAGAAGTAAAAATTCTAGTCAAGATATATCCGAGGAGTTCATGGAATCACAAGAAGAGGACTTGTCCTCAGTTAATAACATGAATCCCATCGGGCAGTCTGCATTTTCAAAGTTGTCAAAAATTGCTAAAGTAACTCCAGTTTCATTCCCAAACTTCCAATCTGAGTTAACCATTGAGGTTTTTGATACATGTGATTCAGTGAAAAAACCTAGCCCTAAGAACTCTGAAGCAACTGAAGAGTATCATATTGTATCTAATTTAGCAAGACCTGTAATAGAAAAATCCTATAGCATAAACCAAAGGAAACAAAACCTGTCGAAGATACCACTTCCTCAATCTGCAGCATCATTTTATAATGGATTTTCCCCACAAATTGAAATTGTGGAATCATGCGAAAGCATTAGCAGGTTAAATTTATACTTAAAATCCAGAAGAGGTGATGTCAGTGTTGGTGTTCCTGGAAGATTCTTGCATGCTGTAATTGGACAAGATGTCTCTGGTAAGTTCCTTTTATCTACTCTAATAACCCTTGTTAATCAGGTCCCTCAATCTCTCAATTTGTCTCCTGCAAAAATGAACTGTTTTTCATCAATTGCTTTGGAGAACACTTGTATGATTTACTTAGCCTAATGAGATTTATGTTTTAAAATAACACTTCGAGAAAACATCTTAAAGATTAAGCTGACTACTCCATTGGGTCCATAAAAAATTTTCTGGTCAATTCAGAAGTGAAAATTGTTGATATTATAAATATCATTACATCATATTGGCCTTCTGGAATTTTTGTTGGGGTTTCTTTCTTTGCCATTTCATTCTCTTTGTGCTTGATGCAGTTTATAGTTCTTAACCGACTTTTAATTACATGGATTCATTGTGTAACATAGAAGAATTTCTAGTGAAACTTCCCAATTGAAAAGGAACTTCAGAGTGCCAAATGATATAGCTGAGCCGACAACTTGCAGAAAGATAGACTTGACTTATATCAAGACAGTGAAATAAGGGCTGGTTAAAAAGTCTGAAATATTAGGAACATCTATAGACATTTGTCCCCCTGTGGTAATCAAATCAATTGTAAAGGATATGTATGTCTAATTATACCTAACTTTTTACAGATATTGGATCTGTTGCTGCAACTATCATGTATGCCTTCTACTTGAATGAAACTCTTGAAAGTGATCAGTTATGCACTGTACCTGTCATCAATATGAAAAGGGCAGATTTCAGCTCTCATGCTGAACTGACATGGTTGCTGGATTCATGCCAAATCGATGAGTCATCCATAATATTTATAGATGAGGTATGCTTTCTCAGATTGCTGAAAACTTTAAATATTTAGTGTGAGTAACATGATCTGCATGTATCAATTTAGTTCAAAGATTATCCAAGTAAACATGAATAACCTATGCTGTCATCTTTTCTTTGTCCCCCACCAAGAATGATATGTGGAAGTGGAAATATTTACTGAGTTAAACATGTTTGTGACCAAAAATTTCTTGCATATTGTTTCTTCCCCAAAATTTCTAATTATTGATCAAAGTATATCCCCATCACAAATTCTTATTGGCCCCAATTAATTGTAACTGTAGTAGTTAGAACTCTACTTTAATTTTTACAACAGTGTTTTCCATTTTTTAATACTGCTAATGGACATAATTGAGCATAAACTTATCAAAACCAACTTCAAATTCAAGTCTTCTCTATAATTCAAATCTATCAGTTTTTCTTACTAATTGCTTTAGGCATATTATTTTCTATTTGTAACATGATCAATTTTAATTTCTTTATTAATAGAATTTTAGCTTATAAAAATTTAGTTTATGATCATTAACCATAGACATTATCATAATTAAGTAACTTAGTTAAATAATTTGAATACATTGCTTACTTGAAGAATAGATAGCTATCATAATAATCACATAGAATAAAATAATTGGTGAATGTTAGTACTTTATGAAATGAACTATATCCTCTCCTATTAGCTATAAAACTTCATCTAGAAATTCGACATTAGTTCCTATGAATAAAAGATTTTACATTTTTAAGATATATCTTATGTTTCTACTTTTTCATAAAATTCTAGAAGTAGTGCAGCTTTATTGTCTAGCTTAGGCACCCTGTTCACATGAAATACCCTTTTGTGTGTAATGATATTTTGAGCAGATTGACCTGTCATATTATGATCTCTTTGGAAGTTTAAAGCTGGTTCTGCTAAATGGGCATAAGCTCCCAACCAAACAAGAGGTAATAATTTACTGAAAGGATTACCTCTTTATCTTAATTATAGCCGTTACAGATGCTTGATACTCATTATATTCATATTTAAACAGGCATTAAAGGAAGCAGTGGTTGAAATATTCAATTGCAGAGAGGTATATTTTATTCACTGAATTTGGTCAACTAGAAAATGTATTGCTCTTCCAAAAGTTTCTATTGTGCGAAAACACATAACTTATCTGTCTTTACAGGGTGAATCAGTGTACCCCGGGGTTGAGAATGTTACTGTGGGACAGGTAGGATACTAACTTATGCCTGTTTGAATCAATTTATATTTGCACAAGTCTATTTGAGCATCAAGCTGACAAGTCTGGTTTTATCATTTTATGGATAATTAAGGGTAATGCTTCAGAAGATCCTGATTGACCAAATAGAACAAATAATAGCTCACCTTGTAGGATTATCATCAATTTTATTCTATTTAGTAATATATAAATTTTCAGAGCTTTTATTGTCCCTCTACCATCTAGCTTAGTTGTTTCTACGTCTATGCTCATATAGAGAGTGAAAAATCTTTCAGATCCTGATTATTAGTAGTGCATGTCAAGACTAAGTTTGGAGTATTAGTTCAGAGTTGCATTTAGTTTATCTCGAGCAGAGTGGATTCATTTTTTTTTAAACATGAATAATTATCAAACTTGACAAGTAAGATTCTAAAATTTACGTTGTGTTAATATTATTTGCCAACTATGTAATTTATTTTAGGCCCTACTATTATGAAACCAGTATTAATGAGGCTATTTTGCATACATACAGGATGACTCTTGCTGCACCCTCATTGCTGAAAAGCTTGCACTAACTTCACCAGAGATTTTGGTGGGACAAGGATTCAGTAGAATTTTGGTACTTTTTGACTCTTCACTGATGTTCCAACTTTTCTTTCTTTCTCCTTTGTTTTTCTGTTCTATCTTGTTATCATAATTAAAGTTTGTATATATTTTGAATCAATTCTAAATATTCGTAATTTTACTTGTATATCTGTATTTGTGTAGAGATTATGTGAATGCAACCCATTGTTTTCTTCATCACTGACTTTCTAAACCTATAATTTCCCATTTCTTTCAGTTCCATTTATGTTGTTTTGATAAACGTGATGGTCTAGAATAATATGGAAGGATTTTTGTTCAGTTTTAATTTTTGAACCAAATCTCTAGCACTCAAAATTTTCCTTCTTAACCCCTTTCCCCAAGCCCCACCCACCTTTTAATTGTTGTTCCTATTATTTACTTGCAGTTGGCTGGCATCCTCTTGGATACTGGAAACCTCACTGGCTCACATTGTACAACTAAAGACAAGTACATGGCTACATTGTTGATCAATGGTGCTGGTCGCTTTGGTTTGAATGGTCTTTACCAACTACGTATGTCTGTTTTATCCTTTGACTTTTTATTTGGGATTCAGAGCTTGCTGCCTTTTCAAACTTGTGTATATAGTTCTAATTTATAGATCTAAAATTTGTATTTGCAGTGAGATACAAAATGTATGATGTATCTGATCTCAGAGTTGCTGACATATTGCGCAAGGATTTTAAGAAGTGGACAAGAGTAGGTCTGGACTTCCACTAATCTTCAATTTCATTGTTTTACCCGCAACTTGTTATATGGTGCTACAAGTTCTAATTATTACAGGCAATTGACTATATGTCAGTTTTTAATTAATATGATATTACATAATAAGTTTCCTTACTAGGTGGCAACATCTCAAATCTTAATCTGATTTTTGAGTTAAACGTATTGATATTAAGCATGTCCTAACATGGAGATTGTTAGTGATATTGTAGTGTGGCCATATTGTCGACTTATGGGTAAAAGACTTGTGTGGTTGTAAGACATAAGTCTTGTAAATGCCATTGGTAGGATAGTGGGTTGGTTTTTTTGGATGGTTAATTATGAAAAATTAGAAAATTAATCCATGAATTTGATAGACCCAAAAACTGTCTGAACCTCTGCTGAAAGCATTCATGAACTTCCTTGACGTGCAAGTAAGAAGGTGTGGATTTTTTGTCATGGAATCCAAGGCTATCTGTATATATTTAGTATATTCGAGCTAAGGATCCATCTAATCATGAAGGATACGTATTGGTCAATTATCAAGTAGCATTTTGTTCACAGCAAGCTTTTTAGTATTATTCCTCATGGAACAGGGTACTGATTTGGGATCACATATTCTGTGCTTACAAGTATTATATATCTTGATCATTATGAAGCTTAAACTTTACTTCCATTGTGTTACCTGGTACTGCAGTTATTATGTCTTTGGACTTATTATTCAATGAATTGGCGAGTAAGAAGTGCAAATAAACTGTAAAATTGCACTCAAGGATCAGAAAATATTATGACATTCGTTAACTTGCCTTTTTTTGCTCTAGAATGTACGTGGATGCACCATTGACCCATCTATTTTAGTTGCAGGTGCACTTGAAAATATTATCTTAGTGTAAACTATATGCAAATTTCTATTTCATGTGCATTGTTATGAGATCACATTCTAATCGACAGATGAAGCCTTATAATGCACTTGCCTTTTAACAAGGAAATTGTTTTTCCAGGTAAGCTAGATACTGCTAGTTCAAGGTCCTTGATTTCAAATATTGGTATGAGTTCTATTGGCATATCAATTGAGCAGTTTCTTGCTCATGAGGGCATCTCAACTGAAGAAATCAAAAATTTCCAGCGTAAGTAAATTGATAAAATAGTCAAATGTAGCTTTTACTTCAACTAATCATGATCAGGCCTCCAACTAATTGTTAAACTGTCATGGGGAAAACAAATTAGAATCACATACAGTTGATTTGGTGCCTTGCATCAGTTTGTCCGTCCTTGTACAAGTTTAATTGAGATGTCATGGTGTAATGCTCTTATTCAGAGTTGATTTACTTATAACAAAATTGGTTTGCAGTTTGCACCTCATACCTAAAGTACAATTTATAGTAGGTCATTTCTAAAGTACATAAAAGGTAATTTCAGATTTATGAAATTTTAATTTTTGTGATTAACCCTTCTTATTTCATTGACAATAGCACGTTGCTTGATAAAACAAGTTTGTGGATACAGTCTCTCTCTCTCTCTATACATGTATATACAGGAAGGCACTGGAAAAAGACATTTGTTCTTCACTTTATGCTCTGTCCAACTATTGCTTCACTTTTGACTTCTGCTGAAGAAGGCTTTAGCTTCTGAAGGTGTTTGATTGTTTCTCCCTAATGCTTTGTTGCTAAATCTCAGAGTTGGAGAAACTTCGGCTACTCATGATTGTATCTGGGTATTATGATTCACAGAAGAACTTCAAGGTATGGAGACACTACTGTTAACCATTTATTTATTTATTTGGTATCACATCTTGAACCCTGGGCCATGAGCCAAAACCCATTTAGATACACTGGGACGTTCATAGGCTGAGCTAGTCTTTAACTAACAGATGACTAATCAAACTATCGAAATAATATATCAAACAATAGTACCAAATAGGAATATATATTTCACAATCAAACCCTTAGTGAACTGCAGAGTGTCTAGATTGAACTAATGCAAATAACTGATTTGGCCTGAAGCCTTTGTTAAAAATTCTAAACTGAATGTCACAAAGTCTGCAAGTGTCTCATGGCCTGATCTACAAAATATTAACCTGAAAAACAAAGATGATTGGACTCCTACAGAATGTTTCATACAAGACAGTAAATAATCATAGGTTTAGTTCATCGGTTATGAAATTATCATTCATGTATCATTCTCTATAGACAATGAGGAACAAAAGAATATATCTTTCTGAGAACACAAAAGCACTTGGAAAATACAAAAGTGGGTAACAAATGGAACAGAAATGGCATTGCTGGAGGACCAATATGCGCTGTCATAAACTTAAATGTGTTACTCTAAAAATGTTTTGAATTCATTAGAAATGCATTATAACTTCGTTTAAGCTCTATTTAATGTTCCATTTTTTAAAAAAGGATTTATTTATTTTCCTTCAATATTTTAAGTCACCCCATCAGTACCTCATAGGGGTGGCCAAAATCCAGTTTTTGAAACCAGCACCGTCGGTTCTGAACCGGTGGGAACCGGAACTGGTCCGAACCTAAACCGGAACCGGTCCGAATTGGTTTGGTTCCGGTTCCACCAGTTTTGGAACCATGAACTGGCGGTTCCCAAAACCAGTCGGAACCGATGGTTCCAGTTCCGGATGGAACCGTCCTGTATCAGCACATGTATCTTTGACCAGCCACAGATTTGGTGTAGAGATACTGATTTTCTATTCCTTGATTTTGGTTTCTGTTACAGATTTTCTGCTTGTTTAAATTCAAATAAATCTCCTCTGTTTTAGGAGATATTAGTTGTTAATCAGCACATGTATCTTTGACCAGCCACAGATTTGGTGTAGAGATACTGATTTTCTATTCCTTGATTTTGGTTTCTGTTACAGATTTTCTGCTTGTTTAAATTCAATAAATCTCCTCTGTTTTAGGAGATTTTAGTTGTTATTCTTGTGTATAAATTCAATTCAATTTCTCAATAAAATCATCAAGTCATTCCTGAATTTCCCTTTGTTTATATGGTATCAGAGCTGTATTAGCTCTAGCGAGTAACATTCTCTGAATATCCAACCCAATCTCATCAAATGGCCTCCAACGTAAATGTCATTAATGCTGATTCCAATAACAACAATACTAATGTTGTTCAATTCAATCCAGTATCTCAATTACCAATTAAACTTATTGGCAGCCACAATTTTGCCACTTGGAAAGCCCAAATAAAGCCAAACTATCCATGCTTATGCATGGAACACAACCTGTTTGGCCATGCTTAAGATGGAACCTCCCCCAGCTCCCTCACCTACTCTTACCCCAAGATAATCAGCAAATTTTTGCAAAACCCCAACTACAGTATTTGGTTTTCCGACAAGACTAATTGACCAGAATGCAAATGCATGGCATCTGTCGATTCAACAATTGCTCCAATGTGCTGCTGCCATCACCGCCAAAACTTGCAATGGAGCTCTCTTCACCACAGCCCCTATGCGCAATAAGTTCCCAAAACGATTTCAAGTCTAAGAGACCAGCTTGCTCGTCTACAAAGAGACTGCCCCGATCTGTGACAGATTATCTTCATCAAGCTAGATCTCCTTTGTGAGAACTAGCAACACGCAGGAAAGCCAGTCTCTGATGATGAATTAATTGTGAAAATTCGTCAGTGGGTTTTGGACCAGAATTCCGTGAGATTTTCTGCTGCAATTCGAGCAAGAGATTCTGTTATCTGCCCTACGAATGAATTATATGAGAAGCTGCTTGATCAATGAATTATTTCTTCACATGAAGGAATCAAAGAAGGTGTTTCGCCTCCAATTCACAGCTGCAATTGCCAACCGCAATAGATTCAACAATTTCAAAAAAACAATCGCAATAATCGTTGATTCAATAACCAACCAAACTCTCAGTTTGGCACTCAATAATCGGTTCCAATTCTTCTAACTCAAAGAACTCGGTGTAATCTCTGTCTCTCCAACCTACCATTTACTACCATTTACTGTGACAATCTAGGAGTTACCTACTTATGTCACAATCCTGTCCTTCATAGTAAAATGAAACATGTAGCTGTAGATTTTCATTATGTCAGACAAAAAATTCAAGATCAACAGCTTCTGGTCAGTCACATTCCTAGTCCAGATCAATTAGCTGATACACTCACAAAGCCCCTTGCAAAAGAACTCTTCAATCGTCACTTATCCAAGCTAGGTGTTGTTCCACACCATCTAGCTTGACGGGGGTATATCAACACATGTATCTTTGACCAGCCACAGATTTGGTGTAGAGATACTGATTTTCTATTCCTTGATTTTGGTTTCTGTTACAGATTTTCTGCTTGTGAGAGAATTAATCCAGATCCATTACGATGAACCTCAATACCGAGGAAGTAATTCAAGGGACCAAGATCTTTGAGAGAAAAATGGGCTGCTAGAGATGAAGTGATCTGTTTGACGATCAAAGTGTCACTGCCAGTAAGAATTATATCGTCCACATACACCAAAAGATAAATGATGCCTCGCGATGTTTGGTAACCCTCGCGATGTTTGTTAAGATAAAAAGGGATGGATCAGATGGATCAGATTTGGATTTAACAAAACCCAGTTGTAGCAGATGTGATGTAAACTCATTGTACCAGGCACGAGGTGCCTGTTTAAGTCCATAGATAGCCTTCCTCAAGCGGCAAACATGAGATGGATGAGTAGAATCTTCAAATCCAGGAGGTTGAGACATAAAAACCTCTTCTTCAAGTGTCCCTTAGAGAAATGCGTTATTGACATCAAGCTGATTCAGAACCCAATTATTTTGCACAGCAAGAGAAAGAACAATACGGACTGTGGTTGGTTTGACAACAGGGCTGTAAGTGCAGTGATAGTCAATGCCGGGGCGTTGAGTAAATCCGTTGGCTACAAGGCGAGCCTTGCATCTATCAAATGAACCATCTGCTTTCCTTTTTATCCTGTAAATCCATTTACACTGAACAATATTCTGGTTAGAAGCCTTGGGAACAAGTGCGCACGTTTGATTCCGAATTAATGCATCAAATCAGCGTGATTCCGAATTATGCATCAAATTTCTGCTTGCATTGGCCTGTTTCCATTCGGGTTATTTTTGGGCTTGTTTTAAATGTATGGGGAGTGATGACAGGGGAAAGGTGAGCAAGATAATCAAACGGTTTACGAGGAGTCGAAATATGTTTTCTGGGATCTGGGGGTGGGGCGGTTTAGGGGGGGCTGGGATCTGGTGGTGGGGCGGTTAGGTGGGGGTGGTGGTGGTGGTGGTAGGGTGGGGGAGGGAGTTTGGTGTGTTGTTGGATTATTGCTTGATGTAGGATGAGAAGATGAGGAAGAGATGGGTGGTAAAAGGGTGGTAGCAAGAGGATGATGGGTGTGGCCACGATGATATGTAATGAGAGAATTATTTTGGGAAGTGGAAGGGAGAGATAAAGAAGTACTTGAAACCGTGGAATCCGTAGGAGAATGACCGGAGGAGACGGACGGTGCTGTATTGGTGTGTGTTTCCCTAACAGTAATAGGTGTGTGTTTCCCTTTGTTTATATCCTGAACAGATCGGAACCGGCCGGAACCTTCAGTTTTGGAACCGTTAAGGACCCGAAACCATTAATTTTCGGTTCAGTTCCGGTTCTAAAAAATTTGGAACCGGAATCGGCGGTTCCAGGACCGTGGCCACGTCTAGTACCTCATGTAGAACTTGAGCACTCAAACTGGATTTCGCATAATAAGAAAAGCACCATTTTCCAATTTAATCAATTACAGGGAAAGGATTTGTACTCAGCTAGAGGAGGGGAGTGGTCCTCTCTAATAGTTATCATATTGGTTACTGCTGTTTGCAGATTACCATCCTTATATTGTTCAATGTGGGAATAGATATGGGAATGATCTTGAGACATAGGTCTGTGAACAGTCTTTTTAATTAATAGAACTTAAGGCGTAGGGCATTAATTATCACAATGGCGAGAGTCTTGGATTTTCAAGACTGCTTGCTTTCTTAGTCTTCAGGGAAACTGATTTATGCATAAGCTTGTGCCGCATCTGGTCTATGTTTGAGCAGAATCAACTCTGAGGTGCATTTTCTAATCATAGGATTGCATAGGATTGCATATACCACAGACTTCGAAAAAGCTTTTGTATTCAAATTGAGCAGCAGATAACTTCTTTATTAGTCATGACCCGAGGATTTGTCAAACTCATGGTGCTTTTAAGTATAGAAGTTAATATCTTAAGAAAGTTCTAAGGCAAATTCAATAAGCTCAGAATAAGGAACTAGTCATTTATACAAATATTATAGGATTTTGTGAAGAGCAATAGTGAGTCAACAAAATGAAGCATTGAAAAAGGAAGAGTGATAGACTACCACATAGTCAGTGAACGGTTGGAATGTGGTCATCAAAATTCAAGTTTAAATGCATGCCCATTGTTATTGATTTGGAAATTTATTATTGTTATTATTATTACTATTTGATTCTAAAACTGTTTTTGTTTAAAAAAGAATCATAAATGTTGTACCAATTGGTTTGTCTTTTTTTTTTTTTCCCCTTCTTAATGTACAGTGAAAACACAATGGTAGTAATGCATTCATAGCTTTGCTCTATTTTGTCATTAAGAAAGTGCATTGATTCCTACTTCACATGCTTTTGTGTAATTTAGAGAGAGATACTGGTTGTTGCTGAATCTGTGGAGCTTATGAAGAATCTGCTGCTGTTCTTAAATTCGAATGCTTCACACCTGCCACTCAAAGTCCTCCATAACCCAGGTCAGTTTTTCTACAATTATGCTTCCTATAGAATCCATTTGGTACAAAAGTTTCTTCGTTTTGCACTTAGAGTAGAAAGATTATTTACAAATAGTGACAAATGTGCAAGGTTCAGTGTCTATTTCTAAATGCATGACATGCGATGATGAACGTTTATGGAAAATAATACATCAAATTGCATTCACAATGATTCAATCTATTTAGCAAGCCAAGACTCCAACTAAACCTATAAAAGTAAAGAGTTGGTTACGAGCTCAGATGGGTCTATTTTCTTCCAAAAGTAATCACTCCTAGAGAGCCTTAGGGATTTAACAATTGATTATCAAATAGAATTTTTTTTTTCTTTTTTTATTTTAGTTTGAAGGTAATTAGTTGAATAATTAATTTTCAAGTATTACTATCAAGCTCTAGGGCTCATTTTGTATTGCTAGCCCTAATATACCGGGAGGTTTTTTATGGATGTAAAATGATTTTGAGAAATGATTATATTTGAATATTTTTTCCCAGAATTACATTTAGACCAATCAAAAGATATTACAAGAATCTATAATTCATGAACTCATGAATCATGATATTTGTTTCTAGTTTTGACGCAAAATATGCTATTAGCAATTAGTAACACAGACTGGCTTCAATCAGCCAGAATACTGATAACTTAGCATAGAAGTCTAACTTACATTTCTAGCACTAAGCACAAAACATCTTTATATATGGGCTCTAGAAAGGGTCAGATGTATGCACCATTTTTTGTAACTAAAACCCATGACCTCCAGATCACAAGTAAAATAACTTTACCATTACACCAAAATCATCCTCTACATATCTAACATTATCTAGCATTAAACTTGAAAAATATTTGGAGCAACTTTTGCTACTAAATTCATAGTGCTAGAGAAATGGGAAATGGAAATATTATAGGCAAATTCTTAGTGGTAGAGGCTTTGTTTTTTTTCTCCCTTTTAGATAAGCATATTTGCTAAAGTTAATATGTTGGAAGATGGTAAGAGACAATTGTCCCACATGGGAAAAAGATAAAAGAAAAGAAGGGTATATAAGTTAGTGGGGTTAAAGTGCCTTAGGCCCTTTTAACAAGAAGACTACTCATTTCAAGCCTGATGGTGAAACCCAACACTCCACGATCAAGGCTCAAGCCATCCAAATTCTAACATAATCCTTATATTTCTATTATCTCAATCTTAACTTGAGCATGTGTTAAATTGCTTTTGTATAATGGTCATGTAGGTCTAAAAGAAGAGATGAAGATATTTGAGATTGACAGGATCACATCAAGAAAGACCATTGAACGTCTCTTAGAAGATTTTGGTGGAGCATTAAAAGCCTAATATGCATGGTTTATGAGCAAAGACATGCATAATATAGGCATTTTGTTTATTCAATATGTGAATATCTAAAACAATGGTGAAGGAATAAGCAAATTTAGTGAGGAACAAGCAAGATTGCCTGCGAAATTTATAAATTTATTGTATCTTTTTATTCTGTTTGAAGTTTATTTTATTAAGTAATAGATGAATAGTTCATAGAAATTATTGTGTAAAGAATTGTGAAAATCATTTATGCATTTTCTATTTATTCTTTTGATGTAGTGAGATTGGTTCTATAATTATCCTTTGTTGTGTTTTTCCATTTTTATGTAAAGAAAAAAGTATAAAATTTTTATTTTTAATTGAAGTAAAAGACTATTTTTAAAAAATATATATATATATTTTTTGAGTGCTCCTTTACAAAAGAAAAATGATGAAATTGTATGGTTTTGAAAACCGAACCGTATGAATCTGGTTGAACTTAATTATTATACGGTTCTAAGAACCGGTTTGACAGGGTTCAATACAATTTGACCAGGTTCATTGAATTAACTCAATTTTCGAACCCAAACAATTTCATTATTGAAATTATTATATGATTTTTTTCTAAATTATTTGGATTCTATGAAAATTTCTACTATAATTTTTCTTTTATGCCAATATTGAATAGGTCTAATAATATTATGGTCAAATAATCTAAACTTGAGAAGATGTACTAAGACTAAATAAAAATGAAAAATGGAAAGGAGTAAATAATATTAGACTGTTTTTTATTTTTGATAGAACAAGGACGTGTTAGTTCTTCGGACCGTAGAGTTTAAAAATTTTTTATCCCCTTAAGAGTGCATATTTCAAAAATTAAACTTGTATTACCACGCTATATGAGGATCAAAGTCACTTATCAACTCCGACCACTACAATACTAATACTAATTTCATATATTGGATGATTATTATAATTCAACAACTTCAAATTAAAAATATTTTAAGTAAGCATTTGGTTAAACAGATTCATGTGTCTCAAAAGGAATTTGGATCCAACAACTAAGCTAAAGGTGTTTGATAATAGATGTTTGACAATAATATTAATAGAAAACTGTTAGCTGATTCATATTTATTTTATATTCGGACTCTATTAACTATATAAAAACGATGAGCATTAATTTTTTTAAAATTAATATATTTAATTTATATAACACATTAAAATTGAAAAGGCAATATTCACATTAAAAATAACGCTATACGTGTAGAGTATGTAATAATTTATTTAAAATAACTTATATAACTTTAACAATCATTTCGCATTTTAAGTTAAAAGTTTACCAAACAATTAGTATTGATCAATGAAATACTATCAGTCACGAGACACCAGCTATCAATTATCAAATTAGCAATTCGATTGCTAGTTAGTGCGAACAATTAAACCAACAAACCCTAAAATAATCGAATTAAAATTCTATGCTAACATTTGGAGTTAGCTCTTTAATTTTGGACTGTGGCCCAATAAAGTTGAAAAAAAAAAAGAAAAAAGAAAAACGATGACACTATCGGAGTGACAGCATGAGACTTGCCATTTTAGTTATCTTGAAGTGGGTGGACAATGGACTCTGGTATTTTTTGACATCTGAGGTAAAAGCAAGGTGATTGAAAGGGTTTTTTTTTTTTTTTTTTTTTTTTTTATTTTTTGACATCTTGAGGTAAAAGCAAGCGTGATTGAAAGGTTTTTTTTTTTTTTTTTTTTTTTTTTCTTTTAAAATTTGAAGATTTTTTTTTTTTTTTTTTTTTTTTTAAATTGAAGACCACGACTGCCAAGCCGAGTAAGACAACAATTTTGGGGAGTCAAATGAAAATTTTTAAATTTTTTGGAGCCAAATATAATTTTTTTATATTTTGAAGGATTAAAATGTCATTTTCAAAAAAAAAAAATTTCTAATTTTTTTTAGGCCCGCCTCATTAGCCCCAAGGGAGCTCCGCCCCTGACGACTGCCGTTTTCATGGATAGGTGGACTCTACTCGATACAACTCCATTTAAAGGTGGTGATAGTGGGACTGCTAAAGAAACTTGACAGGTTGGTGAGAGAGAAGGCTGAGTTGGGAAATGTGAATTATCACTACGAGAAAATACCGGAAAAGGTAAATAGTTCCATTTCTAAATAATTAAAATAGTTGCAATATCAGTTTAGAAACGGATAGAAACCGTAGCAGTCCAGTCTAACTTGCCGCATTTCTAAGGCATCTTAGGAACGGATATTATTTCCGTTTCTAAATGGCAAAGATTTTCCGTTGCTAATATTCTATAAATCAGTTTCTAAATACTGACCTCGTCAGGAACGAGTTTCGTTGCTGTTCCTTTCTAAACATATTTTTGTCGTTGCTGAATCCGTTGCTAAATATTCATCCTTGCTAACCCGTTTTAAAGCAAAGTTACATATATTATTATTCCCTCAAATAAAAAAAAAAAAAAAAGTTACATATAACCTTTTTTGTTTTAGCTACAGCTGCATCTCTTACCTATATTTTTCTTAATATAAAAAAACGAAGAGTGTTTTATATAGTTATATAGATTGGAAAAAAGAAAAATATCGACTTCAAAGTACGTTAGAGTTATTCAACAGAATTAAGAAAAGCTAACTCTAATATGGATTCGTGCTTCGTGGAAGTGATAGCCTTCCATAGTAAAAAGCGTCCTGAAAGAAGATCTGTCACATTTTCGAAGACCAAATATCTATTAATTTGCAACAACGAAAATGCTAAGCCCAGCTAAATGTGCCTTAGGACTTGATCAAACAAAGAATTTACTGATATTAACTTGCAAAAGATCCTGACTTGTTCAGAACTCATACAATTGTATCAAGCAGGAACGTAATATGCAAACCTAGCTACCGTCTTTTCAGAGTGTTTCATTGCCTGACTTGCTTCCAGAAAAACTCCATACCAATTGGGTATCAATGCTAGGAAACGTAATATGCACAACCTAGCTACCCGTCTTTTCAGAGTTTTCATTGGTACTTTCGGTGTCCAAAGAAACAAACGCAATTTTGGAAGTAATATAACAAAACTTAGCTACCCCGTCTTGTTCAGAGTTTTTCATAGACGATACTTTTCCGTCAAATGACCTTGTCCTCTTGTCCAATTGTTCAGAACATGCTTGTCCAGAAATGCCCTTAGCAAGATTAACTTGGAAGCTTACACTTACTGCTCCCTGGCTGCAGGCGCATACCTTTGGATGATATCTATAACTTCAGGCTTTAGAAAGTCTTTTCAGAGTGTTTCATTGGTACTTTCCGTCAAATGACCTTGTCTCTGTCATTGTCAGAGACATGCTTGTCCAGAAATGCCTTAGCAAGATTACTGAAGCTTACACTTACTGCTCCTGCTGCAGCATACCTTTGGATGATATCTATAACTTCAGGCTTTAGAATCTCTCCCTTGTTTGATGGGTTGCAAAGATAATAAAGAGCCGCAATAGCATAATTGACCTGCAACCATGATACTGATGTTTAATAACTCGCAGCTGCTTAGCACTTGAAATAGGGCACGATAGGGAGAGAGATAATGAGAAAGAGAGGGAGAGGGAGAGGGAGTGGGAGCAAGGAGTGGGAAAATGGAACATTTCAAATCAGTTTCATAGTTAATGTACATTTTAGTCTAATGCAAACCAAAAATAATAATAAAATTCATAGTACAACACCATGTTTAGCAGTTTAGCAGATAATCACAACTCTGCATTAATTTGATAATTTAGAACACCGAGTATCAATTCAGAAAGCAGATTAAAAATGCTCCCAGAAAATGTAATAACAATTTGCTAATCCAGAAGGATAATAGAAACTAGAATACAATAAACTAGAAGCCACATTGTTTTTAGTTCTTATGAAAAGTTTCAAGTTGTTAGCCATCGTGAAAGACTGGAGTACGAAAATTGAGGGATTAAATTCCATTTAGAGGAAGAGAAAAAATACGTAGTTTTGTGAAATGCTTCAAGTTACCTTCTCCTCTCAACTCAAAAAATTCAGGATTTAAAAGTAAAGATTCAAGGCAAGAAGCTGAAAACCAAAGGATCACACACTTACTGTATTTCTAACTGGACTTGATAAACATTGAATAATAAGGGATATACCATCACACTGAGCGACAATTGCAGCATTTGCTGGATCTACAACAAAAAAAGAAGTGGTTAGTTCTTATACGTAAGTCAGTACAGAAGAGGCAAACAATCTTGACAGCTTAAAAAATGCTATCACTATTTACTTTCCCAGGTGCTAAAGCATTTATATATGTTGTTTGACTTACCAGCACAAGAATTGCATAAACCCCCAACTCCAAACTCCACAAGCTTCTCATTTGGTTCTGTTATGCAATCTAGGAAGATTTCCAAAATATTGAGCTGATCAAACATCAAATACAAAAGATAATTATGTGGGACAAAATATATAGAAGACAGCTCAGTTCACATGCATTGCAAAATAATTCCAACAGCAAATGCTTTGAACCTGGCGTAAGTATGCATAATTGTAAGGATCGTAAGCAAAGTTTGCCAAGTTAGCAACAATTCTCTCTTTGGTTTCTGCGACCACAAGAACAAAATATTCATACAATTTCAAAATTGAGGATTCTAAGTAGGAGTAAAATAGCCGTCAATGGAATTTTCATACAATAAGAGAAGCTCTCAACTAGCATTTGCAAATTATTATAAATATTGTATTAGATGTTTTTCAACATCACTCAAAACACCATAGTGTAAAGAAAACATACTATTAGCAAAGTTAACAAGACACCTAAAATGATATGAAACAAGACAATCAGATACAATCATGATCATAGTAAGCCCATTGCATTATATATTGAAGAATAAAACCAAAAGCTATGGGTGCCTGTGAATTAAGTTTTAAATTTAGGCCAAACCTAAAGGAGACTCCAAAATTTCTTAATAAGAAACAACATGCAAAACAGAATCTTCCCAGAATCTCAGACAGATTCACAAAGTTAATATTTTGTCTCGGCATAAATGACACAAGTTGGGTGTTTAGTATGTCTCCAACACACTCAGACGCAAGAGTATATCACTAAGAAACTGAGGCAATATTCTCAATGCAAAGTTAACAAATGTTCAAAATTCCTCATATTATGCAAGGTTAATCATTAGAGGACTAACCCGAGTTTTTTTCTAGAAATAATGGTTAAAAAAAATAAACCTTCAAATTTCACAAATAAAATGGATGCCTTTTGCACACTGATGGAAAAATATTACATCCGATCCCCAAACCTCTCAAATTGTCTAAACTCTATTTAATTCAAAAAAAAAACATATTTACATTTCTAAATTGCTCACGTTCCACACTACGTAACACTTATATAGTTGAATTTGAATTCTGATTCTCTTCGAATTGATCATTTTGTCAAATTGAGAATCAAAGTTCATATTTTTAGAATCAAGAATCGAATCGAACCAAACGATTCAGTATAACTTTTCAAAATTAATTAAAAAGAAATACATATACATTTATGGATATATTTCCATTAATTTTATAGAAAGATACTAAAAGTTTAATTGCAAATTATGTATTTATATGAATTTCATTCTGAATAATGTAATAAACACAAAATGAAAGAGAAATTAATGACTTGTGTAGTTGCCAAGTTCAAAATATCAAACTATGAAGTTAAAATTTTAAAAAAAAAAAAAAAAAAAAAAAATGTAGTGCCAAGTTTCAAAAATATCAAAACTATTGAAGTTTAAAATTTTAAAAAAAATTAAAAAAAAAAAAAAAAAAAAAAAACTACATTCATTCATTATCATTTCCAAATTCGAGCCCTTCATCATCTTCATCTTCATCTTCTAATGTATTCTTGCTCTTCTTTCTCTACATTGACTTTCCACTTGTTTTGTTGGGTACGAGAATCATTTGGCATGTGAATCAACTCGAATTGTAAGATTCCAATCATTCACCCATAAAATTATAATCATTTAGCATGAAAATTGAATTGAATCTTACCATTCGAATAGTGAATCAAATGATTCGATTTAAAAATTTGATAAAACAGAATATGATCTAAAAAAATCAGTGTAAAGCAAGCGTACCTTCATCAGTTGCATTCTGAAATTGGCTCACCAATTCCTGTAGCGAGGATAGGAAAAATGGTGATACTGAACTAGAACAACGAACAAAGTTACTTATAAACTAAAAATAAGAAAGAGAACCTGAAGATATTGGAGCCTTGAGGTCCCATATTTTCCAGTTCGTTGTTCTTGCCTCTGATTATTTGTAAACATTTCTTCTTGCCACGCAAAGTATTTGAAAAATCTAAACCTTCGGTAAAGAATTGGCTTGGCTGTGTCAGTGAGGAGCGAAGGAGGTAGTTAATCGTCACTGCAATTAGAGAGAGAGAGAGAGAGGAGGAGGGCACTTCTATGGTGGCAGTGCCTCAGCCAAGTGAATTAACACCGTTTTGGTACGCTTGCGATGGGGGTGGAGGAGACGGAAGCCATGGAAACTTGTCAGTGTATGTTGTGGTTATGAGTAAGTACAACGCCGTCCACCTAACATCTAATTTTCTCAATCCTATCACAATCTTATAGAATCGATAAAATATAATCGTCATAGAGGTCAGAAGATATTATATTCAGCCTTACCCGATCATAAGGATCGACGGAAACGGTCTTTGCTTGCGGAATCGCGACTGTCCTTATGACAGTTGGGGAATCGAACTCCCTTTTCTGCAACAGAAGCCACCGGCAATGAAGATGAGGCTGATCGTCCGTTTACAAGCCTATGGAAATGAATTCTTATTTATGTGCCCACAACTTTTTTCATTTGGAAAGAAACTTATATTGAGAAAATATTTTTCAAATAATATTTTGTTGTTGTCAAGTTGAAATATCGAAACTTAATTAAAAATATTAAAATTTTTAATTTATAAAATAATAATAATAATATAAATTTTGTATTTTCAAAACTATATTGTTAAATGTGAGAGTAATGAAAAAAAAAAGTAAGCGGAGACGGTAGCTACTTATACTTAATAAACTAAAAAAATATAAATTTATAATATCAAAATAAGTTTGTCGAAATAAGAAAAATATTTTACACTCTTGAAAATAGGAAGCGAAAACATTTTCCGTTAACATATTTTACCGAACGCTCTCAACAACGAAAAATTATAAAAATATTTTTCTATAAGTTATTTGATGGAAACAACCAGTAACCCTTGCATGCATTTCAAATAGGTACCACTTTCAACTTATTGCCCAGCAAACAAAGTTTATTACAACTAATACATTCTCTAATAGTCACAATCCATTTGTTTTATCCAGCGATAACTATGCACTTTATATACAAATAAGCAAATTTAGGAAAACTATAATCTCTCATACAAAATAACCTCTACAAAACACTGTTCTTCCACCGACTCAATCGATTGCGACGTCTGTACATGATATTCAATGTGCAGCAGCCCTTTGACAAAGGCTACAGGCTGGATGCCTTAAATTACTTGTCTCGCCCATACAAATGGGGGATCACAATTCTTTGCCCTTGCCTCTAAAATTCGAACAGTTCCTCCGCCTTCGTCCTTTCCCTTCTCCCTCTTGATTTAAGCCTCCCTCTTTCAATTTTGCGCAAGCTTACTATGGATTTTATACATTGACCCTTCTGATTTCTTAAACAACATTTACATACTTTATACTTAAATATATATATGACATTCAGAACGCTTGTCTACTACGCGACAACAAATATACATGCGAGACCCATTTATTTTTTCAGTATTAGAATATAGCTCGCCTTTTGGGCGAGTCGAGTGGCGTAAAATTATCATAATTAATATCTGCAGACACCACTTGTGTCATGAAGGTTTTAGCTGAGGTCTTAGTCTAAAGTCTCCAGTAAATCTATATCCCTTCCTAAATTTAGAGCTAATAGAACTTCGAGATGAACCAATTTGAGTTGGTTGAGTTGGTTTTTCAGTATGCATAGGCAAACTTTTTTTTTTTTTTTTTTTTTTCGAGATGAAAACCAATTTGAGTGGCTTTGAGTTGGTTTTTTTCAGTATTGCATAGGCAAACTTTTTTTTTTTTTTTTTTTTTTGGTTTAGGTCTTGCTTTTTTTAGTAAAACTCAAAAAAAAAAAAAAAAAAAAAAAAAAAAAAAACCTTAATTGGGACAAAAAAAAAAAAAAAAAAAAAAAAAAAAACCTTTAATTGGACCAACCTAAAAGGTACATGATAAAGTCGATCGAACAGATTTGGTTTTAAATTTTATTTGATTTAAGTCGATTTTTTTTTTTAAATTCTATTTAGTTTGATTTATTTCTGTTTTGTTTTAAAGTAAACTGGTGTACGTGCACTATCTACCTCGATGGAGGCTCAATTCTTTATAATATGATTTATAATAATTTTCTTATCATAAATGTTTTTATATTTTTTTTTAAATAAAAACTATATTTTATGTTTAAATTATGCAACTAAATTTTAATGTTATGTAATAGATAACACAAATTAACTAATAAAAGATTATATTTTAAAAAATAAATCTTTGAGTATATAAATGAGTATACAACGTCCAATGCACGTGTTTAAAGTCTTATTTTAAAAGAAGAAACACAGGCATCATTGTTATTTCAATTGAATATAAAATACCGCAAAATATGTTATAAAAAATAATTATAAAGTGTACTATAAATTAATTATTATATTTATTTAAATCTCAACACGAGATTATACTCTAACATTAAGGAGAGATTAAGGAAGGTGTATTAGATTAAGATTATGTTAGATTTTAAAGAATTGTTGAGTTTAGTGGAATTGAAAGATTTCCTAAGAGTTTCACCGATTCCGCTATAATTCTACATGGAGTTTTATAGAGTTGGTGGAACTTTTTTTTATAGATTTCAATTTATTTTGATGGAATTATAATGATTTTTATATATTTAATTAAAATTAATTTCAAAATCTAATTGAACAAATTAAAAGGTTTTTAGGCCCAATTGAAAATTTGAAAAATAATGAAAGACCAAAAAACTTGTCATCTTCTCAAAAATCATTTTCTTCTTCTTAAAACCTAATTGACGAGGATAGTGAAAGGTCTGCAATAAATAGTATCACTGCTGGGCATCTCTTGCCTCCGTAATAGTCACAGTTAAGTTTTTTATCAACAGACCGAACCAAAATTTCCTTATGAATTGAACCAAACCGGATCAAACCAATCAGTTCGATCAATTTTGATTGGTTTTGCCATTTCGATTCAATTTTAAGCTCAACCAATAGATTTCTATGGAACCGACTCGAACTAAATAATAAAATTGGTTCAAACTAAATAAAACAACAATCGAATCTTTCTTGATTTAGCTAACCGAGTCGAATCAAAATAAGTCGGTTCAATTTTTGATTCGATTTGATCAACAAGTTTGTACACAATTAGCAACTATCTCGCGAGAAAATCGTAGATTTAGATATATTTTTCTTAAATTTAAAATAAAAATTTTAAAAAAAATCTAGCAATCTAAAATCCAATGAAATCTTTAGGTTAGAGGATGAATTTGAGAATGACTTTTTATTTATACATACTTTAAAATCCAATGAAATCAATAATTTTATAAAATCCATCAAAATTATCAATTTTTTGAATATCATTAAATTTATATAAACTATTAAAAAATTATAATAGAATATCATCAAAATTTCTATAGATTTTGTAAGAGTCTAAATTAAATTATCACAAAATTTTAATAAATTATAAAAAAATCTAAATCGAATATCATTAAAATTTTAAAATATTTTAAAATTTATCAAAATCTCAATTCAATACACTCCCGTATTTTGTAGACAATTCCTCAATCAATACACTCCCGTATTTTGTAGACAATATAATTATATATATTATATATATATATATATATAATTATATATATATATATATATAATATATATATAATTCCAATTTGTTTATGTGAATAGTGGGGGTCTGTTTAGTCAGGCGAAACTAGTATTGTAAATATGAACATGGACTGCCTACATAATTCAATTTGTTTATGTGAATAGTGGGGGTCTGTTTAGTCAGGCGAAACTAGTATTGTAAATATGACATGACATGCTATTAACTCAAAAATTTTCATTTCTCTTCTCAATTCTTAAATCTATCAATGTCAAATCTTCTTTCTCTCAAGTTCTCAGATCTCACTCAAATTCAATAAATTCAATCAAATCTTACAGAAGGTTAGGGTTTATAAGCTGAATTGAAGTTTATGCGTCAGATTTTAATGATAGCCAAACCATAAAAATGGATTCACAGCCTTCCCAATCGGGAAGGTCACCACTTGACTCTCCGACCTCCACTTCCACCGCCACCTCCGCCGTAACAACTTCGATTTCTAGTTATCGGACAAATTCTTCGTTAGCTAAATCAATCTTAGATGCAAGCAGCCAAAGTCTTTCCTCAATTCTCAACAATCCTCATGTTGGCAAATCCGGCGTTTACGGTTCCGATGCATCATCTTGGGTAGGCTGGTGGTCTTCCTCAACTTCAGTTTCTCCACCGGAGTTCACTCCTTTGATCTCTAACAAGGCCACGCCAGAATTGAATAGATCCGATTTTCAGAACTACTTGTCGTCTATTGCTGAGGCATATAACAGATTCGAAGATATTAGAAATCATAGTTCCAAAGAAGAGAATCTGGACTTTGAAAGCAATGGCGGTCAAGGAGAAGCGCTTGTGGCTTGTTTAAGAGAAGTACCAGCACTATATTTCAAAGAAGATTTTGCTTTAGAAGATGGGCCTACTTTCCGTGCAGCTTGTCCATTCTCTAATGTGACGGAAAATGTGGTTTTGCAAGAGAAGCTGTCTCAGTATTTGGATGTGGTGGAATTACACTTGGTGAAGGAGATTTCATTGCGTTCCAATTCGTTTTTTGAGGCTCAAGGACAGTTGCAGGATCTTAATGTGAAGATTGTGGAGGGGTGTAATAGGATTCGGGAGTTGAAAGAAACTATTAGGCTTTTGGATAAGGATTTGGTTGAATCTGCTAGAAATATTCAGGATTTAAATGTTACTAGGAGCAATATGTTGGCTTTGCAGCGCAAGTTGAGGGTTATTCTGTATGTTAACCAAGCTCTTTCTGCTCTCAAATTGGTAAGGTTCTGTAGTTTTAGTCAATTCCGGGACTAGCATTAGAGTTTTACTGAAAATTATGTCATTTCGGTTATCATGAACTTATATTGCGTGATGAAAGTAGAAGTAACTTATATGGAATTGTGAATCAAACCTCAATTGAAGTCGTTATGTGTTTAGTGAAGGTCCTTGTTTGAAACTTGGTAGCCTTTCCGTTTGGTCGGAGTAATTTAACTACAAGCTTTCCATCTATATTATTTAGGTATAGGAATTGTCAGCCTAGTATAATTGGGTCTTCAAACGGCTTTGTCGATTCTCGTTTTTGTTTTCTTGATATATTCTAATTCTAAAAGATACTCAAAGTATTCTGCTGTCATTTTACCTGCGCATTATATTTTAACACTCCGGAGCGCAACGTTGATTAGTTAGACGCAATTATTTTAGAAAAATTATTCTACTTGCACTGTCATTTTGTTGTAGCTCATTTTCTTTGTTTATTCCATATTCTTACCACTTGGGGAGAAATCTCTGATTTAAGATTTTAATTTATGATTATGGCTTAGTTGTTTTTGAGATTTTAATTTATGATTTGCTTCATGTTTGGAAATATAAATAGTTTTTGCATTTTTTTTCTTTGTGCAGCTTGTTGCATCTGCAGATTGTGCTGGAGCTTTGGATGTTACTGATGATTTGCAACATCTGTTGGTATGTCTTGGTTTGTTTACGTTTTACATTTCTTTAACTGATTTGTTCTTTTGTACATTTCCGTGTCACATCTCATTCCTTCTGTATGTTTGATAGGATGGAGATGAGCTGACTGGTCTACATTGCTTTCTTCACCTTCGGGATCATGTAGCTGCTTCAATAGATTCTGTGAACAGGTACTTATGTGTTTAAAAGGTGTTCACAAACTTTAGTCATTATGTAAACAAATTGAACGGTCTTTTCTTTTATTTAGTATTATTTACTTGTACAAAAAATCCTTAGACATATTGCATTACATTCAACACTTTGTGGCATTGCTTTTCTATCAGCCTATCCTAATATGCTATTTAACATAGTCTTGCTTCAAGTAAAACTGTTACACTTTGGCAACTTCAAAGTTGATTCTTTGTTGTAACAACATTTTGCCAATTTGGAGTTTGATTAAGTAGTAGTCTTTTTGTACTTCAATTGACACTCGAGTAAGAAATGCCATAGGACTTGTTATAGAAAAGTTAAGGCAATTTTGTTGGTCCATGTAACTTACTACGCTTATTTTTGTAGCATCCTCTCAGCAGAATTTATGCGTGCTGCAATTCATGATGCTGGTGGTAGAGATGTGGTTATCTTATTGAAATCTAAAGCCAGGGCTTCCATTTCTACTAATGGAAAAGATGAAGTAAGCTAAATTCATGTTTGATGTGCCCATTTTTCTACCTTTGGCAAAATTGGTGGTTTGCTATAGTAACTCTTGTATATTTAATAAATCTGTTTGAGTAATTGCATAATTAATTTATCCATTGAAGACTTACAATACAGCAAGTGGAGGAGATAATCTGATATCTTCGGTTGTATGATGCATTATGCTGTATTGTAAGTCTTCAATGGATAAAGAAGCAATAAGTCAGATTATGATACAAATACGCTGCCTGTTATAGTCTTTCTTGTCTATTGAGTATTGAGACTTGCATTGAACCTGATAGCCTGGGGGAAGCAATATGTCAGATTCTCAGACTATAAATGACTATGTTGTTTATCATAATCTTACTATTCTTCTGTATTTTGCCAAGTCACTGCAGTGTACCTTCATACTCATTTGAGACACCTAATCCAAGATCTGAATTGTTTGGTTTATTATGGTCATCATTTGAGTCTTGTACCATGATGCTACATCTCAAATGACAGTTCTAAGTTTATGTTACAATTTGCTTTTTCCTTTTTCTTGATCTTTCCCATGTTCCTGTAAAGCACTTACGGTGGAAAATAATAATGTCGGATTAGGTTTAGTGCTTTATTCCTTTTGTTCTTTGTATCAGGAAACGCATGATACTTTTGTGTTGACTTAATGCGAGTTCTCTTTGTATATTTTTTTTGCTTGTTTCTATTTTTGGTTTATTATGTTTAATAAGGCCTGTGCACTTCATTGACTATCATGTTGGCAGGTTAAACTGGATGAAGAAGAAACCTCTAATTTCCATGAGCGTCTCCTCCCTCTCATCATTGGGTTGCTTAGAACAGTGAGTGTCCTATGTACTTATCTTTGCAAATTGTTGTCTCTGAAGTTGAAATTTTCATATAAAGACATAATTGTTTGAACTAGGTGTTTAGGGGGATGCAGTTGCTGGTGCAGCCAACTTCCTTATGGCATTCCTTTTGTTACTATTAAGTATTGTTGTCAAAATATAATCTCTACAAAATGGTCATGATCATGTTCGTCTTTAACCTCCCTTCATTTACAACCTCGTTGTTTCTAGTCTTAAAAAAATTTAATATATTTTGGTTGTCTGTTGATATTGTGTTGTCAAAATATAATCTCTACAAAATGGTCATGATCATGTTCGTCTTTAACCTCCCTTCATTTACAACCTCGTTGTTTCTAGTCTTAAAAAAATTTAATATATTTTGGTTGTCTGTTGATATTGTGTTGTCAAAATATAATCTCTACAAAATGGTCATGATCATGTTCGTCTTTAACCTCCCTTCATTTACAACCTCGTTGTTTCTAGTCTTAAAAAAATTTAATATATTTTGGTTGTCTGTTGATATTGTGTTGTCAAAATATAATCTCTACAAAATGGTCATGATCATGTTCGTCTTTAACCTCCCTTCATTTACAACCTCGTTGTTTTTTTTTTTTTTTTTTGATATAGAGGTTTGTCTTAAGTTAAAAGAAGTAGTGAACAATTTTAGAAGACATTAATTACATAACTTTGAATATTACAGATCAATTTTTTTATAGAACAGGTGTAGTGTGAAGATAAAATTTCTGATGCAACTGGTTTCCAGGAAGTCAGTACGTAGTTATGGTCTCACTAAAGCAAGATTTTAGGAATGGGAACTTTGGACATAGTTGTGGTTGGCATGATTCATCTGGACTGAGTTTTTGAACTGAAATTGGCATGATTCATCTGGACTGAGTTTTTGAACTGAACAGAACAAATATTTTATGATATCAAAACTGAATTAGAATAGTGGTTAACTCCATAACAATTGAACCACATTGACTATTTTGTTTATTTTTGATGTGCTAAATTCAATTTGTAATAATTAATTTGAACTTTATTTGCACCAATCAATTTATGTGTTTGTGTTTCTGTTACTGTGGTGTTTTTGTTTTGTATGCTACGTATATGTAACATTTAGAGAGGAACTCTAACTGCAATCATAAAAATGTTGTAACATGACATAAGACACCAAGCAAGGTTAAATATTTAGGCTAGATAATAAGTTTTTTGAAAGGAAGCGAGCAGCAGCTTCAGTCAACAACTAGAACTGACAAAGGACAGCTTGCTGGTCAGAAGTTCTAGTTGTCTTTACAGGGCATTTAAAAGATGGAAAGACCATGAGCTCTGGTAAAAAAAGATAGCATTTTAAGAGCTAGACTTATCAGGGATGGAAATAGCACAAGTGAGGTGAATTGGAGTTGCTCTTTGAGATGCTGTTGAGGCATAGTTAACAATAAAATATAAGAAATTATGTTTTGCAGCTAATTTCTGCAGGCATCATACAAGAATTCCCTTAGGCATCAGCCTAGGATAGATTTGCTTCAAATAGTCCAAGAATGAACAATTGCAGGAATTTTATTGATTTGAAAATTGAATGCTGGAGCATTACAATCATGAATATTTATACACTTATTCTAAGCTTCAAAGAATATTATTTTCTTTTTTAAGAATCCTCTGTCCCTTTTAAGGGCTAATAAAATGATTCATTTTATCGTTGGATGAAAAAGAATATTAACTTATTGTTGTCCTGTATAGTTTTATGTGCTATTAGTCTTATCGTAAGTGTAAAGGGTAGCGTAGGTATTTCCACATATTCCCTATGTATAAATAGAATTGTAGCCATTTTTTACAAGTAATTGAATGAAAGATTTACTCTCTACACACAAAATCAACTCTTATATTGCCATATATCATTTCCAATGACCCGGAGTTTAGTGCAATTGGATTTTCAGATATAGAGTTTCTGAAATCCTTGATACTTACAACTTGTTCAAGTAGATGTCATATGTCACTTTACACCTTATTCAGAATTGGTTTTAAGGATTTATGAAGACCCTGAAAGAAATTATTTCCTTGTTATTAATTTGGACAAGAAAATAAGAATAAGGGGAAAACAATGAGGTTTGCAAAGTAAATAAATTTTATCTTGGCATCTCAAATTGTTCAATGTCATTTGTTTACTATCTTTTGCAATTTCAGAATGGGGTAATTATTATATAGTCCCTATGTTTTTGTCAATACTCTATGAAGGACTTTGGTTTTCAAATTTACACTATTCAGTCCCTGCATTATAATTCTGTTACACTATTAGGTCCAATGGTTCGTTTTCCAGTTAAGTGGTTGTGAAATATCAAAAACACCCTTAAAGAGAATTACTATATAGGGACAAAATAGTGTAAAAGTATATTAGTGTATTTCACCAAATCATAAGGACTATATAGTAATTATCCTTAGGGTTTCTTTTAACATTTCACAGCCACTTAACGGAAAAACTAATGATTGGACCTTATAGTGTAATGGAATTATAATGCAAGGACTAAATAGTATAATTTTAAAAACTGAGATCCTTACTCCTGTATTTGAGCAGGAACTAGGAACTACAGAATAATTACCCCTTACAAAATTTGAACAGTACTTGTCAAGTTGAAATGGCAATATTTGAATAGTGATTATGCAACCTAAGCGGCAGGGATAAACTGTGCAATTTCAACTGAAATAAGACCTATATTTTGGTTTTTGAGGCTTAAAAAGTCTTCAGCAGAAAGAAGCTAGATTCTCTGGTCTAGGTTATTGGACAGCATGGCAAATCATTTAAACTAGTTCCATATCCATGGAGAGTTTATTTATCAGCTTCCCTTATGATTAGGCCTGATATGACAGGCTGATGGATTATCTATGCTTAAAGCCCTGAAGGTGTCATTTATTAGGCACCTCTCAAGGAGTTTGAAACTGCATTCTAGTCATTCTTCAAGGTTTCACCCTCAAACAAAAGTCTTAATACAAGTATAAAGATAATAGGTTTATGATAGAAGACTATCATCCCACTCCCCCTTCCTAATATTGTTTCTCTATATCTCTGTCTGTCTTTGACATTCTTGTCAAGTACTAAATTTCACAGAGATTGAAAAGGATATACAGCTGGAGAATCTGTTAAAGATGTTGAAATTTGGCATCTTAATCGCATTTCCTCTAAAATCTATATTTCTTGATTTCTTTTTGTATAGTTTAAACTGGTGGGTTTGGCTTAGTCCTTACTGTATGTGATACTGTTATGTTCAATTTATGTTTCAGGCTAAGCTGCCTAATGTTTTGAGGATATATCGTGATACGCTTACTGCGGACATGAAAACTGCTATTAAAACTGCAGTAGCAGAGTTGCTTCCCATTCTTGTGTCTCGGCCTTTGGAGTCAGATTTCACACCTGGAGAGCGAACGGTTGATGCAGATGGTAAGTTCATAATACAGTATTCTATAATTTTATAGTACTAGAATATCTATTCTTTTAGATTGAATTCTGTCTCTGTTGAATGATTTATTATGTGCTTCCATTTCATTTCTTCTGTATTTTGACACTTGTGGACAATTCAGGTGGAGGTTTATCTCTTGCAAGCAAGTTAAGGAGTTTGTCATCTGAAAGCTTTGTGCAACTGTTAGATGCTATTTTCAAGATTGTACAGGTAATGTATACTTTAGTGATGCTCCTGAGTTCTGAGTTTTTGAAGTATCTAGCTGATGCATTAAAATGCTTCATATACAAATCTTGCATGTAGGTTATTTTCCTTAGAAAGTGTTTATTATTTAGAACAGTTTTCTTCATTATGTATTGAGATGATAAGAAACTTCTGGCAAATCATTTTCTATTAACTATTAAAGTTTGGATGTTCATATTTTCGTGTGATTGGAGGAACTCAGTTTTGACTTCCCTTCTGTAACTTCTAGTTTTCCCATTATCATTTCAAGAAAGATGTAATATGATTTATTTTCTTTTAGTGAATGCAGGCACATTTGGTGCGGGCTGCTGAAGTGAAAAAGGCAATTGAGTGGATTATGAGCAACTTGGATGGACACTACGCTGCTGATTCAGTTGCTGCTGCAATTGCAGTTGGTGCTGCAGCTGCTGAAACAGCTCCAGAAATTGACGTTCAGGCCGGTTCAGTTTCCCCATTTTTGCCTCAAAAAAGTACGGCCAAGGTTTCTCCATCTCTAGGGAAAGCAAATGACACATCAAGCCCCTCAAATATGTCCAGAAATTTCAGGTGAACTATTTATGTTTTTATGATTGGATTTTATTAGTTTGCTCATACGCTGTTTAATTTTGATGTAAAACTTCCTCCTTTTATCAAATTTTCATTTTCATTTTTTTTTGTCACAAAAATCCTTTCTTGAATGATTTTGTAATTCCTGCCAAGATCATATCTATAAGTCATTTTTCACTTTGATTCTTGTCCTTTTTTGTTTATCACCTCAATTATCAGCTGAGACAAAGAGGAGGAAGAGAGACGGTGAACAGTGGATGCATTTTGTTTTCTCCTTTTACACATTAATAGTGAGGTAGTTAACATTTATCCCACATTGATTTGGGATAAGGACTTTAGTCTTTATGGACTCGTGCATACCTCCTCCCCTTGAGCTAGCTTTGAGTGAGATAGGCTCGGGTAATTTGCTTCACATGGTATTAGAGCCTACGCTGCTTTAATATTGGGCTACCTATAGATGTGTTTGCCTGCAAACTTCATGCAAACTGCAGATGTGCTTGGTGCAAATTTCAGGCTTCAAATATTCATGTCTTGGCATGGGGGGGTATATTATCCCATAAAGGTTTCGGATAACGTCTTTAGTCTATATATAAGACTTGGGCAAACCTCTTCTCCTTGGGGTGATTTAGGCCCAATTCCATTTTCTTCACATGGTATCAGAGTATACCCTGCTTCAATATTGGTCCATTTGCAGATGTATTTGCCTGCAAACTTCATGCTCCAGATGTTAATGCCTGGGAGTGAGGGGATTGGTTTGGGATAAGGTCTTTAGTCTATAGATAGATTTGCGCAAACCTCCTCCCCTTGAGCTAGCTTTTGGGGTGTGTTAGGCCTGGTTCATTCTCTTCACGGTTACCTATTAAAAGATGTCACAGGTTAAAATTATGATGTGAGGTGGACCAATTAAATGAGTGTCAGACAGTGGCTGTTAAAAGAGACTGTAATGACTTCCACTTATGGTTAGGAACAGTTACAAATGTTGCTTGGTCATCATCCATATGAAAATCAATACTGTAATTCATGCTTTATAACTGTAGCTGAGTGGAAATTTTTCTATCTATTCGCTAGTTTCCTTGTGATTTCTTTTCTTTTTTCTCAATGAAATTTCTAGTGCAACAAAAAGGAAGAAAAAAGGAAAGAAAGAAAAAGAAAAAAGAAAAAAGAAAAAGGAATCTGTCTGATTTTGTATCTCTCAGTTGTGATGAAAATTGAGAAGGCCTTTTCCCCTTTTCTGTATTTCTTGTATTGCCAGCAGATGGGAAACCTCAAATTTTTCTGCGGCCTCCTATGATTAAACTTGGGAATATCTATAGAAGTCCCAAGTTGAAATCATGATGGAAGAGATTTATATGAAACTTTTTATCTGATGGTCTGGATGTACTTGAGAATGAGAGAACCCGACTTCTCAATTTGGAACAATGCTTCATATCGTCGCTCATGATTGCTAATTATCCAGTGACAAAGGTTTGAAGCAGCCTTTGTTGCTACTTAGTAGTAAAAATCATTGCTTTAGCTAACTTCAAATGACATCCTGCATTGTTTAGATGCCACGACATCAATTGAGCTTGATGAGACTTACCAGTGAAGGGAATTATGAGGCTCTTTCATTTGTTAATATCATTTTTTCTTTGGAGATCTATCAGTTTAAATTTCCCAAATTTTTATTGGAATGTTAATGCTCTGAACTGTGGTCATTTTAACAGGGCTGATGTATTACGAGAGAATGCAGAAGCTGTGTTTGCAGCTTGTGATGCAGCTCACGGAAGATGGGCAAAGCTTCTTGGGGTCCGTGCTCTGCTTCATCCTAAGTTGAGATTGCAGGAGTTTTTGAGCATATACAGCATTACTCAGGAGTTTATTACTGCTACTGAGAAGGTATTCTTCCTTTTAGTCTTCATATTTAAAGTAACAAAATTTCATTTTAAATCGGAGTGATTGTATTTTTTGTTTAACATAAACAGATAGGTGGAAGATTGGGCTACAGCATTCGTGGAACGTTGCAGTCACAGGCCAAAGCATTTGTTGATTGCCAGCATGAGATGCGAGTTAGTTTTTGACCTTTTCTTTTTAGTGGGAGTTCATTATTTGTTATTTGGTTAACTCTTACTTCGGCCATTGTAGATGACAAAAATTAAGGCAGTGCTTGATCAAGAGACATGGGTGGAAGTTGATGTTCCAGAAGAATTTCAGGCCATAGTTACAGCCTTGTTTTCTTCTGAGGCATTGATAACAGAGGACCTAGATACTGCTCAAGGTAAGATGACAACAAGCTTCGGTGAAGTGGTCCCAAGCAATGATGGTTCAGGTGTTGCTGATGCTGAAGTTCAAAATGCTCAACAGCAACTTGTGAGGATGGACTCTAGTGAAATGTCTTTGCAAAATACTGTGCAAGCGAAATCTTCTCCTTTAGCTGAAACAACAGAGGTCAAGAAAGCCAATGTTGCAATCTCTTCAATACAGAGCAACAATACTAATACAAAGGATCGTGGAAAACCTGCATCGCAAACGCTTACTTTTGGAGGTGTTAGTTATCACATGGTAAACTGGTTAGTTTTCTGGTTTAACACTTGTCTTTTTCTTTTTCTTTTTGGTGTATTTTTATGCATTCCATAAATTCCATATTTCTCCGTTAAAGAAAGCTTGGTATCCCATGTGTTGTTAATGCCATTCTAGCTATTGGCGTGAAGTATCTATTGTTTAAGCTTTAAAGATATATTATGGTTTTACTGATATTTTACCTTCCTCTCTTCTTATTGGCTGTTTATCATCTACAAATTCTGAAATATTATTGCTAAACCAGATATAGAGATGGTGACTAGAATTGCTGTTTCCATTATTATATAATTTCAACTTTCAAGACCATAATGAATCTATTTTTATGTTGTAAACTATTTTTAATTTATCCTCGTTGAACAGAATTTCTAAAGTGAACAACTCCTGATAACCATTTTGATCTTCTTCCCCCTTCTTTGCCAGTGGCTTAATATTGCTGAAGATGTTGTCAGAGTACATTGATATGAATAATTTTTTGCCAGCACTGTCTTCAGAAGTTGTCCATCGTGTTGTCGAGCTATTAAAATTCTTCAATACGAGGACTTGTCAACTTGTTCTTGGGGCTGGTGCTATGCAGGTAAAAATTCTCTAATAGTTAATATCTGCATTCTCAAAGTGCTACTTGCATATTAACATACTAATGTAAAGCTTAAAAAAGCATGGAATTTAAAACTGGTATCATCAAAGATGAAAATGTTTTCATTGTGAAAATTTATGATCATTGTAGATAATTGTTGCCATTGCATAAATTCAACTTTCACTTATGTTTTGTCTGTTAAATATCAATTGAGAAATCTTTGTCATTGTTCTAGCTCTTAATTGGGGTTTATTTCATGCTGCAGGTGTCTGGACTGAAGTCTATTACTTCTAAACACTTGGCGCTTGCAAGTCAAGTCATCAGTTTTATATATGCAATTATTCCTGGTAGGTTGATTTGCTAAGGTGGTGTTTCGTGTTAACAGAGCTTATTGTTGTAGTTATAGTGAGTTTTAGAACTTAGTTACATAGTTGACTCTTGAAGTGTTAATTGTTAAACAAGCAATTTGTCATATGGAGTTAATACTTATTTCCATCTTTCCTTGTTTGTTTAGTTCATTTATCTGATCATCACCTATTGGATCTTTTGGATGACAACATGGAAGTTTGCATAGTCAACATTTAGTTCTCTTTATTATGTAGTAGCACATGTTGGTTCTTGTGCTTCACTTTCCCTAAAAGAGGGAGAAGATCAAATTTTTTTCGCTTTGACAATAGCTCAAAGGTTCATGTCCGAAAACATTGAATCATCTTGAATGAACATTTACTTCAATAAAACCACTTCATTTTTCCATAGAATATGTTTGCTAAAAAATGCTTGTGTTACTTGCCTATAACAATTTTTATACATGCAAGGCTTGTGGAATGATTTAACTTTCCACTTTCACCTCAGTTTTTTCTATCAAGTCATGACTAACATTTTGATGCGACTCTTTTGCTTTGAACTTAAGAGAAGTGTATTTCATTGAGCAACCTTTCTGAATAAGTTTACCTTTGTGCTTTGTGTCTGGACTAAGAAATCAGGCGTATTCTTTTCCTTAAAGTACCTGAGACGAGACAGGCATTACTGCTTTCTGAGATTGATCGTGTAGCACAGGTATTGTTTAATAGATAACTTATTCATTTCTCTGCTTTTATTATATTATTTATACTCGTTTACTTTACTACTATATTATTAAAACTTCTGGATCTAGTTAGCTCTACAACCTCCCTGTGGGGGCATCCCTCGACCCGCAAGAGTGGAAAAAAAAAGGGTGTTGGGTTGTTTTAGTGTACTTTGAGTACTAAGGTTGTGTTTGGTTCAGTGATTGGACTGTGGACATGACAATTCTCTTGTCTGGCGTTTGGTGCTCTGACCTTTTTTTAAATTATTTTTGGACTCTTTCACCATTTTAAAATTTTGATTTATGATACGCTTTAAACAATTTTTATTCCAGAAATTTGTATTTGTTTAATCACATATTGTAAATCTCATTTCTCTCTCATCCCACATTGAATTTGTTTAGAATGGATATTTAAATATCTCATAGCTAACAGTGGTGCAATTTTCTCTTTCCTTCTGCTTTGAAATTTGACTAGAAATAGGAAGAACTACCATAACAAGGAATTATATAATATTGGTAGACATGTTTTTGAGCATCTTTTTTTATTCTCCTGTGTTGTTGTGTTCTACTGATGACTACATTCCAAACATGAGATAGGATAAAAGTATTATTATTATTATTATGGTTGCTTCTCCAGTCCTATCCAAAGCCATGAAATGGGATAAACTAATTTGTCATTTTATACATGCACTGAACTGAAGGTAGGACAATTGTTTGTCTTGTCTTATGTCAGCTTCTCCTATCATGTCTCATTTTTGTCCAATCCATTGCTCCAAATGCGGGCTAAAGTTTCTAATGTGATATGTATTGAACTATATTGAAAGCCATTTAAAGGTTCTGCTCTTACTAATTGAGGGCAGATGAAATATTTGTAATCCTAAAGTTGAAATAGTGCATCCAATTGCTAATATGTCTGATACAAGCATCAGCATTGTCATTGTGATGTCATTCCTATATCGTAGAAGTAAAATATGAGTGTTTATCACAATGGAAGTTTCATATCAGTTGATTTCTTTAATTGTATTTTTCATCCTTCTTAATGCCAAGTGGCTATCATCCTCTGGGTCAGCGACGAAGCTACCTATTCACACAAAAATATTATTGAAATAAAAATGGGAATAAGATGAAAAGTAAGAGGCATGCATGTCACACAAGTGCCAAACCATTCCATTTCTTAATTACACATTTATACAAGTGAATGGTGAGAGTTTCTTTATTAGATCACTTGCATTTAGTTTTGCAACTAACTTTGCAATTTTCTAATTAGAGGTTTGTGACTCATTTTTTGTTTACTATTTCCCTTTTTTTTTTTTTAAATTCTTGAATTTTTCTCTTTAATTAATTAATGTTATGTTCATATAAAATTTTTACTTGGGTATTAATTAATTGATTAATAATTATTTAGCAAATCTCGCTAGACTTTCTAATAATTCATGTCAATATAAATCTCATTAGAATTGGATGATTATTTTTTTTAAGAAATTTAATACAATTATAAAACAAGCTTCTAATTATGTTGTTATATTTCTTATTCAATGTAGGAATGCTATTTCATCGTTAGAAAGTAAGTGAAAATGTATGGGATTAATTGGTTGCTTGCTTAATTCTTCTTTTTTTTTTTTTTAAAGAAAACTTATTCAATTATAAAACAAGCTTGATTGTTTATATTGAGAAATTCATCCAAATGATTGTGTTCCTTGAAAATATTTCTTGTAGTTATGGAGTGGGCTTTCTGTGCTTGCTTGTTTGTCACTGAGCTTTTCATATGTATTTCTCCCATTTTTCATTGCGAAGAAACAGTTTATACATTTTTAAGATGGGTTGAGCGATATTTGTGCTAAAATTTAATTCAGGATTACAAGGTTCACCGAGATGAAATACATACAAAGCTTGTTCAGATAATGAGAGAAAGGTTGTTGTTTCATTTACGTGGATTGCCTCAAATTGTTGAGAGCTGGAACAGACCTGATGATGCTGACTCACAGCCTAGTAATTTTGCTCGATCTCTAACAAAGGTAATTATAGTGGCAAAATTGTTTAATCTGTGGCTGGCTAATTATGGTTGATTGAATTTGTCCCTGTGAATTTGTATTGTGTGTGTGAGAGAGAAGAGAATTGGATGATTGAGCCAAGGTAAGAGATGTGCTCATAGGATTATTTGGGTGGTGTGCTCATATGAGGGAGGGACTTAAGGAGAGATTAAGTAGAGAATGCTTCAACTTATTCTACTATGAGGTGAGCCTTTGGAACAGGCGTTTGTACTGAAACTTCAGAACTAAAACGCTTTTGCAAATAGCACCTGAAACATCTGTATGAAACCGTTTGAGCAAACTTTTCTGTGGGGGTCGCTAGACTTGTGCTCATAAGAGTATTAGGTTGATGTGCAGACATGCGTGTCAGCAGAGTTCTTGGACAAAACTGTAACATGTTTGCTGACTTTGTCTTATATGCTCACATGCATTGAGACTGGTCTAGATATTTTGGTTATGCATTCGATAAAAAATGTGCTATTGTTTTTCGTCTGATTAAGAAATTGAGAACTTAATCTATGGGAAGATTTGAGAAACTGAGTTTACTCCGTGGTTTTTACATCATATATTTTATCAAGGAACTTATATTGTTTTCGTAGTTTGGGCTCTGTCATATCTAACATTGTGGGGATGAAAATTTGACACTGTTTTGATTGGAAATGAATTGAAAAAAAATATCAATTTGCAGAAACAAGGTCTTTACCATCTTAACCACTTGGTCAACATTTATGCTAGAGGAAGCTGCTTACTGGAAAATGTACCACATAAAAATTGTACACTTACTGGATATTTTTATCAGTACAAAATTGGTTTTCAACTGATGATTTTCTTTGTCTAGGTTGTGCAATCAAAAACATTTCTTAATCAATTCTACCTAATTGGCTGTTCAATTTGTTTTCAGGAAGTTGGATACCTACAACGTGTCTTATCTCGAACTTTGCATGAGGCAGACGTTCAAGCAATTTTTAGGTGAGAGTCTTTTTAGCATGGTGATTTCTGAATGGTATTCAATTCTGCAACCTTTGCAAATGCCACCACGTGTTGTTATGATTTATACTTCTATATCTAATTACCTATTTTCTCATAAATTGCTCATATGACTAATTTTTATGCCAGAATGTTATATTTATTAATTTTTGTCCTAGTTCTTGTGCAACATAATTATAGTGTGAAAAAACATTAATTTTTTATTTCCAGTCTAAATGATTTCTTTTTCTTTTTTAATCAATAATTTGTAAATTTTATTTAGTTATGTTTATAATTGTTTTACTTTATGTTAAATAAGTGCGTTGGTTTATACCTTGAAAACTTTGTTGTCAAAACTTGACAATTGATTTAGAAGATGAACTGTGATCCATCATAACTTTCAGAATGTAAATAAGATAGGATATATAAAAGCTTTTAGTAGTTAGCTATATTATACCAGCTTCAATAATTACTGAAATCATTTAAAATTATTGGGTTGCAATTGCGTGTACTTTGGAATATTATGTAAATGTAACCAAATGAGATGTTAAAACTAATTAGAATTCTCTTTTTTACTCAATATTCTTTTATGGTCATGATTTATTTGTTTTTGCAGGCAAGTGGTTGTAATTTTCCATTCACAAATTTCAGAAGCATTTTCACGGTTTGAGATCAGCACTCCACAAGCAAAGAAAAGGTATTATTTTTCAATCCATTCATGTCATTAGCATCCATATCACTTGCATATTATGCTTCTTTTGGTAATATTTTAACCTTTTTTTTTTTTTTTTGAAAAAAATTCCATATGCTAGGCTGCATCTGGAGGTCAAGCACATTCTTGGATGCATTAGGTCATTGCCTACTGATAATTTGACTAAATCCGGTACCCCTAATTGGGGACGACTTGACGAATTCTTGGAACAAAAGTTTGGAACTGAAGCTGGTTAAACAATTGTTGTCGACTACTGAATTGATTGCCCTTCTGATTAACGCTGTAACAAGAATTTCAGGGAACCAAATAGAGATCTCAGAATCAGTTCTCATCCTATACACTTGTAGAATAAATCAAGGTAATGTCCTTTGACATGCTTATCTTCTCCAGTGCCAAAATACTCCTGCCTGCATTATTTTGTATTATGTATTCTTGTAATGGCTGATTGATTTTAGATGAGACTGATTTTTATGCGAGATCTACTCTTTATTTTTTATTTTCTTCATTCTGGGATAATCTAGATAGACTCATTAACATATGGGGGGAAACATCAACTCCGGCAATTGTTCAAATAAAATCACATTGGAAACATGTGACTACTTCTAAATTGATTTTTAAACATCCTCTCTCTCTCTCTCTCTCTCTCTCTCTCTCTCTTCATTATAGATTTTTACATTGATTTTTAATTGAATTTCTATTTGATTGATCGCCTGTGGTTTAAAAAATTGAATTTTTTTAGCTTGAGAACTCCCAAATTACTAATGATTTAAAATTTCTGCAGGTGCTTTTTTTGGTTTTTAGCTAGATAATAGAGTACTATTGTATCACATTCGAATTGTTGCGGCAGGAAAGTGTCTCTCTGAAGCAAAATTTTTGTAGCAGTCAAACACTTTGATATACAATATGTTAGTTGAAAATAGCGGACGGCTCTGGGATATTTCTTCCTTGTATCATTTTGGGGTGCTTGATTGCTTCATATCTGGATAATTGTCTTGTAATATCATCATTGATGTTTTTATTCTTTCATTTTAATTCCTTTCAGCCTTTTGAAAGCCTTTTTAACTCTTGTGAATTTATACTTATATGGCTATTGTTCAAGAGTGTCAATAATCATGTGTGATGGAGTGCAAAGTTTATAAGGTACGTATTAAAGAAATTTGTGTATGCTTTCACTGATTAAAGGCTACTTGCTAAATATTTTGAAATTTTTTCCCAATAGGTTTTGGTTATGGTATTGCCTTTCCATGTGCTATGCAATTGATCTAGAAAAAAAAAAAAAGTTACATTTTATTCACATCATTGTAAACAAATTTCTGGCAGGTGCCTATTTTTTTGGTTTTTTAGCTAGATAATAGAGTTAACTATAGTAATCCACATGTCACCGAACTTTGTTTGAGCGGCAAGGAAAAGATGTCGTCTCATTGAAGCAAAAATTTTTTGTTAGCAGCTCAAGAAACCACTTTGATACTGTTAAATATGTTATAGTTGAAAATAGGGCGGAGACGGCTTCTGGGGAATATTTCTTCCTTGTTCATTATTTGGAGCGATTTGCTCTCATATCTTGATAAATGTGTCTTGTTAATATCATCATTAAATTTTTTATCTTTCATATAATTTAAGAATATTCCTTTACAGTCCTTTTTGAAAAAGCCCTTTATTAAACTCATTGTGAATTGTATAAAACTTAATATGGCTATTGGTTCAGAGGTGTCCAATTAATCATGAGTTGTGAATGGAGTTGCAAAAGTTTATAAGGATAGTTATTAAAAAGAAATTTTTGTGATTATGCATTTCACTGAGATTAAAGACTACTTTGGCTAAATATTTTTGAATAATTTTTTCCCAATAGGGTTTTGTTATGGTATTGCCCTTTCCATGTGCCTATGCAATTGATCTAGGAAAAAAAAAAACTAGTTTACATTTTATGTCAGCAAATTCTCTCTCTCTCTCTCTCTCTCTCTTCATTATAGATTTTTACATTGATTTTTAATTGAATTTCTATTTGATTGATCGCCTGTGGTTTAAAAAATTGAATTTTTTTAGCTTGAGAACTCCCAAATTACTAATGATTTAAAATTTCTGCAGGTGCTTTTTTTGGTTTTTAGCTAGATAATAGAGTACTATTGTATCACATTCGAATTGTTGCGGCAGGAAAGTGTCTCTCTGAAGCAAAATTTTTGTAGCAGTCAAACACTTTGATATACAATATGTTAGTTGAAAATAGCGGACGGCTCTGGGATATTTCTTCCTTGTATCATTTTGGGGTGCTTGATTGCTTCATATCTGGATAATTGTCTTGTAATATCATCATTGATGTTTTTATTCTTTCATTTTAATTCCTTTCAGCCTTTTGAAAGCCTTTTTAACTCTTGTGAATTTATACTTATATGGCTATTGTTCAAGAGTGTCAATAATCATGTGTGATGGAGTGCAAAGTTTATAAGGTACGTATTAAAGAAATTTGTGTATGCTTTCACTGATTAAAGGCTACTTGCTAAATATTTTGAAATTTTTTCCCAATAGGTTTTGGTTATGGTATTGCCTTTCCATGTGCTATGCAATTGATCTAGAAAAAAAAAAAAAGTTACATTTTATTCACAAATTAATTTATTCTCATAATTGTCTTTTAATTTTTTTTTTTTTAATGGAAAATGAAAGTCGTATTTATCAAGTAGTTTATCGTCTGTCAAATCAAGACTTGTAAAGAATGTCTTTGAAGAAGAATTTTTTCTGTTTTTGCAAAGGAAGGTTGTATCCATCATAAAGTATTTGATATATGCTTTATCTTGTGTTTTGTAAAATAAATTTAGCATAATTTTATGGAACATAAATAAATTTCTAATTTTGAATGTTTACATTTCATTTTTAATTCTATAAATTGAATATAATTAAATTAAATTTTATCAAAGTTAAAATGTATTTTTTTTTTTAGACATTTGAATTATGGATTATATTAATAAGAGAAGAAACGAGCTATACAAGCGGGAATATTATCTTAAGTTTGAAAAGTTTACATAATTAAATATTAGATTGAAAAGTCCATCCTTCTCTCTCTCTCTCTCTCTTTCTTTTCATACCTTTCCTTTCCATTCTTCTAGACAATTATCATTGAGTTCAAAATTTATAATAAAAAGGATAATCAAATTTTAAATTTCTAATAACAAAAACAAACATTTTTTTATTTGAAATAAATTCTATTTCTAAAATAATTTACACAGAATATATGTTTAATAGACGGAAAGAACCTGGAAAGGAGAAGGAGCACCTTATTCATCATAAAAGTCGCACTCACACATACCGTTCAAAGCAATTTATAGTCTGGTCAAAGTCTTCGAGAAAGGTTATAATAAGTTAAGCTTTCCCTGTCGTTGGTTTTGTAGACTTAGTGAGCCCTCATGGAACAAGTCTCTGCATAGATCAATATGGAAGGAGAGAAAATTGAAAAGAAACAAAGGAATAAATAAAGTAGGACTTTTAGCTTTGATAGACAAGTCTAAGTCAATAAATTAATTGTACGGTCCTTACTCTATTGGCAATATAATAATGTAATAAATTTTTGAATAGGAAAGGAAGAAAAAAATCTATCGGTCCTAAAATATAAGTCGATTTTCGTGATTATTTTGTTCCAAAATATATAGTTATTTTATGTATTTGAAGGAGTAATAAACGATATTTTTTTCAACACCCTTATTTACATTATATACAATAACTATTTTTACAAATTACTTTTGATTTTGAGATAAATGATACTTTAACTTGTTACTTTTAATTTTGAAATAGAGGATAATTTAACCAAATTTTTATAAGGTTAGAGTTTGAATACATCAGAACCGAGTATAACGCTAAGCAAAATAAAGTAAAATCGTCATAACTGAATTGAATTGATCTATTGATTTTATTTTCATTATACAAAACCGAAAAACTTAAAAAATCTTAAAACATTATTGATATTAAATTGATCAGTTTGATTCTCTTTTCATCATATATAAATCAAACTAATTTAACCTGAAAAAAAAAAATCAAAATAAAAAAAATTGAACAAAATTCGAATTAGTTCAATTCAATTTTATAAATAATCCGATTCGATTTGATTTGCTTGTATACAAATTTCAAGGTATTTGATTTGTACTAATTTGAATCAGACTAATGATCACTTCTAATTGAGTCTCAAAGAGGTAATCAAGTAAATTAATAAATGCCGACAGTTAGAAACTTAAAAAGAAGAAGAAGAAAAAAGATTAGATGAAGACTACTAGCTTGTGTTAGGTCTACAGGAATTTTCAGCCCTTGGATTTAAATGTTGTATGCGGAAGATTTCATCTGATAGTGAAATTTCAATTGAAGAAAATAAAATTTTTCAACCATCAAATTGCTATAAATATGACATTTAGAGTTTGGTGCATTATAGGAAGCGTGTGATGAGGGAAAAACATGTTAAAGAATTTGGGTAGAAGGAATATTATTCCTTCATGTAGGCAATTACTTGAACAAGAAGAAGAAAATGGTGATGTGAAAGAGAATGACAGAGTTCCTAAAAGTTATATTCCTGTAATGGTTGGATTAAAAGAAGGTAAAAAGACCAAGTTCTTGATTCATGTTAAGATGTTCAAGAAAGCTTGCTTTGTTGAGTTACTTGAGATGATTGGTGATGAGTTTGGATATGAACATGAAGGAGTTCTTCATATCCCATGTGATGCCACTTCCTTCATTCAAACTGTCAAACGAATTCCTAAGAGCAGCTATTAGTGCTACAACTGTTATCTCTTCTCCTTCTTCATCCTTGTTTCTTAATTTCTGGTGTTGTTGTTTAGAATTATTGAGTTATGATTATTATTCAATCATATACATGTTCTTTTTTTCTTTTGCTTATGTAGTTAGAAGTATGTTATTTAGATCAGAATTTGTGGGGGAAGGAAATTGAGAATAACATTAAAGCCAAAAAATAAATTAAGACTATGATAAGTTTTTTCATTTAATAATTATATTTTTATATCATATTAATAATTTAAGACATAAATCTGAAAGGCCATGCTGCTAAGATGGCAAGTGGCACAACAATGCTGAAAGACATGCTTATATGCCATACTCAAGTCTAACTCTGTAATATTCACTTTTCGTACTTCAATTCGAAAAATTTTTCTTTACTCGGGAGGTTATGAATTCCAATTAGAATCCGCAACTTGATAAATAAAAATATGAGTGTATGTTCAATCAATTTAACATAGGTTTGAAAATGCTGATGGTTTGAAGAAGGAAGCCATTGTTAATAACGGTTAGTATTAGCCAATGATGTCATTTTATTATAAAAGAAATAAAGAGATTAAAAGAAGAAAAACGGCGTCGCACGGTTAATGAATGCATGTGACAAAATACATGTTGTATACCTTCTTCTTGCTCATAACAAAAACAGTTGAGGAGTTGCAAATCTGTTACAGAAAATGAAGAGAGAGAAAGTTGAGTTGTAACAGATTTTATGAGCTAAATTTGATGTGTCAGTGGAATCCGTAAAAGTGCATAAATAACTGTATAAAGCATCTTGTGTAGTTAGTTTTGTAGAAACTTCTTCTCTTCTTTTCAGTGTTGCAATCCTCCTCTGTTTTAGTTCTTCTCTTGTATCTGTTGTCTCTCTATCTTCTTATTCAATAAGATGAATTCAATCAAGTTTTCACAATTAGGATCAAATTCTAGAAATGATTGATTTATACTAATTGAATTAGGATTGGGGTTCAAGGACTCTCTAATTTCTCGCACAGAAAGGGTTGGTAATTGTCCTCTACTCTCATGGAAAGGTCGCACAATATCAACAAACAAAGGACCTATCTTTACCTTGTTGAAACCAGCGAATCATCTCCATCATCTATGTGTTCTGTTGCTAGAGTTATTGTAGAGTTGATGTGATAGTTCATTAATCTTATTTTCTTGCAGAGATTGTGCCTTCTCTACTTTTCAAAATCGGTTTTGCATGTTTTCTATGGTTTGATCGCAGATGAGAGATTGTTCTTCTAACGCTTACAATCATTATATGTTCTTCTTGCAGATGAGAGATTGTTCTTCTAACGCTTACAATCATAATATGTTCTTCGTCGCGAGCCTTTCCTTTTGTTTTTGCAACGTCAAGGCTGGTGTTTCCTTTAGATTAACAATCTATGATACTAAATTGTCAGGTATTACAAACACTTGTGACTTAAAGCTCCGTCTATTTCTAAAAAATAATTTACTAAAAAAATATTTTTTCGTCAAACATATTTTTAAGGAAAATACATTATTTTCCGATGATTGACTATTATATAAAAAATAATTGGAAACTACTTTCCGATGTGTAATATAACATTAAACAATTTTAATTTTTTGCTACATAAATAATATATTTGCAATTATTATATTTCACATAAATTTAATAATTGTCCGGAATTCATAAGAAAATAAAATTAATAAAAGATTGAGCATCATAATAAAAAAAAAAACATTTCTAATATTTTATTATAATTTCATCAAGTTGATATCAAAGTTCATATATTACTTAAACACATAGGTAATGCAAAAAGCAATAATAACATTAGTCCAGGGATTTACTAAAGAAGGGACTCAGGTGGAATGTGGGTAACGATTGGGATATTGATGTTTGGGATGATGCTTGGTTATAGAGAGCTAGATTTTCGGGGACAAACAACAAGGGGAGATCACGAGGAGAACTTGAAAGTGTGTGACCTGATAAACAATGGGTTGTCGGCAAACTCCACCATTTGTTTGATTTAGGAGATATAGCCAGCATTCTTGCAATCCCTTTGAGCCTATTGCAGTATGGGGATAAGCAAATTTGACATTTTTCTATAAATGGGATATACACAGTGAAAACATGTTATCATATTGCTGCTTCTCTTTTCCGACTAATTCTCATGCTTTATTTATAGGTGATTGGCGCAAATTCTGGAGTGTAAAGGTGGCACAAAGTTTAGTAACTTTGTTTGGCGAGCTGTAACTAACATATTGCGACAAAGGTTCAAATTCTTCATAAAGGGGTCCAAGTGGAGTCGAAATGTCCATACTGTGACGAGGAGGATACTCTACATGCATTGCTGTTGTGTCCTAAAGGCTCAAGTGTGCTGGCAGTTTTTATCTCATAACCTTAATCGGTTTTTCCTGAATGTAGGGTCCTTTGTTTTTCATGTTATTAACGCATTAGAAGCAGAAATGGTCCAACTCAAAGTTCATATATTACTTAAACACATAGGTAATGCAAAAAGCAATAATAACATTAGTCCAGGGATTTACTAAAGAAGGGACTCAGGTGGAATGTGGGTAACGATTGGGATATTGATGTTTGGGATGATGCTTGGTTATAGAGAGCTAGATTTTCGGGGACAAACAACAAGGGGAGATCACGAGGAGAACTTGAAAGTGTGTGACCTGATAAACAATGGGTTGTCGGCAAACTCCACCATTTGTTTGATTTAGGAGATATAGCCAGCATTCTTGCAATCCCTTTGAGCCTATTGCAGTATGGGGATAAGCAAATTTGACATTTTTCTATAAATGGGATATACACAGTGAAAACATGTTATCATATTGCTGCTTCTCTTTTCCGACTAATTCTCATGCTTTATTTATAGGTGATTGGCGCAAATTCTGGAGTGTAAAGGTGGCACAAAGTTTAGTAACTTTGTTTGGCGAGCTGTAACTAACATATTGCGACAAAGGTTCAAATTCTTCATAAAGGGGTCCAAGTGGAGTCGAAATGTCCATACTGTGACGAGGAGGATACTCTACATGCATTGCTGTTGTGTCCTAAAGGCTCAAGTGTGCTGGCAGTTTTTATCTCATAACCTTAATCGGTTTTTCCTGAATGTAGGGTCCTTTGTTTTTCATGTTATTAACGCATTAGAAGCAGAAATGGTCCAACACATTTTTCAACTCCTCTACAGCATCCGGTCAGGTCGAAACTTGCTGTTATTTTAGCAAAAGAGATTTGGTCCTTCACAAATAATTGGTTACGCCTTGCATGGTTTGAACGAATGGTTGGAGGCTTAGGAATCGATTCTGGCGTCAGGGAAGCAGGCGGGACAAGGTGACAGAGCCAACTTGTGGACTAAACCAGCTACTGGAATGTTAAAGTGTGATGTTGATGCTTAGAGGTTCCTGGAATTCCGGTGAATGGGGTATGGAGCTGTCCTTCGCAGGCTTGTCTGGTTTATTTCAAGGTCACGTAACCCAGCTATGGCGGATGCTATGGCCATTAGAGAGACTCTCTCTTGGCTTCGCAGGGAAGGTTATAGCAATGTTGAAGTGGAGACAGACTTATAGTTAAGTTGGCAACGGTTTCGATCCTCACGAAGGATTTTCTGAGTTTCAATTAGTTATTAAGGATTGCAGGACATTACTCTTACGTGGTAATGGGTTTAAGATATCTTGGGTGAGATGCCGCGCTAATATGGTTGCTCGTTTGCCCGAGGAAGCTATTACAATGGCTGGTAGTACGATTTGAAGGTTACCTCCAGATTTTTTATGGAAAAATAATTATTTGGCCTCTGAGAATTTTATAAAATTAATTAATTTATTTTCGTATTTTTATATTTTTATGTATTAGATATTTAGTTTTTAAAATTTAATTTTGTCCTATTAAATAGTCTTTCGGTTCAATTTTAATCATTTTTGCTGTTAAATATCTATTAAAAGACTAGAATACTCTTATAATGTGACAAAAATACCCTTACAACAAGACGAAAATTTAAACACTATCCTTCTTCATCTTCGTCTCTCTAAAATCCCACTTCTGCAACAATACAAACTCTAATAAATAAATAAATTTAAAAAATTATTAAAGTTGCTGTATCTCCTCTGCATCTCTCAAACTGTTTAAAGTTGTTGTATCTCACTGCATCTCTCTAACCATTATTTTTTCAAAGATATTGTTTCAACATCTCTCTTAAGTCCCACTTTTGAAACTATACAATTTTTTCAAAGGTCTGCTCCGACGAAACAAAAGCAATAGCCGATGGCGGTCGAGATGGAGGAGCTTGAAGCCGGTGGTAGTCGGTGCAGTTGATTGAGGGTCCGGATCCTGACGGAGGAGAAAAGGGGAATGAAGGAGGCGGAGTGAATCCTTTGAGTTACCTATTCCGTTTTTCACCTCCAAATCCCTCACTTTTTCACATTTTCACATATCTCTCTGCACTTTCGTTCGTTGAGGAGACATTATCTTTGACGTCGGTTTTGTTCCATATGTAGAAATCATATACTGTTTTCAATTTCTTTCTCAAATACCATTGGGTTTCCTTCATTTGAGATTTGAATCATCTCTATTATATATAAATATGAGTAAATATGTCTATATGATTTTGTGGAAGACAGTTATACCTTTCATATGAATGTTGCCTTTGGATTTCTAATTTTACTGTTTATTAACCCAAGCTTTTAACTTGTTTAAATTTATTTATTATTTGAGTTTCTATAGTTGCAGGAATGGGGACTTGGAGAGATGAAGAGGAAGAAAGATAGTGCTTTGCTTTTTGTCTTGTTACAAGAGTAATTTAGTCTTTGACTATATATTTAACGGCCTCATTAAAATTGGACGGAATGACAATGTAAAGTGACAGAATCAAATCTTGAAGACTATATAACTTATGTACAAAAATATAAAGATGAGTTAATTAATTTTGTAAAATCTCAAGGACAAAATAATTGTTTTTCATTTTTTTATCAAACAATTTATTGTCTGATGTTTGCAACTAAGGGTGGCCACAGTTCCGGAACCGGCGGTTCCAGTTCCAAATTTTTTGAAATCGGAACTGAACCGAAAATTTTCGGTTCTGGTTCCGGTTCCTTAACGGTTTCAAAACCGATGATTCTGATCGATTTTCCGGCGAATCGCATAATTTTAAATTTTAAATTTTGAAGACCGGAAGAAAGAATAGTGCCCTTTGCCTTTTTGGTCCTTGTTACACCAGATGTAATGTTAAGTTCTATTTGAGACTATATATTTAAACGGCACCCTCATCCTAAAATGTGGACGGGAATGACAATGTAACAGTGACAGAATCAAAAATCTTTTGAAAGACTATAAATAACATTGATGTACAAAAATATGTAAGATGAGTTAAGATATTGAATTCATGTAAAAGATCGTCCAAGGACAAATAATATGTTATTTTCATTATAGTCTTCTCATTCTTTTTTATTCAAAACAAATTTATTGTCTGATGTTATGCAAAAAGGAACGGGCGGTTCCAAGGTTCCAAATTTTTTGATCGGAACCGAAAACCGGAAAATTTTCGGTTCTGGGTTCCGAGGATATTTCTTAACAGTTTCAACAACCGAATGGGTTCCTGATACGAGATTTTACCGACCGGCGAATCGCATAATTTTATTTAAAAATTTAAAAAAATTTTGAAAGAACCCGGTTTTCAAAATTTTAAAAAATTTGTGAAAGGTTAAATTTTCATCTAAAAAAAAAAAACTATCAAACCTAAAAAAACAAAAAAAAAAAATGCACACAAAATTAAAATTTAGTTTTTATATTTGTTTAAAGACTGAAACATTAAGTTATTTTATAAAAAAGTCTTCAAACTGAAATTTGAGTTTTTTGTTTTAAAAAAAAGTATATGAACATACACTTTAAAAAAAAAGGGCGGACAAAGACTTGAACTTAATTATTTTTTTAAAAAAAGTCTTCAACTGAATTTATTTTTTGTTTAAAAAAGTTTGAACATAATTTAAAAAAAAAGGGGCTTGAACTTAATTTATAATAAATCCAAAAAATTATTTTTTCAAAAATATCCTTAAAACTAGCCGTTGATGGTTGTTGGGAGGGGTAATCAAGAGATTTCACAATAAAATTAAAAAAAAAAACTGACAGTTTCTAATGGCTAGAACTGCTGGTTCCTTCCGGTTCCAACTGGTTTGTGGAATCGCCAGTTCGCGGTTCCAACAATACTGGAACCGGAACTGAACCGAAAATCTCCGATTCCGATTTCGATTCGGACCGGTTCCGATTCCCACCGGTTCTAATTCCGATTCGGATTTAGTTCGAACCACCGATTCTGGTTCTAGGAACCGTAAGATGGCCACCTCTATTTGCAACCATGTTTTGTCACCTAGCAAAATAGAACCTAGATCGGGTGTAAAAGAGGAGCATAATAGCGGAGTTTAGCTGACTTTATTATGCTAAGTTTTCCTAATATTTCTAATAATAATATTTCGATTTTCAAAAAAAAAAAAAAAACTTAAATAACCATAAACTACTAATTAAAATCCTTATTAAATACTTCAATATTAATTTGTTGGATAGAAATCAACATAAGTACGATGAACCAAATGCCGCTTGCATATTCGAATCTGTCCCAGACTCCTGGGCTTCCACATGCAATTACACACTAAGCCCAACTAGGGATAGAAGCGGAACGGTTATCTGCGAATTTTTAACTATTCCTAATCATATACGTTTAAAATTTTATTATCCGTATCTGTTCCAAATCTATTTAAATATTTATTTAAGTATTCGTATTTAAATCCGTTTAAAACTTTACTAATTATATCCATCTTAAATCCATTTAAAGTACCCCTTAAACGAGTATGGTATCCGCACATTTTCAACTATCCAAATCCGAACTTATTTAAAATATTTTTTTTTACTAATAAATAGGTAGGGTATCCGTAGATATCTATGACCAAAATCATTTATTATAGCAGGTATCCAGTATCTAACCCCCATATACTACTCGAATTTGTTGTGGGTAATAATTTTACTATCTATATCCGTGTAAAATTCATTTATAAATATTCGTACACTCATTAAACAGATCAGAGTGGAGTAGGTACTTTGAAATATCTATCTCACTTCCGCCCAACTGCTAAGCATATTCCCAGTTGTGGCCCAATCACAAAAAACCCAATTACACAAAACATTATTTACAATCATATGCCATTGTCAGCATGCCTAGAACAAATCATCTCAGTGGTTAAGCACTTAAAGCTATTAGTTCTGTTGGCAACGCGAAAATGCATGTGAGAGAGAGCAGCACTGGTCTCTCCGTCTCTTCAGCAAACCGAGAAAATATATATGGCGGCTTCTGCTAGAGCAGAGAACGTTGTGGCCTCTCTTCAACCATTCCTTTCGAGCAAGCAAAGTTTTGTCAGGAGCGCATAGTAAAGGTGTCCCTGTCTCTACTTGCTTCTCTTCCTTATCTAGTCTTAATATCTCGACTCTTACTTTTCTTACTATAGCTCAGCCTCAACGTATTCATTGTTTCTTGCAATTACTTTTAGTTCTCGAGCTTAAATTGCATAAAAAAAAAGAAACAAAAATCTGGCTTGCACATTCTATCGAACAAGTGGTAGGCATTAGTGAATTTTGCATTTGATAATGCCTAACTTAAAACCCCCTTTTTTTTCTTCACTGTTTTTTTCCTGATGCGTAATAGTTGAGAATTATTGCTGTCAATTGAAGGTAGTGAATATTAGAACAAATGGATGAATTGTTGAAGAATCACTTGTTTGCAACGCATGCAATTGCTGCTGCCGGGACAGTGACATTAGGCACAGCTGTTACTTATCCTCTTGATACTATCAAAGTCCTTATCCAGGTTTGTGCATTTAGTTTCTGTATATCTTTTTGTTATCATTTTTGGAAGTGACTAATTTAGTTTAGTTGCTTTTTTTTTTTTTTTTTTTTTTATTTAGTTCTGTATATCTTTTTGTGATCACCTTTTTGAGAAGTGACTAATTTAGTTTAGCTTGCTTTTTTTTTTTTTTTTTCTTTTTGAGTTGGATTGACCAGGTTGGATTTCAGTTCCATTTTTTTTTTTTTTTTTTTTTTTTGAGTTGGATTGCAGGTTGGATCAAGTTCCAATAGACCATTAAAAGTGAGTCAGGCTTTGAATAGAATTCGTTCTTTATCTGGAATTTCAGGTTTATACTTTTCTTTGATACGGTGTTAAGTGTTTTGTTTTTTTCATTGCTTTGATCTAGGAATTTGTTTTTGTATTTGTGGAAAATTGTTTATATCAATTCCCTTTTAATAGTGGTGAAGAAATGATTGATCTTTATTGTCTTTTTATGCTCAACCACTGGACTAAGTCTTTGTCCATACTTTTTTGGAAATGTGAAAATCTAATAGGCATCAAACTTTATGAGAGGAATTAATTTTTAATAGTCTTGTTGTTCAACAAATGATACAAAACAAGCATCAAGCCTGACTTGATGCAAACCACTGGTTACATGGAGAGAGGGGTTAATAATATATACAGAGACCTATTTGAATCATCTTATTGTATAAAGGAAATTATTGGTGCTTAGTATAACAAGCCTTCTACGGTTTATCTAGTTTTTAACACGGATGAAAATAGATATTGCTATAGTCATGGTCATTGCTTTAGGCTTATAAGAGTGGGAAAAAAAATGGTATGGTGAAAATAAATTTGATATGGTGGAAAGTTCAAGAAGTTGATGTGGAACCATGATGGAGAAAGACTAACTGATTTAGTTTAAATTTCGTTGTTAAATGATTAGATATTATTATTCTTGAATTTCACTTGAATTGGCTTTCAGTTTTATAGAAAATAAATCTGAAAAATAAAAACCCCATGTTAAACTTGAAGTTGTTAGAAAAAAGATCTAAATTCAAATTGTTGTGCAAAGGGATCGGCTTGAAAGTTTATGGATTTCTTCAATAATAATTGAATACTCAATGAGTTTATATCTCCTATGTTTCTCCACTAAACTTGGATATTTTCTTTTGTAGTATTGTTTCATAAACTCTTGTTGTGTGTTCATGCATGAATTTAATAGGCTTGTATAGTGGCTTTGGATGGTCGACCTCAGAGAGAATACTAGGCATGGGAGCTCGCTTTGGAATCTATGAAATTTTGACAGCTTTTTATAAAGGTACTCACTTCTTTTTCTTTTTAACACAAGTTTTTATGAGCCAGTTTGCCTTGGAACAGGATATAGAATACTCCTCTTAGCTCTTTAGCTACTTGGCTTAGAATGTTTAATCCAGGTCAGGGCCCAGAAGGATGTAGGAAAAGAAAAAAAAAAAAAAAAAAATCTTGGCCTTAGAATGCTTTAATCCATGGTCAGGGCCCAGTAAAAGGACTGTAGGAAAAGAAAAAAAAAAAAATAAAAAATCTTTGATAACACCATAAACTATTTTCAGGTAATCTTTAGGGGAAGCATCAACATAGAGTGTAGGAAAAGAAAAAAAAAAAAAAAAAATCTTTGATAAACATAACTATTTTTCAGGTAATTTAGGGGAAGCATAATAGAGTGAAGCAAACCAAAGTTCTCTATTCATAAAATATACCTGGCTTAGAATCCTATGTCTGGTATGGTGGATGGTTCTGCACCAAAATCAAAATCATGAGAAAGATAAATGTTGGTTTAATTTTTTGTTGCCACTGGCAATAAAACTAGACTGCTTACAGGCACCATGTACTCTAGTAGCTCCTTTCTCTGTTAGTTTATGGTATTCACATAGGTTAAGTTCATATGATATTAGGAGTTGTTTAAATATTCTAGATGATAGGTCAACAAGTTTCAACTCATTATGTGATGGTTTCAATTGCTTTTCCGGAAGATGGCCGAGAAGACAATTATGTATATGTCTCTGAGGCCCTTATGGCAGGAATGGCGGCTGGTGCAATGGAGTCAGTCATAAGCTCTCCATTTGAACTTATTAAACTCCGTACTCAAGTTGCCTCTGCATCTTGCACTCCAAGGTCTGCCTCTATTATGGAACATAATGCTGTATCACCTCTGATTGCTAAATTACTACGTGGATATACTCCAGAAAAGACAGCATTGAACAATTCTGTTGCCCTTTTGTCCACCCTATCTGCTAAGCACCCAAATTTGGCTGGTGCCTTGCAAGAGTACCCATGGATGATGACTGGGTCTGGGAAGGCACCATCAGTCTTTGATGTTTGGAAGCCATCAAACATCATCTCTTTGGAAGGATGGTGTGCATTATGGAGAGGACTCCGGCCAGGAGTTGTTCGCGATTCTATTTATGGTGGGATATTCTTTTCCAGCTGCATTACATAAAATTACAATTCATTTCGAACCATTCTTACCTATGCAATCATTAGCCATCAGGAATTATCTGTTTTTTGATAGGGCAGAATTATCTGCATTACATAAAATTACAATTCATTTCGAACCATTCTTACCTATGCAATCATTAGCCATCAGGAATTATCTGTTTTTTGATAGGGCAGAATTATCTGCATTACATAAAATTACAATTCATTTCGAACCATTCTTACCTATGCAATCATTAGCCATCAGGAATTATCTGTTTTTTGATAGGGCAGAATTATCTGCATTACATAAAATTACAATTCATTTCGAACCATTCTTACCTATGCAATCATTAGCCATCAGGAATTATCTGTTTTTTGATAGGGCAGAATTATCTGCATTACATAAAATTACAATTCATTTCGAACCATTCTTACCTATGCAATCATTAGCCATCAGGAATTATCTGTTTTTTGATAGGGCAGAATTATCTGCATTACATAAAATTACAATTCATTTCGAACCATTCTTACCTATGCAATCATTAGTCATCAGGAATCATCTGTTTCATTTGATAGGGCAGAATTAAAGTGCTGCAGCTTTATGGCATATATTTTATTTGTTCAATTTCATTTTCCTCAAAGTTCTTAGCTTTCTATTAGGTCCGATGAAGAAATTGGGCCACTCTCTCCAATAGCTGTCAGTCTTGCAGCTGGATTTTCCGGTTCTATTGCTTCTGCTGCATCTCATTGTTTTGACACTGCTAAAATTCGATCGCAGTCCACTGTGCTGCCCAGGGTACGTTTATTGTTATAGTTTGCTCATGTGCTTATTTACAGCTCCAAAAATGTGTACTTTTTTGTTATTATCTTCTTGTAATGAAAAATACATTTTGAGGTTTATACAAATCATGCACATGTTCTGTATAGGTGCTTCTGCGTGCACCAAGTTCCCCAAGTCGATGCTCTTAGTCCTTTACCCTTCCCTCCCTTCTCAGTGCAGCAACTCTTGTCCTCACTCTATTTGAGGGAGAGATTTGTTGCAACTCTTGTCCTCACGCTCTTCAATAGATGCTCTGTGTGCTCAGAGAACATCTTTTTAGAATGTGCCTTTCTTTTTTCTTTCACGTGCACTGCAAATGCAATTAGTTGAGGATAGATTTGCCTTTATTGTCTTTGACTGGCTTAATATTAAAAATGTAAATGGCTCAGTTAGGTGGGAACTCTCTGCTTGTAAATTACTTATAGTCTTCATATCTATATATTACCTTGGTTGCTGTGAAGTCTAGGCTATAAATGACACTCGGTTAAGATTTCCATAATGGAGAATACTGCAAAAATCTCATATAGATTTTATTTAAAGTCTGACTTTGAAGAGTGGCTTTCTGGCAATATCCCCCTCTCTTTGTCAGAATATCAGTTAGGTCAAATTCATTCCTCACTTTTTCTTACTGTTCCTGACAGAGAGATGTCCCTGGCTCCTATAATTGCAAATGTCATGATACTTTTCACTTGAGCTACTTATGTGTTGTTTTTATACAATCTTAATGTTCTCCTGCAGTATATTTCAATGGAGAGGAGATTGTTAAAATGGAGACGACCAGGTAATTGGTTTGAGAGAGTTACAGGGATCCACCCGGCAGACAGGAATCTCTTGTTCCGTGGTATCTGGTTGCGAATGGCTCGGAGTGGGTTAGCGTCATTTATGATTGTTGGAAGCTACTATTTTGCTGTTGATTATATTGTTTATGAATGATACCAAGAAAGAAGAAAAAGGACAAAAAAAAAAAAAAAAAAAAAAAAAAAAAAAAAAAAAAAAAAAAAAGGAAAAGGATCAAGAGTTTTAACTTCATTTGAAAAAAAAAAAAAAAAAAAAAAAAAAGGAAAAGGATCAAGAGTTTTACTCATTTGTCATAAACATAACATTTCTCGTAAAAGGAGCAGTCTCAGATACAATAAGATTGATTGCTGAAAGCAATCTGTATTTAATCCCTATTATTGTGCAATTGGAAACTGTTCTAGTTAGAAGAGAAATGAACATTTAAGAGCAATGAATCCAATGATTCAGCACGCAAATCAAATAATTAAAGAAAGTTAGATTGAAAAGGGAATAAAGGGACTGTATTTGATATATATTATGAACTATAACAAAATCTAGGTTTATGTAATCTCAACTATGAACTTAAAGATGAAAGAAAAAGGGAAAATTAAATAAAACAAAGAAAGATGACAAAATCGCTGTAAATACAGCCCATAGGCAAACAAAATTAGATTTCAAAGAATGCCTCACAGTCCCTTTTTACAGATAGTCGTCCCCTTTGTAACTAAATAATGTGTCATCTCCTGAATGAAATTCATATTCCACTGTCTTTGTTATCATTTGTCATCTTCATTTTGGCTCTTTTAGTGCGCACCTTAAAAGGCTTGGGGCCTAAATCTCTATATTGCTGCCCTTCTGGAGAACAACCTTGTCCTCAAGGCTAAAGTGAGGAAATTATTCCACCGTATTAGCTACATCCATCCAAATGGTTCCTCAACTGGTTGCCGCTTCCATTGAATAAGGACCTGTTGATTTGTCGTTGGTCGCTGATTATCACTCGATGTTCACACTTTATCTTCCGTTTAAGCAAAGGTCCCTCTTGAGCGGCCAAATTCTACGACAATTTCTCCATCACCTGGTATTCTACTACTTTCTTGAGTTGAAAAACGTGGAAAACCAGGTGAAATTATGAAGTTGGAGAAAGGAGCAACTTGTATGCTACTGTCCAATTTTTGCAATGATCTCAAATGGGTCATAATCTCAACCTGTGAGTTTGGTTTTAAACTAGGCAGCTACCGAATGTGGTTGGCGTGACCTTAGCTTCGAAAATACTTTGTCTCCAATAATGAAATTAAATATGCCTTTGGTGTTTATTGGCATACGTAACTAATAATTTTTGCGCCTTATGTAAATCGTATCGAAGTTGCCTCAGAATCTCATCCCTATATTGGAGATACTGAGATAATGCTTCTACTTTTGTTTGGCTAGGCAAATAGAGCTGAAGCATGGGGAGTGGTCTGCCATACACCACCTCAAAATGAGTCTTGCCAATAGCCCCTTGTCAATTGATATCGTACCAACATTCAGCCCAACACAACCACTTTGACCATAACTTGGATTGTTTGGAAGAAAAATACCTCAAATAGGATTCCAAGCTATGGATTAGCACCCCTATTTGCCCATCGATTTGAGGGTGATAGGCGGACCGAACTTGAGTTGAGTCCCCTGAAGCCAAAAGATTTCAGTTTAAACTTAACTTAGAGAGATTGGGTCTTAGTCATTAGCATAGTCTTGGGTATACCATGAAGGCGCACTTCTTCTTCGACAAATAGCTCAGCTAGTGCTAGCTGTAAATGAGTGACGTAACAAAATAAAGTGGGATCGGGTTATGAAAGAAGGAGAAGAAGGTATCATTAACAACAGGTTTTATTACGGGACAACTCATGATGTTCATATATTTTGAGAGTCGATCAACCACGACATGAATACAATCCAACCCATTTTATCTTGACAACCCAGTGATGAAGTTAAGTGCTATATCCTCCCATATATAAGTGGGAACTGGAAGAGATTGAAGAAGCCCCATGAGATTGGGTTTCATACTTGTGCCTCTTACCACACCATACATGTAGCCACAAACTTCTGAACTGTTGTCATCATACTTGACCAATAAAAATTAGAGGCAATTTATCAGAAAGTGTGATATGCGCCTAATGTCCTCTAGTATCAGTAGAATGAAATTCACAGGAAGAAGGTGGAAGAACCAACCTGCCGTTGTAATACAAAGCACTCATGACTAAAGAATAATGGGAATAACTCTTGAATTGCGAACTCAAATCAGACATCAGTTGAGTTAAATAAAGATCTTATTGAGTTTCCGCATTTATCTCATCTCAATCAGCCCATTTAGGACCTCAAATAGCCAGTAATTGCAGGTCCTCATCCCTCCGGCACAAAATATCCGCTACCATGTTTTTCTTGCCTGGTTTATATCGATGTTGAAGTTGTAACCCATTAGTTTGGAGGACCAATATTGTTGTGCTGGAGTTGCTATCTCTTGCTGAAGTAAGTGGCGCGAATCTTTTGATCAGTTCGAACAATGAACCTCCACCCCATGTGGTAAGGCCGCCAATGCTTAAGTACCAAACGACAACCATTAATTCATTCTCATATCCTGACCTAGCAGTGAAAGGGCAGAAATGGCCTTGTTGTAGTAAGCAATAGGCTGATTTTGCTACATTAATATTGCCCTTATCCTCGACTTGGAAGCATCAATTTCCACAAAAAGATGGAGTAAAATCAAGCATGGCCAATACAGGCGCAAAAAGCTTGTTTAATGTCTCGAAAGAGTCTGGAGTTTTAGAATCCCAAACTGGACTGGCCTGATTTTCCTTTTTTTAAATAAATTTGTCAAATTGCCAACTGCCTACAGTGTAATATGAAGCGGCAGTAGTATCTTGTTAGGCTGAGAAGTCCGCGACTATCCTTGATTGACCAAGGAGTAGGCAATTAAAGTATGCTAAAAATTTTGATCGAATTCATCTCAATTCCTTTGGCTGAAATAACATGGTCGAGATAGTCAACCAAAGTCATTCAGAAGAGCCACTTATTTTTCTTAACATGGAACTTGTGGTTACTAAGGAGCAAGTGAGGCAAGTGAGAATTCTAGTCCTTCTTATAAACTAAGATGTAGTACAAAAAAAAAAAAAAAAAAAAAAAAAAAATAACATGGAACTTGTGGTTACTAAGTGAGCAAGTGGAAGGCAAGTGAGAATTCTAGTCTTTCTTATTTAAACTAAGATGTAGACAAAAAAAAAAAAAAAAAAAAAAAAAAGGAAAACTGGCGCTTGTAGGGTAATGAAAAAATGTCATCCATAATAGCCTTAAAAAAGAAAAAAAAAAAAAAAAAAAAAAAAAAAAGGAAAAACTGCGCTTGTAGGGTATGAAAATGTCATCCATAATAGCCTAAAAAGTCACCGAAGCATTCATCAAACCAGACGACATAACTAGAAATTCATAGCGGCCGGAGTGAGTGTGAAATACTATGAAGTTCTTCAAGTAGTTCTTATATCACAGGATCATATATTTGTACAGTATTGTTGCTTTATTCAATTGCCAATAATCAACTCAAAATCTCCAACTTTCGTCTTTTTTCTTGACAAGCAAAATCAGGCTCGAGAAGGGACTAGAATTAGGCTATATAATTCCTGCCACCAACATATCCTTCACCAATTTTCTATTTCATCTTTCTGGCCGTACCTGTATGGTTTGTCAGAAATTGGCTCGTGGCTTGATTGAAGGATAATCTGATGATTAGCATCGCAAGGTAGAAGGAGACTAGTTATCTTACCAAAAATTAAGAGAGAAGTTTATTGAGGAAACCAATCAGTACCCTCTTGCTTATTAATAGTTTGATTGAAAAAACAACACATTACTGGAAAGAGCGCATCATGGACCTTGTGAATGGTCTTTGGAGAAATTTACTTTCTAGTTAATGATGGATCTTATAAGAGTTACCGAATAGTCTTTATGAAGGGATTTCATTATGAGCTTATGCCAATTAACCTGCATTTCACTAAGGGTTTCTAGCCAAGGAACACCCAAGATAATATCCACCCCCCTCAATTAAAAATAGAAAAGTCTCCTGTAATTGTTAGCTAAACCCAAATTCAATTCTAAATTTTTGCATATTCCTGTTGATTTCATATGTCCATCATCTAACCACACAAAGAAAGGAGGAGTTTACTGACCTGTAGATTAAGGAAAGCAACCAGATGAGACGAAATAAAGTTATGGCTAGCACCATTATCCAGCATCACCACTGCTGAATGAGTAGCCAACTAGCCCAAAAGCTTCATTGTATTGTAAGTATCATCAACCAAGTACAATGGTAAATCCAATTGACAAAAATGAGCTTCATCAATTTTCAAATGGAGTCATGGCTTGTATTTCTCCTTCTAGTTTTGTAAGCGGTATATCCTATATGAATACCTCATCCTCGCCAGCAATTAGAGCTCGTAATGCCTTGTATTGGCAATAAGATAATAGGGTATACGATTGCTTATATTTGAAACAAAGTCCTTTGGCTCTTAAATCTTGGTACCCTTGGTGGGAATAATGTCGAATCCCGCAGTTTCTAGGTGGTCGAGTGGTTGTTTTTTATGGTTAAGAGTAGGAGTGGGTACGGTTCCAGAACCACCGATTTCGGTTCTAGAATCGAACCAAAATTAACAGTTTTGGTTACTGTTTAGAACCGAACGGTTTCGGTTCTTCAACGGTTCCAAAATTGACAGTTTCTACCGATTCTCCGGTCGATTTTTTTATTGGCTCAGATTGATTTCGGACGGTTCTGGCCTGTTTCAAACGGTTTCGTCCAGTTTCAGACGGAACTAGAACCGCCTGTTCATGGCTCCAAAACTAGTGGAACCGAAACCGAATAGGTTCGGACCGATTTTGGTTCACACCAGTTCAAAACTGATGGTTCTGGTCTCAAAAATTGGATTTTGGCCACCCCTCGGTAAGAGGTTGTTTGTGATAGCGGGGCAGTTAGCAATGGCGGTCTATTGGTTGTATCAGGAGGACACAAGTGAGATGGCAAGTAGGTCTCTAATTTGGGTATGGGTTGTTGCAAGGGTTGGGCCGAAAGAGAAAAGGACCTGATGTTTTTGGGCCAAGCCCAAATCTAGTAAGTAAATAAGGCTCGAAAGTTATTCTATGAAAGGAGAGATTGAGTTGCGGTGGTGGAGAGAGCTTATGCTCAGCCTCTCGCCACCTTCATCGCTTCGTAAGAG